CTGGCTCATCTGTCCCAAGGCTCTTCTGAGGACGGTTTGTTAAGTGTTTGTTTGTGGTGGAAGCTGCGAGCAGGTGGATGGGGGTGGAGGTTCCCTCACCCCTCACAGGGCCGCCCTCGGGGCCTCTTCCTCAGCCTCCGTCCAGCCTGGGGCAGGTGTTTGGACAAGGAAGAGAACCGCAGGTTCTAGAGCTGACACGAGGTGATTTCACAAGCTCAAGTTGGAATCCAAGTCGCTGAGATGGGACTTGAACCTGGGGCTCGAGGAGCCTCCCGGACAGATCCAACCTCTGGGCCTCGGCTGAAGTTGTCTGGCCCGTGGCTCCCACTGGAAACCACGGACAGTGGAAGCATCTGTCACCCGGGCTGGATGGAAACAGTCTTCCCCAATCCCTTGCATCCAAGTGGCCTCATTTCTTGCTTTGACTGAGAATCGGGGGGTCGGGGGAGGGTTGTGTGAGCCCTGGAGCCCCAGCCTCCTGCAGCCCTGAAGGTCTCCTGGCCCTGGGGGACTCGCCCCAGGATCACCCCAGGAATGAGGGGGAGAGGCTGAGTGAGGAGGAGCCAGGGCGCAGCACACCGGCCTCCCGGCCATCCAGCCACCGGCCAGCTCACGGGATCATGGGGAAAACCATGTCGTTGTCAGAACCACTAGTTATGAGGCGATGTGCTTTGTTCGTGGGTGACTGACATTCCAAACCCAGTGCTCAGCGCTGTCTGTGGATGAGGGACAGCGAGGCAGGCGTGTCGTCGGGGAACACGACCACTGCAGGCGAGGCTGGCCCGGCGGGCGCCGCCTTCCTGAGCCCTGCAGGCTGGCGCTGGCCGCGGAGCGGGTGAGCAGGGCCCGGGGCTGCCCCTCTTCCCATCCCCGGCGGCCACTGCAGGGTTTCCAGCGTGCGAGGTGAATGGGCACCTCGTCCTTCCCAGCTGAAGGGCCCCCCCGATAACATCATCCACTGTGTGCACGCGTGGCCGGCAGCTCCCGCCTCTGGTGTCCGTCTGCTGCGCAGCTGCCTCTGCTGGAGGGGGGCGTTTGTGACAACAGCTCTTCTGCACCCCGCCTTGGTCTGGCTTCCTGGAGATTTGAGATCAGAACTAAATAGAAATATGAATTTTGAAAGAAAAAAATGTAAACTCTAGTGAAAGAAGCTTGTCGCGGCCATTCTCCCTTTGAAAAGCAAAACAAATTTAAATACCAGCAGCCTGTGTGGTTTCTTGAAGGCACAGAGGATAATAGTTCTGTACCTGCACTCAAATTTCAGTACAAGTCTTTGCTTACGTTGGGTTTTCCTGTCCGCTGAAACACTCTCTTGAAAAGCACACACATGTCAGGTTACAATATCTGCTTTGTTTCGTTGTATTAGAAACACTTTGGAGCTCAGAGTATCCAGAATTTTGATCAATAGTACCAGAAATATACTAACTTTAGGTCCTCTGTGAGGCATAATTTAAAAGCACAAGTTCTAGAAAAAATTTCTTACTAAGAAATAATAATCAAAGGTTTTATAAAGGGACCTGTGGAAATGCAACCCTGCAGCCAAGGCGACATTATTCATCAAATAACCTTTAAATACGCCAGAATGAGCCAAATTCTCCGTCGCTGGACAGTCTTTTCCACCAAGAGAAAGAAGCGGTATTGCTGCCCATCCATCAGTTTAATAACAACTTGATTTTCTAAAGTCCCCTTAAGGGGTTTCTCCAGCGCACGTGGAGAGAAAGCGGCTGCGCTACGTCCGGTGTATTAAGCACTTAAGTTTGTGTGTTGCTGTCAGAGGATCTGGCAGGGCGCACGGCTGCATTAGCAAAAAGCAAATACTAATGGAAATTAACCTTGTCAGATGATGAATTAGATGGAAATTCACCACGCGTGCCATGATCCTGCGTGCCTTTCCCCGAGTGCAGCATCTCAGGGCTCGAAGGCCAGTGATCTGTATTAGGCGCCCGCCCACTGCCCCGTGGGAGCCCACCGGGAGGCCCTGCGCGGCCCCAGACGCCGTCCTGTTCACAGGCCCGGTGGGAGACCATGCTGAGCTTGGTGGCACCAGCACCCACGAGGGTCAGGGAGTCCAGGGTCTCTGGTTTGATGCCTTGATTCTCACCAATATTGTTATTTCAGCTGAAATGCACTTGGATTTTTTAATTAAAAAAATTGGTTTATACAGCACATGAAGTTTATTTCCTGTATTTTCCAAACTACCTTGAAAAGCCCATTGCCCTCTTCATTTGAGTCTAAAATAAAGATTATAATTTTCATGATATTCCCCAGGGGGGAGCCTCTGTGATCCAGATCCTCCAAAGAACTTGTAAAAATAGGGGAATTTGTCCTTCTTCCCCAGAGACTGAAATAGCCACAAGGCCTATTGTTCTGAGACTGTTTTCTTCATGTTTTCAAAATGTATCATTTTTTAGGTATGTCTTCTTGGTCCCAATATTCGTGAGTGCTTATATTTAAGCTGTGCTAGTTGTAGCAGTGGAGCGCTACATCTTGTCCTTTTTAAAATCCATCTGACCTATTAGTCAAGGAATTAGAATATTTGGTCTGTTTAATTCCGTGGAATGTCTGACATAGCAGGTTGCTGGCCGCCATTTCGTGGTCTGTGTTTATTTGTCTCGCCAGTGTTAAGCCTTTCTTTGACCCCTCCTGCGTGCCTGCTTTTGGGTTCGTAGGGACGCATCTCCCGCGGTCACCGCGGCCCTGTTCTCCGCAGGTGCTGTCGCTGGTGCTGCCCACGGGAAATCGCAGCCGCTGCTGAGTCACTGCGGTCGGACATGAAAGCTGCTTTGTTGCCTCCCGCAGTTCTAGCCCCACCGTCCTCAGTGACCCCCTGTGCCTGCGCCTCTGTCAGACCTCACGAAGCCCCAGCCTCTGAGTTTGCACCATCCACATTACTCCGCAGGGATGTGTGGCCATTGTCATATTAAAAGCTTAGGATTTCTTCATTTCTTTTCTTAGTTTGAATGGACGCATCAGAGGGAATTTAACAAAAGTGAAAAGAAAATGATTGCGTAGAATGTGTTTTCTTTGTGTCCTACCTGCGGATCAAGTCCCTCCTCGCCTCAGGGGTCCCTGTGTTAGGGGGAAAGGCGGTCCTAAAGCTGATTCCACACAGGCTTTGTGGGCTCCACCCCCACCCCAGGCCAAAGCCAAAGACACTGGGAATTCCAAATCCCATCCCCACCCAAGGGAAGGTGGCTGGGACCTGAGGGTGGGGTTCAGCAGCCAGGTGGGGATAAAGCCAGACACGTGGGCTTTGGGGGGTCCCCCATGTTGGCTCCCCGCCAGCTCGCAGCGTCCGGCCAGCTCGGAGAGTGCCTTTGGGTTTCCAGGTCGGCGGATCGGGTAGGACGCATTAAAGACTTTATTTCCCTGTTTTCTCCCCGAGTCGTACATTTTCCTTATTTCCTTTTCCCTTGTAAATAAACCTTTCATGAACCTTCTGTGTGTCCTGCAGTGGAGTATTCATAAGTCCCTTGTAAGCGCGCTGGTGAGGACCCACAGCCAGGAACCTGCTCAATATCGGGGCTGCCCTATAACACCTGGCCTGCCCGGCCTGCTGCTCGGCCTGTGGCAGGGGCTGTAGTAACTGCTCAGCCGGGCTGCCATGTGGCCAGTGGGTGCAGGGACGGAGCCCTGGGGCATGTCGCGGTGCTCCTGCTCGCTCAGCTGTCTGTTTCCAGACCCAGGAACGTGGCTTCCTGCAGAGTCCAGCCTGTTCTTCCAGCTCCCCTGTGGGACGGCACCCTGCGGGTGAGGGTCAGGAGCGCTGCCCCCGCCTTCTCTGTGTGACCGTCAGGGCTCACCGAGGGCTCTGCTGATGAAGGGCAGTGATGGGTGTTCTGATGAGCGAATGAATGAATGAGTGGTTGACACCCAGTTATGCCAGTCGATGGAGAAACACACCCTACCACATGCTTCGTCTGCGTTGACTTTGCAGCCATCTCTCCCATCTGGGGGGCTGTGGTCAGGGTGTCCCTCCCTCATCAGTGCACCCCTGGCCTGGGCTGGTGCTGCCACTGAGGGGAGACGCACTGGGTGGGCCCACAGGTGGATGCCGGCCCTGCAGGCAGGGGTGGAGCTCCACCCCTGTGACCCGTACTCTTACCACTGTCGCCAAAAGAAAATTTAAGAAGAAAATAATGAGAAAGTATGTAAGAGAATGTCTCACTCCACAGTGGCTGTTATCAGGACTATCTGTCAGTTGTTTAATCATAATACCTAAGAATAGGTGTTTTCTACAATAGATTAACACTTAGAATATTCTAGATGCATGTGAACTTTCAGATTGCCCTTTGAAATAAGATTTGTGATACTTATCCTCCAAAAAAACTACATATTTTCCTCGAAGAGAACAGAAACACGCCACTCTAAGTGCCCATTAAAATCAGCGTAATGTTGCATGCTGTTGTGTACTGGACGACGGCAGGAAGAGACCAGCCTCACACACCTTATCGTTTCTCTGTGTGCCACTTGCCGTTTCTTAGATGGAATTTTACAGAAGTTAATATTCCTGACTCCACTTTATAATAGTTTAGAGCATTAGAAGGGGCTGGGTGTTCTTTGTAAAGGCAATGAAATACTTGGCTGTCTAACGAGGACAGGAGGAAGGTTGGCCGACTTTCTAAAGCTCGGTAAAGCTTATCTTCATCTCTCAAATGGAGGAACAGTCAAAAACGAGGGTTGTCTCAGACTGACTGCTGGTTTCTGGAATGTTCCTACATGTCAGCTTCATCACTTCTTTGAAATCAAAACAGACAAACAATGTCCTGGGGAAATACCTTCCCCTCTTTATTCTCGAGGACACATGCTAAAGGACACATGCTCAGAGTCCACTTCATGCCACCCCAGCCCTCCAACCCTGGCCAATTGAATTTTTCAGCCTGTGTTTCTGGAATGTGTATCTTACTGGTCGGCCGTGGTCCTGAGGTTTGCCCCACACAGCAAGGACTGGCCACAGGTCGTGCTGCCTCTGCCACCTCCGCCCTGGTCTCGCCCTGCAGGAGCGGCTGCTGCTGTCCCTGCTGCCGGCGCACATAGCCATGGAGATGAAGGCCGAGATCATCCAGAGGCTGCAGGGCCCCAAGGCCGGCCAGATGGAGAACACCAACAACTTCCACAACCTCTACGTCAAGCGCCACACCAACGTGAGGTAGGCGGCTCAGCGCCTGACCCTGGGCCAGCTGGAGCCCAGGCCAGGGGGTGGGGGTTGGTGACGGCGCCCCTGCCTCCCCAGGTCCAGCTCCAGGTCACTGCAAGCCCTGCCGGCAGACAGCTACCGCCCCCTACCCCTTGTTCCCCCTGGGGCCTTCTCCATAAGATAATAGGGTCTTCTTGGTTGGGTCCTTCCTGGCCCTGCTGTCCGTGGCCAACCATCAGTCACAGGAGGGACAGGCGGATAGTGGGGTCCTTCCCCTGGAAACCCATGGTGAGGTCTCAGGGTGTCCTAGAGCCCAGGACACTCAGTGTGGCAGATGAGATCAGAGAGAGCCAGTTCCACAAAGGCGCCCCCTTCAGGTGCATCCAGTCCACTCACGTAGCTGTGCACCTTCCCCACCGCCAGCTGCAGAACTTATTCTTTATCCAAATGGAAGCTGCAAACCCTCTAAACTGCAGCTCCTCACCACCACCCCTGCCCCTCAAGCCGCTGACAACCACCATTCACTGCCGGATGCTATAGTTGGCATTTCTTTGAAAGGCTGGCTGTTGTCCCGTGGTGTGTACCTCGTTTTTTTATTGTCTATCGGTCCGTGGACATTTGGTTTGTTCCTACCTTTTGGCTGTCATGAACAATGCTGTCGTGAATGGGGTACACATGTGCCTGTTCCAGTCCCAGCTCTCAGTTCTTTGGGGTATGCACCCAGGAGCGGAATTGCTGGATCACATGATAATTCTGTGTTTCTGTTTTTGAGGAACCCGCTGTTTTCCACAGCAGCTGCATCATTTTGCACTCCCACCAGCCATGCACAAGGGCCCCAGATCCCCCATATCCTGACGACACTTAACTATTTTCTGTGTTTTGAACACACCCATCCTTGTGGATGTGACATGGTAATTTCTTTTTTTCCGTGGCACATCAGAAACCATAGCTTGTTCATTATCTGAATATCAAATTGCAGCAGAAATCTTAGACTTCGTTACATCCTTTATATAAGCCGTAAACACGTCAGGGTGCCCGTCAGGTTGGAATGCACACCTGGGGCTGGGCGTCCCTAGCCCAACCCCTCCGGTTAACTAAACATCTACAAGACCCTGAGGAACCTCACACTCACCTGGTTGTCAGGTCAGACCCGGGAACTCTCATTTCCTGAAGGTCGTCCTGGACTCCTGCCCACCTGCACTCTGTCCTCTCCCTGGCATAGTTCTGCTCTTACTCTCTGGCAGTCATTATTCCCACCTTGTGTTCATTAGTGTCTGTATTTGGTTTGTGCATCACCCCAACTAAGCTCCGAGCTTTAAGGAGATGCCGTGGGTCTATTTCTCCTGGCAGGTGGCAAAGATCCAGAATCGTTTGTTAAGTCATCCTTCTTTGAACAAGATTTTTGTTACAATTTTTTCTTTGAATCAGTAACAACAGGATTTGGCTTTTATTATTTTCCTTCTTCTACTCTATGGATTTTCATAATTTAAATTCATGTAACAGTTCAGGTAGCGGCATACACATTTGATACCAGAATTGGCAGTGTAATGAATAGTCAGGATGAAGGCAGAGGAAGGGCAGGAAGGTGACCAAAAGAATGGGCTAGAATGGAGACTTTCTCTTCTCCCCTTTTAATTGTAAAAATCTAAACTCAAAAAAATTAATGGTAAAGTCTTACAAAATGTTGATGTGTTTCCTGTCTAGAGAAATGATATTTTTCTTATGAAAATATAAATGGAAAGTGTAAAAAATATATACTCTTTCAGTGGGCAAAGCTGTCATTGCTTAACGAATATAAACTTGTGAATACTGTCCCCCTACTCACTCCCACAGTATCCTCTATGCTGACATTGTGGGGTTCACCCGGCTGGCCAGTGACTGCTCCCCAGGAGAACTGGTCCATATGCTGAACGAACTCTTTGGAAAGTTCGACCAAATTGCAAAGGTGAGTATTAGTGATGACCTTCTACTGAGAGGATATGTAAAATCTTGATTTTTATTTTCCCTGGTCCCTTGTTAATTATATCAGCTTTACATTAAAGCATCCTTTAAGATTGCTATTTGTAAAATTTATCGGACTTACTTGCTGTCAAGCCCTGACAAATCTCAAACACAGCAAGAATGAGAACTGCCGTAGCATATAATTACCACACTTTCATCTCTTTTTAGAACTTGTGCTGATCCATAATTCAGCACACACGTGACACATGCCTGCACGACGGTGGGCTTCCATTTGCTCACCCCGCGTTCCTCTGAGGTCCTCTTTTTTTTTTTTTTTTATAGAGGCATGTTTTATTTATTTATTTGTTTGTTTGTTTGTTTTGTTTATACATGCACTGGGTACAGTCAGAAGCGCGGGAGGGTGAGAGAATTCACCAGAGCGAGCGCGGGGAGCAGAGCAGGCAGAAGGACCGAAGCACACTGCTGAGGGGAGCAGCGGGCGGCAGGAGAGGTCTGCGCGCCATGTGGGACCCTCCTCCGGTGGCCGGGGAGCAGCCGGGGATCGAACCGGCGCCGCAGAGGCCGCGGGCAGCTTCGCAACCCAGCGCTCAACCGCTGCGCCACCGGGGAGGCCCTGAGGTCCTCTTTTTAACTGTTTCTACGTCAAGGGGTTAGAAACATGATTCTCTTTCTGCCATGCGTGACCGCGTCTTTGTTGCCAGGCAGTGCCTGGAAGACTCAGGACACAGCCTCCCCTCAGCCCTGTCCTTATCACCGTGCACCTGAGCAGACGCCCCCAGTGCTCCTCGTCATGTGTGGCCACTTTCACAGGGAGGAAGTGATGACAGTGACCCCGAACCACTCAGAATCTCACTCATTCACTGGAACTACCGGAGTTTTTGTTGGGGATATTACTAACAAATTAATTTTTCTCCCTTGCCAGCCTGTTACTTCTCATCGAATATTTCCAGTCTGCCCAATTCTTTCTTTGAATTGTTTCCAACCCAAAATACCTCATTATGCCCATTATAATGAGTTCTTTACAATCATCGGAGAAAATTATATAGTGGTGTAAGCGGTTGGAAACTCAGTAACACTGGGGGAAATTTCAATAAATAAAACAGAATTCGTTATTTATAAATGGAAAAGTTGGTCCCAAGTTTGGTCCCTGCAAGGTGCTTCTCACTGTGAAACAACAGGAACATTCCCGCCAGCCCCCAGGAGTCGGCCCGTGGCTGGCTCCTATAAGCTGCCTCCTGCTGCCCAGCTGGCCTGGCCACTCCCACTGGGATCTTACAGAGCCAGGAAAGCGTAGCTGTAGTCTTCTTCACCCGAAGGAACAGGCTGCCTCGACAAAAAACAAAGACTGAAACTTAAATAATGTCTTCACCCCAGTGTGAATTCAAAACAAGGTCATGGCTGTGGGACTAACTGGTCATGTTCCTGAAGAGGAACCGAACCTTGGCCGGCGGCCGCAGCACCCAGTGTCCACATGGAGTTGGACACTGTCCACATGGCCCCTGTTTATAAGAATATCAGTCACATTGACAAGGGGCCACCCGATAGGACCTCATCATAACTGATTACACCTGCACCACCCCTGCTTCCACGTAAGGTCGCACGCTTTCAGGTAGGGGTTAATTAAGACTTCAACATATGAATTTGGGGAGCACTTAATACATTCCCCAGGACAGAGGCACCCAGTGTGAGTTCCTGCTCACTGTGACAGAGGAAGATCCAGGTGCCATCCGCTGCATGGCTCACGGTCAGTAGCATGGAGCTGGCAGCGTCGTGAGCGAGCAGCCCTGTGTGGCACAACGTTAAGCTGAGGGACACTAAACACTGCCTGTTCATTGTTTGCATTTTTACGACTACCTTATTGAGGTGCAATCAACATGCTAAGAGCTGTACATGTATTATCTATTAGACCCTCTTATGTGCATCCTCTCTTACGCTCAGCTCCCTCTCACAGGATGACTGTGTTTTCTTTCCCTTGACTTACTGATTGTTATAAATCGTGGATTTATATTTTTCCCCACCACCATCTCTCACACCCCTTTGACCTTTTGTGCCTTCCCGCATCCCACTTAACCTCAGGAACCTCACTTTATTGCTCCACTAGTTTTTATAAATGGTTTGCTTTGTGGAATCCTCCGCCATGTAAATGTCCTGTATTTGTCTCTGTCATCCTGGTTTGCTTTGCTCTGCATCAGTCCGTCAGACTCCATTTGCTGTCAGTGGCAACATTTTGTCTTTCCTTATGGCTGAGCTGTATTCTGTGGTGTGGATGGACACATCTCCTCCACCTGACCTCCCTACCGGTGCGCAGACTTAGAGAACTAAGAGGGAAACCTTATCAATAAGTAGTCACTTGTTTTTTCCTTTTTATTTATTTTTTTTCCTTTTTATTTATTTATGTTATTTCCTTTTTATTCTTTCGGTGTCATCAGTGTCATCAGGAATGGCCAGGACATGGCCTGCTGGCCATAGGCCAGCATGAAAGTGTGTCCTAACTTGTGCCCTCTCTTCACAGATGAGGAAAAAAAATGCAAAATATTCAGTCAAGCTAACACATTCTGAAGAATAAGATGATATGCTCTTTTATTATTTCAAATTTGCTCAATTCATTCCTAAGCTTATGTTAGTGTCAGAAAAAATATCTATGTCAGACACATCATTGCATTTGCTTTTTATTTTAATGAAGAGTCTAAAGCTGACTAAAAAGGTTAAAAAGGGTTGTAGGATTGATGCAGATGGATGCAGTTAATCTCAATATTGCAATATAAATATAACCCAGCTAAGAAAAAGAATGAGTCTCTATTAAAACGCTGTCACCTAAGATGGGAATTAAGCTGTAAATTACTTGGCTGTGTCGGATGGTGGCTTATTAGAGTGTGGAGATGCTTCTCGGTGCTGCGAGTCTGCAGGTACGAGTCTGCGCCCTCTGTAGAGTATGTGAAAAGCGTGAACACAGTGGGGAGTGACGGGAGATTCCAAACTGGTTGTGGTCATCGCTTTCTGCCCCGGAAGAGTCTGCTCTGAGCGTCACATCTCATCTCATGTGTGGGGATTTGAGAGTCCTTCTGTCTCTATACTCCTCTGCTAGAGTTAAGTGTAAATCATTCCAGAACCTTCTCTCTGCTCTTCCTCTCTTTCCCTTTCCCTTATTCCTTCTGCTTTGGCAAATAGACATGTGGGTGAGAACAGCTCTCTCTTGTGGCGCAGTGAAGGAAAACGCCGCTGGTTTCATGTCTCGCTCCACAGCCCCTACTCACTGAGACAGGGTCAGTAAAATGATGATGCTCAGCGGGTCTCGATCATTATGCAAGTGCTTCATGCGACTGACATGCTGTGATTTCTTCTTCCAGGAGAATGAATGCATGAGAATAAAGATTTTAGGCGACTGCTACTACTGTGTGTCCGGACTCCCGGTGTCTCTTCCCAACCACGCCAAGAACTGTGTGAAGATGGGACTGGACATGTGCGAAGCCATAAAGTGAGTGGAGGCCTCGGGGACAGTCTTGGGACTGTTGAGTCGCTTTTCGTTGTAACTGGCACTGACAACTCTTCCTATTTTTTTTCCATTGGCTGTCACTACCTGCTTGTGCATTTAACTGTCGATGCAGACCATTCATTGACCATGTGAGCTCAGCCCAGAGGCAGATCTGTGTATTGTCAGCCTTCGGTTACAGCAAACTGAGTCAGGAACCCTAGAGAGGGAAGTCATGCTCGTTTCAAAGATGGTATTTTTCATGTAAATCACCTTCTTCCTTCTTAAGGACAAAGTGTGCACTTTGAACATCTCTCTTGAGTTCTGACAAATAAAGTGGTTTGCACTCAAGTTGTAAGAAAGTAGGTTTTAGCACCAGAGTGCAAGTCCTATAAAAATGCAGCGCCAAATTACTTCCACTTGTCAAAAATGCTCAACTCCGTAAGCTCAGTTGCAGCTTTCACCCATAACATTTTCTGCTTGGTAACTGCAATATTTTTCATTGTAATTCTAGCGGAGATTTGCTTATGTAGAATGGTGTCATCGTTACAGTCAGCAAGTATAGGGTAAAAATAGAAGGTTCAAAGTTCATTTTCCTTCCCAGCCCCATAACGGTGCATCCTTTAGGAAATGCTCTTCGGAGAAGCCAGAACATTCTTACCATGATAGAAGCTCTTGTTTGTGGGCTGCACGGTTGAACAAATATATTCCAAGTTTACTGGATTTTTGGATTGTCTATTTTGGTAACGTGATGTCACCCTACCCCCCACATAGTTTTGGTGTACACAGGATAGGAGTGATGTGCTCGATGTTCCGATTCCTTGTGTTAGGTTGGAGTAAATGGGGCTTTAAGTGAGAAAGCAACAAATCTAGCTGTCACCGTGTGTGTCCACTATTTATGTGGGTCGTGAGAAGTGAGTAGGAGGTTAATTGGGTGGTCCCGGTGCAATGCAGGAAAAATTCCACACCCCTGGCCCTCCCGCCCCGCAGCCTCATCTGGGTGTGGGAGACTGGAGAGGTCCGGATCCCCTTAGAGGAGCTGTTGCCACAGGCCCCGGGCACCTCAGGAGCGGGAGGCAAAGGAAGTATGAAACGGGAGCAAGGATGGACGGGCGGGGTGAGCAGTGCCACCTGTGCTCCCGTGGGCAATGCTTGGGAAACAGCCCTGTCCCTCCTGCTGTGCCCACGAGAAAGTCCTTTGTCTTCTCTGATACCTAAAAAATATTTTTCTTCACTTTAGTTCAAAAGTAGTGACCTACTCCCAACGCTATGTGAGTGGGTCCAATCAGGGGAATGAATAGGCTTTCTCAGCTGTGCCCCAGCCCTGCAGCCATGCGCCCCCGGGAAGAGGGAGCGCGAAGGCCTTCCTGGATGAGGTCCTGCCTGAGCCACGGGGGCTGGTCATGGGCGCCCTGTGAGCTAGGGGGCCGGGCGGGCGGTGAGAAAGGAGAGGACCCCTCAGCGCACAGGCCCCGCGGGGCGGCGTGAGTGCCAGTGCTGCCAGGGCCCAGGGCTGCCAGAGGGCTGAGCGCAGAGACGGGGCCCTTCGCGGCACGGCCTGGTCCACCAGGGTCTGGATGGCTCCCAGGGGCCACGGAGGAGCTTGTCTTTGTGAATACCCTGAAAAGGAAGGGGCAGGGGTAGAGGCGGGAAGGGAGGGGCAGAGAGCAAGAGCTTCCTGTGCTGTTTGTCCAGGAGGCCATTTATTTTTGCACGTGAATTGCTTCTTTTAATTACCGCGGCTCTGCAACAGGGATGGCGCCCTCGGCGCGTGACGCCCGGGCCGGTGTCACTGGAGACATCTCAGGTGGTGTCCCCACACCCGCGGCCCTGCCCCTGTGCCGTGTCCCGAGGAGGGTCCTACTCACCCCACGCATCCTCTGGGGGTGACTCACTCCGCGTCACGAGGACCCCCTCCCCGTCGACTCTTTCACGGGACATTTGAACAGGCCGATGGACTCACCTGGCAGAAATCAGTACGCGGTGGCCACCGCCGGCCTCTTCCTCGGCTGCGCTGTCTCTGTGACTGGGGGGTCGACAGGACCCTAAGTACTTTTTAAATTGTTTAATGTTTTTTAATGAGAGCTTATGCATTATTAAAGCTTTTTAAATCGCATTTCTTTTCTCTTTTCGCTAAAGAGTGTGCCTAATTGAAAAGCTTTCATCTCACACAGTTATTTTTTTTAATCTCGATTCAGGCTAAAGTCATAATTAAGCTCACAAATAAGCTGTATTGTTCTCGTGTCGGCAGAAAGTGCCCGCTGGGGAGTCGCACTGCTGAGCGCGGCCTCCACGGCCCTTCCTGACACGGCGAGGCCAGGTCGTGTGAGCGTGGCACGGGAGTGGACGTAGGCGCCCGCCCGTCATGGGGACCTGCCGGGTCCCACTAACTGAACAGACAGAAGCTCCCGTCCAGGCCGCCTCTTCCCAGGCCTCCCCACCAGACCTGGGCAGCTTCGGGCTGGCCTGGAGGTAACGAGAGAAAAGCCCTTCCTCTTGGCTCAAACCAGCCACCCTCTGCCCCAGAAGTAGGTGCGATTCTCTCCGGTCGAAGGAATGCAGGACACGAAGTGCCTGGAACGTTAGCCAGGAGGCCAGGATCACGGGCATGGCTGGGGGTGAAGCCGCTTGCCTTCTCTTTAGGAAAGTGCGGGACGCCACGGGCGTGGACATCAACATGCGGGTCGGGGTGCACTCTGGGAACGTCCTCTGCGGCGTGATCGGTCTGCAGAAGTGGCAGTACGACGTGTGGTCCCACGACGTCACCTTGGCCAACCACATGGAAGCCGGAGGGGTGCCCGGGTGAGCGCTGGGGTCTCCGTACCTGGTGGGTGGTGACCCTTGGCCTGCAGCCCATCAGGCTGCTGGTGCGGATGGTCTCTTACCTGAATCACATAAAGGTGAATGCTCCCGTCCCAAGCCCACCGCCTGCTGGCCGCGGTCCAGACCATGAAGTCCAGACCCTCAGGGGTAGATTGTTATTTATTTGCAGAATTCTGGATAGAGACCTGAGTCTGACACTTAGTGCAGAGGTAACATTTCTCTCTGACCAGTGACTCTGAGACCAGCATGGTTAAGCAGAGAGCAGTCAGAGAAGCCTATTAGACCAGGCAGTCTTCATCTAAATGCAAGTGTTCTAATTTGGAGGCGCTGGAGAGCCAGCACTGAGAGAATCCATATTTACGCCATCAGGCAAACTGTCGTTCCCATGCATTTGAAAAAAAAAATAAGCTGATGCACAAAAATTCAATCTGGTCAAGCTTTCCTTGCTGTCATTCACCCTACGGGCCACGCAGGTTGCTGTGAATATGGAGAAATGCCAAGTATGAGCAGCCCCTGAGCCTGGAGCATCTTCCCAAAGTGCGGTTCACAGGCTGCGGCCCTAATTCCAGCCCATTTTCCCGAGAACATTTCCTTCCCCTGGGGAGAAGTGCTGCTTTCTGAACTCACAAATGATAGCAAGTCTTGTTTGCGTTTCTCCTCGCGTGTCTTGACTGTGGCTTCACCGGGACTGCAGGCGCGTCCACATTTCCTCGGTCACCCTGGAGCACCTGAACGGGGCTTATAAAGTGGAGGAGGGAGACGGAGACATCAGGGACCCGTATTTAAAGCAGCACCTCGTGAAAACCTACTTTGTGATCAACCCCAAGGTCAGTTTTGCGAAGGGTCTCTGGTGAGCTCTGACTCGTGTGCTTGAAGGGGGGGTGGGGGGCGCAAATCACCACCACTGCCGGGGCGGGGGGGTGTGTCAAGAATCTGGTTCTTTTGCTGGTCTTTGCCTCTAAAATTACTTTAATCGCGTATAGCAGCTGAGCTGTGTTTCGTAATAATGCAGTCAGATATTTGCTCAAGGAACAGTTGCGGTGATTGGCTCAGGGACGGGGGTGTTGTCTGTAGGAGGCGGCCGTGCCTTAGTCGATCGCGGAGTCCACGATGCTTCTCAGCGTCTCCGAGCGGCCAACAGGCTGCTGGGACACTCAATTGGGAAAAGGTTCCCTTAGCTCTTCAGACGTAAGGCTCTAATGAGATGAAATAGGTTGAACATATAAAAAAAAGGAAAAGAAAATACCTTGTAAAGATGAACCATTAACTACTCTGCGTGTGTTCATGTGAAGACACGTATATGCACGCGTGTTTGTCTCCCCAAGATCCGGACGGCTAAGCCCCACCGTCCGGAATTCTAATGCCCCCCAATCTGGAAGTCTAACTCCCCACGGTCAGAAAGTCTCACTCCCCAGGATCCGGAAGTTGAGTCCCCGGGATCCAGCATCTACCCATGTGCACGCGGCGCCCCTGTCCTGCTGTGTTCACACCACGAGACAGGCAGGGGCCAGGGGCCTCCAGCTCTGATTTCTTTTACCCCCTCCAACTCCAGTCGCGTGGGAACGGGCCCCCCGATAGCTGAAGAACCCACAGCCCCGACGGATTGTGTAACTCCCCAGCACACAGCTGTCACGAGGTGTAAACAGCAGCATAAAGTCCCTGAAGGGCCAAGACCAGTGTCATAAAGTCAACAAATTCAAGGTTGCGGGCTTTGCTCGTAGCTTCTCTGAAACCCGGTGTCACCCTGGAGACAAACCTCCAGTTCACTCGGCTGTCGGTCTGGAGGTCGATGTGTGACGAGCAGGAAGGGCTGTGGGGAGGCTGGGGCAGAGCCACGGGGAAGGCAACAGAAGTACACAAAGGACGTCATGTCCAGGCGAGGAGTGCCCAGACCCGGGTGTGGGAGCCCGTCAGGAAACAGCCCACGTCCCACCGCCGGCCCGTCAGGAAAACACGCGTAGGAAAACGTTAGAGCAGGTCAGCATATTCCATTTAAGAATTTACTTATAAACCCGCTGTTATTTTTCCCGAAGTTTCCATTACAGGTCAGCTTTGTTACCAGGAAAATCTCGCTCATCCACAGCAGGGTGGAGCCCTGACCAGAGGTGCCCGGGAGGGGGGCAGAGCCCGGCCTGGGCGGGGCCGGGCAGAGCCAGCCTCAAGGGCAACCCGGGAAGGGCCGGGTGTGCGCCTTCCCTGCCAGGTGAGACACTTTGCTTCTCACCCCCAGGGGGAGCGGCGGAGCCCCCAGCACCTCTTCAGACCTCGCCACACCCTCGATGGGGCCAAGATGAGGGCCTCCGTCCGCATGACCCGCTACCTGGAGTCCTGGGGGGCGGCCAAGCCCTTCGCGCATCTGCACCACAGAGACAGCATGACGACGGAGAACGGCAAGATCAGCACCACGGTGCGTCTCCCCCAGGCCCCCCGAAGCGCTCAGCGCGGGTCGAAAGTCAGGCCCAGACGGGGCAGCCGTCCCCTGCCCTAGCGCTTCTGTCTGTGACGCGGCAGGCCTGGCGCGTCCCGGGCGGGCACTGCACACGGCCGAGGGTCTCCGTGCGCCTCCCGAGACGCGTGTCCAGGAGGCAGTGGCCGCCGAAGTCAGCTTGTCTCCTGCCTGTTGGCTCCTGTTTGCTCACGGCCTCAGGTGAAAGTGGGATCTTAGGGGGGGCGCAGAGGCTGATGCCCGTGGCTCTGCGACTCCACAGGCGTCGGGCGAGCGTGTCCTGCGTGACGCTTCCTCGCCTCCCCCGGCTCCAGAATGTCCCAGGGCGCTCACGACAGTCACAGAGAATCAGGTGGCTGGAAGGGAACAGAAAAGAGACTCTCCGCGGGGGAAGAAACTGCACTCAGCTTAGACTATCCCCGCGGTGACCTCGGAGGGGGCTTCCTGTCCAGCGGCATGAATGGTGTCAGGGAGGCGGCTGAGGTAACAAATTTAAGAAAGGGAATAGGACGCACTTTTCATCCGTGACTGTTGTCAGGTAAATGTGAGCTTGTCCTGCCCCTGGCCCTCCCCCAACAGGATACAGTGACACCCCCGAAACCCAGCATCGTGACCTGACGGGAGTCCAGGGCTGACCAGGCCACCGGCCAGGCCCAGAGGAGCGTCCCCATGGGGTTGGGGGGAGACGGCAGAGGGAGCAAGTAGACTAGCTGGTCACGCTGGCTGGGCTGCGCACACGGGGAACAGTAGAGGCCGGGCTGCTCTGGGCGGGCGGCTGATTGAGAAGGAGCAAGAGGACCGCAGAGGGGCCACTTCAGCGGCCCTGGACAGAGATGAACGTAGTGTCTTTGAGGGCAGAGATGAGGCTGGTGACATGGACTGCAGGAGCAAACAGACACCATCTGGGATGAGAGCCCCAAGGCCACCGTTCCTGCTGGGTGTAGTGGGGAGTCCTCAGTGGGCCCTAAGTTGGGGAGCAGCCTGCTTTCATGCGTGATCAGTGAGTCATTTAACCACGGTCCAGTTCTTTTTTTTTTTTTTTTAAGATTTATTTATTCATGCACACATGAGCTGGGGTGCAGGCCAGAGATGCAGGGGGTGAGAGGACTCACCAGAGACAGAGCGGGGAACAGAACAGGTGGATCCACTGAAATCCACTGCTGAGGGGAGCAGCGGGGAGACAGGCGAGGTCTGCTGCGCCGTGTGGGTAGCTCCCTGGGCAGCCGGGGATCGAACTCGTGCTGCAGAGGCTGCGGACAGCTTCATAGTGCGGTGCTTAACCCCTTGCGTCACCAGGGAGGCCCCACCAGTTCTTTTTTCTCATGAAGTTACATTGGCTGACATGTTCCCCAGGGTCCAGCCGTGCAGCCTCACCCAGCAGCATCTGCATAAGCTGCGTCCCACTGGTCCCCAAATCTGGTTTCCATCCCTCACCCTACAGTTGCCGCCCCCCACTCACTGGGAGCCACTCTTTTGTTCTTACACGCTAAGAGTTTATTTTTGCTCAGAACTGTTTTGTGTGTTGATTCGCTTGGTTTCCTTACACGCCGCATCTGAGTGACGTTGCGAGGCGTTTGTCATCACCTGGCTTAGCCCACGTAGCAGGATCCCTCGTCCACCCAAGGCGCAGTGCGGGATTCTCTCTTCCTTCCTCGCTCAGTGTATTCGGCTGTGGCTCCCAGGCACAGCTTTTTTCTGGCGCTGCCATTTGTTAACAGCCCGGCGCAGAGATCAGGACCGAGTGTCTTCCCCGCGGGCATCTCCGAGGTAGGGCATGCTCTCTGCACCTGCACGTGGCCGCCAGCCGTGTGCGCTGCCCCTGAAGGCATTCTCTGCAGCCCCTGTTGGCAGTCAGGCCTGTGAACAGCGGGTGTGAGCGCTTCAATCCCAGAAGGATCCGGATAAGGCAGCACCAGCGTTCACAGAGCCCACCGACACTCTGTCTCTAAGCTGTTTCTTATCTTGTTCCGCATTTTCAATTAAATTCTTTTTCTCCAAGTAGGTTTTATTTGTCACTAAATGATCCTTTCAGTGATCAAAGAAGAAATACGTTGCCCACCTCGTCAGGCTGAAACATGGCTCTCAGAGTGTGCTCGGGAAGCTCACGACCTTTCCTTTTTTGACAGGATGTCCCGATGGGTCAGCACAATTTCCAGAATCGCACTTTGAGGTACAGTACATGTTCCCTGTCTGTTGTTTGGAGGTTTATTGCCTTTTATTTATTTCTGGAAGTAATTATCATCAATTATAGTCATTTTGAAGGCTGGGTCTAAAAGAGCAGCTACTCGTGAAAAACTCTATTAAATTGCTTTCAGCTTCTAAAAATAGGAGCGTCCGTGTGCATGTTATTAGCGCTGAGGGGGAGGGAGCGCCCGCCGGGGGAACGCTTGAGAACACGCATTCTTTCCTTAAAATGACCGTTCTTAAAATGTACTAGAAAAAATGAATGTTCTTAAAATGAGTATGTTGCTTAAAATGACATTTTTGTCTTGAATCCCGGAGATAAATTCAGCCTTTCGACAGTGAAAAGGCCCGGCCAGCCTACTCAGGAAAGATAAAAGCTCCCCAGAAATGTCCCCGTGCCCTGCGGCGTCCCCCCGGGAGTCACGGGCAGCCCTCTTTGCCTTCTCTGTGATCTTCTCGCCCTGGGTCAGAGGTTTACTCCCATGTGGGTTGGGGCTTGTGGAAGGTGTGAGAATAATGAATGAAAGACCCGAAACTTAAACCCGCCTTCCTCCCCCACCCTCCCAGATGGGCGCAGGCTTATAGGAAATGGTGTGTCCACGTGAGTAGTGGGCATGGGGGCGGGGGGCTCCATGCCAAGCCCTGCACCCCCTCCAGGCCCCACTGTGTGGCTGTCGTCACGGGCTCTGGTTTGTATTGGGTGTGGAATTTGAAATGCGGAGTGTGACACCGTCGAGGTACAAGGAAAGGCGGGTCCCTGGGGGTGTCACGGTCGCGGTGGCAGGTTCCACGAGAGAGAGCCAGCGCCGCTCAGGAAGGCATGAGAGCAGGAGCCTCCCCTGGCCAGGAGGCCCTCGCAGTTGCCAGCAGCGCTGCCCGGAAGCAACTCCGCCTTTCGTGCTCTGCTCCCAGCTCCCCCCGTCTCCTCTCCTCTCTGTCCCTCTTTGCAATTTGCTTCAAGAGTCCATTTACTGAGATGACGGTGGGGGTGAGCCAGGCTGCGTGGGCAGTGTCTCCGGGTGAGCGCTGTCTGCAGGATGGAAACGATTATTTTCATCTGCACGAGGCATGTGGGGACTCACTCCACCCCTAGCGTGTCAGCCCCGGTAGGCGCTGCTGAGTTCTCACTCCAGAAGGGACGAGCCCAGGCCGCACAGAGCATGTGGCCCGTGGAGGAGAGGCCAGGCTCCTGCAGGTCCTGGGGCCTCTGCCTGCTCTGCCTTCCCCCCCAGGACCCTGCCTTCCCCCCCAGGACCCTGCCTACCCCTCCGCAGGACCCTGTCAGGCCCAGGGCCTCTGCCCCAGAGCCTCTTCTGTACAGACCTCATTTCCCTCCATGGCTCTTTGGCGAGAACTTCAAGTCTGCCTCCCTGAGCTTCCCTCTACCTCAGCCTGTGTCTTAGAGCCCGGGAGCCTCAGGCTACGATCTCGGAGACTTGCCTGGATGAACGCCGCCTGCTTCCGGCCTCCTTCCACAACCCAGCTGGGTACACAGTGGACAGGTTGGAGAAGGAGCACAAGAGAAAGGAGATAATTTGGAAAGAGGTGTTGGAGTAGAGAGACACAGGGCCACCAAGGGTGGGGCTCAGACAGGGACAAGGACAGGACCATGAAGGGGAGTCTGGGGCTGGCCCAGGTGACAGAGTCCAGCCCAAGAGTGTCCTGTCATGTCCACGGCAGAAGCCACAAGGCTAGAGACAGGAAAACTGTCTCTTTGTTAAGATCCTGGCATGGGGTTAACCCGAGTATACAGTGGGTGCATAATGGCGCTCACGTGTTAGCGCCTTCTCGTGCCCACTTGCTGTGTGAGCCCAGTCAGGCAGGACAACCTGAGCTCACTCTCAGAGATTCAGAGACACAGCGTTGTTGGGCCTGGATGTAAAATCGAAGGATTGCATTTTCCTGCAAGTTAAATGCCCACACTGTTCCTTCCTAGACTGCAGCAAAGAGCTGCCAGAGTGAAGCCGACAAGCTCCAGGCCAGACATGGGGATGGGCAAGAGAGAAGGAGGCAGAATGCACCACACTAGAGACCGCTGGGGCTCCTGCTTTTCCTAAAAGAAGGATAAAAATTACTTTGCTTTCCAAATTAGCTTGGAATTTGTCACGCTAAAATCTCCCCATGCAGTTGGCTTGGTATCTGCTGGGAAATCACCCACTACCGTTCTGTTTCTGAACGAGGCTGGTCCTGGCCCATGTGCAGAAGGCGGGACCGGAAGGGCCATGTCCACAGACAGGCATGAAGAACCACCGGCAGGCCAGTTGTGCTCATTAATGATGATCCTGAGATTTAATTATAGATAAAGGTGCCATCGTGTAGTTAATGCTCTTATCTTATCGCTATCCGGAGGCAATTCTGAACTCAGAAAAGTGGTATTTTTATTCCATGATAGCAAGTATCCAATTAGAAATTCACCCAACTGAAAGCAAAGAAGCCACATGCCCTCCACGCTGGCCGGGTCGGCGTGTCCACCCCGGCCCAGGGCCAGGCCGGCTCCGGCCACAGTGGTGAGGGCCCTCGGCCGATAGATGTTTAACTTTTAAAAACAAATTTTACTTTGGTTTTTGCCCTTGACATCATTCTCGTGAGGAGTGCCAAAACAGCCTTGGGAAATTCATTATTATTTTGACATAATTTACTTACAAGGCATCTTATATTAACGACCAAAGACCAAAGACTATTTGAGTCTCAGGCCAGCGGGCGGTCTGCAAAAACGTAGGAGTCCCTGTGAGTCACTGAGGAACATTTAAATACACACAATTAAGCTTTGATGTGCCTGCAAAAAGACCGAAGTCCTGCAAATTCTTGAAAGCTGACCAAGTCAAACATGAACAAAGAGAACTATTTTGTCAACCAAACCAAATTTTTTGCAGGGGAATTTCCAAAGCCAGTGTGTTCTGTCATAAAATAAAGTTTATAAAGACAACAAGTCAAGGGCTAATGCATCTCTTAGGAGAGAAATTTCCTGATCTCAAACGCCAAGTGTATGTCTTTCACTGCTGCTTTTTACTGCCTGGTATAATTTCACTCTAAGTGGATGGCACAACTTATTGCACCAGAAACTCGAGTTGATTCACCCATAGAGAAAAGACTCCACAGACAACTGATTGCTTTTTTCGCTCAACTAATAAAATTAAACAAAGGTTGAGGCATTGTAGAAAGATGGACTTAATATTTAATTTAGTAATAATGTTTGTACCTTTAATCTTTCCCTTTTCACATAGAACCAAGTCACAGAAGAAACGGTTTGAAGAAGAATTGAATGAAAGGATGATTCAAGCCATCGATGGAATTAATGCTCAAAAGTAAGTATTCTGCAGTCATCATTTCTCTTTTTTCATAACCCTTCTGCTGAAAACAGCGGATTTTCCAAAAGAATTTTGCCACAACTCTGTAATACTTCTCATGACAAAGCCCAGTTTTTAAAGACAGTTCACTCATTCCTCCTCAAGATCTTGGTAATAGCTTTTGTTAATAGTATTTCATCTTTTAAAAAAATTAATTTTTGCCTAATAAATGCTCTCCAAGTGAATGACAGCGCCACAACCTGGGCTACGTGCAGAGAGAAAAGTGATGGCAAAGTGTCCTCGGTATGTGGTCATCTTTAAGGACCATTGAGAATTCCACACAGAATCACCTTTAGGCTGTACTTAGACTCTATACAGGCACATGACATGTATTCCCTCCAAATACCAGCCGTCACGGAGGTCGGTGTGTTCCGTGGAGAAGAGGTTGTCTTGGGCACTAGAATTTGAATTCATGGAGGAAATAGAAAGACCAGAGAGGGGTGGGGGACAAAATATCAGCCTGGAGCCTGTGAAGTCTGTGGCTGCAGTGAGTATCGCTGTAGTCTGGAATTGCTGTTGCTGTTGTACGTGGTCCAAGGAATGCAGGAAAAACAAATTAAGAAGGGGGTGGCTTTGGGGACCTGGACAGGAGGGCTGTGTGCAACGGTCCTTGACTGTCCCCCGGGCACCCGTGTCGTGGCTGACCCAAGGAGGGCAGCGCAGACTCCTGGCTGCCCATGGACACTGGGTAAGAGTCTGCTGAATGAAATGGTGGTGAAAACATCAGTAGCCCAAATAAATGACTTCTTGGAAACGTTTCCATCTTCATGCAGACCTGACCACTGCATTCTGATCATGAAAGCTGACTGGTGAAAAGTGTAAATGATTTTCCCCTAGAAATCTCTGTCTCCAAACTAAGTTACACAGTTTTGCAAAACCTTTGCGTCTTCTAGGTTGTTCGTGGCAAGGATGCATTTCAGAATATGCACAGGACTTGTGAAGTCATCCCATACGCACGTGTGGGGATAGGGCGAGAAAGCGCAGGTTCACATTCAAGGACCTTGCTTGAACTCGCTGGCAAGGCAGTTGTGTTGGCACACTGCGTGGGCGCCTGCCTGCGGCCCCCGGTCTGTTCCCAGGAGACACAGCCTTGAGCTCAGGGCTCACCCACAGTGCCTGGACCCACCATTCTGCACTCAGATGTCTAGGGTTTGTTTTGGTTCAGTTTTGTCTGTTCTTTGTTTTGTTTCTCTCTATTCCACATATTGTTGTGTGCACCATTTAAAACTATCCTGTCAGGAGTCTGGAAAGTATGAGGCTGCTTTTGAGGGGTCTGCTTGTGTTCATACGGATCATTTAGTATTAGATACTAAATGTGGCTTTATTCTGACGTCATGGTTACTGTGACATCAGTAACTGCTTGTATAGTAATTTGCTCAACACATTTCAGAAATCAAATAGGGGAAAATGCCATGCCTTGCTCAAAAATCTAAGAGGAACTTTTAAAAATGGAAGCGGTCCTGCATGTGTTTTTAATTAGCCATAATCCCCTCCTGTGGGCCTTGCTCATTAACTCCTCCCGTTCCTCGACATGAGGTTCTGCTGATCCTCTTTGCCTCCTGTGGACGGCGACTCCCCTGGTTGTTCACTTCAGCTGTTTTCCACATTGACAGAAAACAGTGGTTCAGACGCAGATTCTCCGTCTTCATCCCTTTACTCTCTCAGAGAGCACTTGTTAAGGGCTGAATAACGGGCCCGTCCTCTGTGTCAGATACAGGGACACAAACCACTGTCCCCTCAGAGCCCGAGGGTCTAAGTGAGGGGACGGAATGGCCTCCCTGGTGCCCCCACGGCCACAGGCAAGGACAGGGCCGAGGGGCATGGAGGGACATGGACCTTGGTGACTCCAGCTCGCTCTTGGGGGAAACCAAGAGGGAGAGATGAGTCTCCCGCCTCAAGACCATGGGCAGCGAGGCCTGGGGCCTGCTCCTCTGTGCTGAGCCTGGTCAGACACAGGCCACCCGCCAAGCCCCCCACGGTTGCAGGTGGATTCCCAGCAGCTGCGTGGACTCAGCCTGAAGTGGAGTGGGGGTGCAGCAGCCCGGAAGGGTTCTGAGAATTAGCGTGTATTGATTGCTCTAAACTAGCAGCAATGAGTGGTGGGAATGTCAACCGGGGCGGCCACTGTGGAAAGCAATCTGGATTCACCTAAAAAAAACTGAAAAGAGAAATAGGGCATGGCCCAGGATTCCCCTTCTTGGGCATCTATCCAGAGAACATGAACCCATCAACCCACAAAACTACATGCCCCACAGTGTTCACTGCAGCAGCATTTACAGCAACAGGACACAGAAGCCCCTAGTGCCACGGACAGAGGTCTGGGCCCAGGGGAGCTGGTCCCGTCCACTCTATGGAATATTCTCCAGCCACATGGAAAGATGAATTCCAGGCATTTTCTGCAAGTTGGAGAGCATTTGCGGGAATTATGGGAAGTAAAGCAAGGCAGAATGACAAGACAAATATTGCACATTTACATAGTAGACAGTTTGATAAAGTAACATGCTTACAGAAACCAGCAGGCATTAATAAAAACTGAGGGCTCTGAGGTCGAGAGGGAATGTGAGGTTGAGGGGGAATATTAGGGATGGTGGTGGGCAAAAAAAGAAAAATGATGTTCCTCTATAATCAGATTTTTTAGGAGCTGAAAGGCACCATGTGGTTTTAGTAAAACGTCGGGGAATATACTTATTGATGTACTTGAATCCTGGGTGATGGCCTGTCTCCTCGGGTATTTCTCTCAGATAACCTGAGTTGCAATTCGGTATGACGGTTGATTTGCAATGTAGAATTTTCCGAGAAGGGCAGTGTGAAAATAGAAATCTTGTATTTGAAGATCCTGTGAAAAACCTCTAGATTCCATTTCTAGTGTCTAGGCGGTGGGCTTTTTGTCACGTTACAATAAAGAAGAACGAACATGCAAATCACCGCACAGAAGCGGTTCCAGATGTTTGGTTGGAGATCTGGCTTGATGGCACGTCTGTCCTTTTTATTCCAGGCAATGGCTCAAATCCGAAGACATCCAGAGAATCTCCTTGTTTTTCTACAATAAAATACTAGAAAAAGAAGTAAGCTATTCTTCAAAATCCATCATTTTTTCTGAAATGTTAGCTTTAAAAACTCCTTCATGAAATTATAGTGATTATCTGCTGTGGCTTTAAACTCCCCCTAACTCTGCCAAACTCCAGAATTTCTCGTGACTCTGACACGCGTATGTTGTTCTGGCTGATTTCTGGTTACCACGTCTCAGCTTTTGGCTCTGGAGGGGGTGATGTCTCCGCGTCTGAAACTTGGAACTGAAGAGAGAGATCTGAGTTCATATTCTCTAAAAACACCCAAGATCCTTCCTGCTGCAGTTGCAATGACTTTACACAAATTATTTTAACTTTTTGATTAAAAATATGAGGTTTACATTGACACCTATTTGGGAGAATGAAAACCCCAAACTGTGGCTCCCAACATACCCCTGCATTACCTTCAGATACAAATACATAGGAGGACATTTAGTTTTTACACATCGAGTGTGACGTGGATTTGCTAAAATGAGTGAAGTGATGCTCAAAGGACCACCTTCCTTTCTAGGTCAGCTTTTTTTCATTCACCTCCTGTGGATGTTGATCTAGAAAAGGAATAAGTAAGAGATTATTTTCATCACCCAACATATGACTGGTCTTAGTTTGAACAAAACCGACCGTACTAATAGTAGCTGTCATTACCCTGGATTAAAATTCTGCAAAGACAATTCAATTGTTTTATCGACATTAAATAGAGATATCGAAAATCCCTCCCAAAATTCATCAGGGTTGGATTTTATAGTTACACCGAAACTTCCTGTTGTGTCGGTGAGAGCAAGACGAGTGCCTGCTCCCAGGCCAATGGGTCGCCTCCCGGCAGCTGCCCGACTGGTATTGAACAGGATTTACTGTGATTATTGACCGTTTTATCCTGAATAACTTTACAGATACAAATGGTTACTGATTGTTTAAATATTCAGTTACCCCTACCTGATAGAAGGCCATTCCCTTTGTTAATGCTGAAGGAAATTCCATCTCCTATCTCTGCACAAAGCCCAGAAGAAAATAAGAGGTAAAAGATAAGGGTGACATTGAATGTGCAAAATACCCCATTTTGGCAATTATGCTAATATACTTCTTCATCAGCATATAAATTATCCTGGCTGCTAACTCACAAATCTCATTATAAAAAATTCCAGTAAACAGAAGGGACTCATCATGTAAAAACGATGCTTTTGCCGACATCACCTATGAGTCCACATTTTCAAAGACCAACTTGGCGGCATCGTTTAGAGAGCGCTGGGATCTTTTGTTCCCCTGTCCCGGCCTGATACTCGGCCGGCAGGAGGGGTAAAAGGCGACAAGACCCTGAGGAAGAGGAACACCTGTAGGACCCGCCAGAGATGCACCGTGGCTCAAAAAACCCAGTGGTGAAAGCCGGGGCGGTGCACCCTCTGCTTCCATAACTGGGGAAACAAAACGCAGCAGTCGCTGATGCCACCTGCCGGCGCTATCAGGTTTCAGCAGCGTCACCACAAAGCCTTTATTTCCTTTTAATTTTATTATAAAACTCTCTGTGGGGAGGTGGTAGAGCCTGGTGGTTGAAAACCAATACAGCGGGGTGAAGATCCTGGTTTTGCCCCGCGCTGTGTCTGCTGAGCGTGGTGACCAGCGGGTCCGGGCCGGTGCACCTTCGTCCCAGAGTGGGGGCACTGACGGTGCCTGCCGTGGCCCTTGCAGGATTAAATGAGCTGGTTCTGGTGAGCTTTGGAGTGGGGCTCCCAGGGGGAAGAGCCCACCTTGGTGTTATGGGCGCCGCCTGCTGGCTCTGCCCCTGCAGTTCCGAGTGGGCAGCTACCCTGGGCGGAAAGAACCAGCCGGGCTCGGACAAGCAACGATGGCATCCCGGCGACAGACCCCACTCGCCGTCTCTGAGCTGTGAATGAAACCGTCACCTCCAAGTGGCATTAAGAGAAATATAAAATCAAATGCTGCGATAAGCTAGTCACAGGAGGAAATTACCTTTCCTCAATACTGTTCCCGAAGGAAGTACTATATTTGGGGAATGTTCTCCACTTTCCATGTCATCGTGGACGTTAGACCCGAGGGAAGCGTGACCCTGCAGGCCCACCCCCCCTCAGGCTCACCCCCTCCTGTTCGGGTGCCCCAGCTCCTCCCTGCAGTCACTCAGTTACCCTTCAATGGGTTTCTGAACAGTCTGGCTCATAGAAACCGCCTTCTGCGGAAGCCCCCTGCTCAGCCCACACGGGGGACCCTCGCTGCTGGTGGCGGGCGGCGGGGGGCGGCGGGGGGCCACGTCTGTGAGTGTAAGACGCTGAACCAGTGTGGGTGAGGTCGCTGCGGAACTGCCCCGACCCGCCCAGAACCGGCTCTCACGTGTCCTCTTGCCCCTAGTACCGGGCCACGGCGCTGCCGGCGTTCAAGTACTACGTGACCTGCGCGTGCCTCATCTTCTTCTGCATCTTCGTCGTGCAGATTCTCGTGCTGCCAAAGTAAGTGTGTGGGGTTTGCCCTGGGGTGCCTTCCCCAGCGCCAGCTGCCTTCAAGGAGGAGAGGATGGCATCAGGGTGATTTGGAACTCTCCCCCAGGGGTGATGCAACATATATCATCGTGGGGGGGGGCAGGGGACCCCCCCTTAATTCAGGGTCTGTAAAGTGGCACCTGTGTGCCCTGCTTAGTTATGGGGTGATTTTGGTTTTTTCTTTCACGGTATTTTATCTACTTTTCCGTGATTATTTTATTGAACTAACATTGCTCGACAGCGCTGATTGTCCAGAGCACAGCTTCACGCCTCCCTCATAAATGACCACACGCAGCACTTCCCCCAGCAGAGGCCTCGGGTCGCCCACCGTTCAATCACCCCTCTGCCCGCTGGATTCTCCAGGCGGACGTGTTGCTTCAGGAATGTTTTTAAAAGGCAGTTAATCTTTCACTCGAATTTCCAGATCACTCTGATGCCATCCAAGAAATGTAACCCCGTAAACTCTCCCCAGAAAGAGCAAAATGGCAGACATTGATTCTAATAAGCTAACATTGTGGGGTAGAGAAGAGCAAAACCTCTCTGGGCCTGCTCTGTGACCGTCCGTTCTGATTCACATTCTTCTCCACGAAGCCCATCCTCTGCCACCGTGTCTAATTGCTGTAGGTCACTGTCAGCTTGTCTCTCCAGCTGGAAATGTTAATGGATTCTAAAGTTGATAGACCAGATTGCGCCAATAAGCCCCTTGGGGATTTGAATAACTCATGAGGCCCTGTCAATAGCTATGTTTGAGAACATATATTGTTCTCCAGCATAAAGCAGGTATGTAGCATTTCAGAAATCCATTAAGACATAATAGAGTATATTTATCTCTCCCAAGAAGAAAAATAAACTATCCCAATAGAAATTATAGAGACTGTGATCTCTGATCAAATCTAATAAAATTATAAATAACAAGGACAGATCCTTGTCAAATTAATCAGACTTCTAAATTACTCTTGCATCAAGAGGAAATGGCAGTTGAGATGATAGGCTTTTTAGAAGAGAATGACAATAAGTAGTATTAATCAGAAGCTTTGGATTTGGCTAAAGCAGTAATTATGGGAATATTTATGTCCTTAAGTGCTTGTATTAGAAAATGCAAAAGACTGACAATCAATGACAATGAGAACAAAACAAAATTTGAAACAGAGGAATTTCTAAAAGTTAAACCAGAAACTAATAACAGAATATTATCACAAACTATGGACCTTACTAATAAACCAAAACTTTATGTTTTGAAGCCCATAAACATGCAAAGCTTCAAAAGTCTGATCTAGTGAGAAAAAGAAAAATAACATTAAGTCCAAGAAGAAATTAGTTCAAATATGGGGTCTTTAAATTTTGAAAATATTATGTGGAATAATTTGCGTTCAGCAATCTAAATGAAATGGATACTTTTCTAGGAAAATTATTAAAATTCCCTCAAGAAATAAAGCCAGTAAGCTTGGCATATGCATGACATGTCTTTGCCCTATGGGCTCCTTAAAAAGAGCAGGAACATCATTGTTCCACCACAGCGCTTAGTAGAGCTAGAACTTTAGTCATGGTTTTCAGCTGCTTGGGGCTTCAGTTTTTCTCTGGTAAAATGAAGTAGCCATGATTATCCAGGATTATTGTGAGGATTGAGTGGACTGTACTTAATGAAACTTTAAGAACAGTCCTTGGTAGATAGTAGATACTCCTAGGGGTTATTTTGTATCATCATCACCACCATCACATCGCTGTCACCATGATTGCTACCATCAGCATCGTCTTCATAGATGACATTATAATTGAAACTTGCCAAGCCTTCCAGGAGAGATTATTCATTTATTTTTTAAACCATTTGAGACCTAAAAAATAGATGCAGTGTTGCTGAACTCAGTCTATTGAGGCTGACATTACTCTGACACCAGGAAGATGTAGGAGCAAAGAAAACCCCTCAGAGCTCTCTTAAAAGACAGATGGGGCCTCCCCTAGTGGCGCAGAGGTTGAACGCTGGGCTGTGAAGCTGCCCGAAGCCTCTGCAGCGCCGGTTCCATCCCCGGCCACCAGGCGAGGGACCCACATGGCGCCAGACCTCTCCTGCTGCCCGCTGCTCCCCTCAGCAGTGTACTTCGGTCCTTCTGCCTGCTCTGCTCCCCGCTCTGGCTCTGGTGAATTCTCTCACCCTCCCGAGCTTCTGACTGTGCCCAGTGCTTGTATAAATAAGTGAATAAATCTTAAAAAAAAAAAAAAAAAAAGACAGATGGGAAAGGTGGCAAACAAAATCTCATCGGAAATTACCATGTCCCTCTTCAGTCCCAGGAGTATCGAGACCCACCTCCTAGCAGTGTCAGTATCAGGCCAGGTGTCGCCAAGTGCTGAGTTAGACCCAGGAGAGTATTCAGCGCCCCTACATCACTGGGGCCGGCTCAAGTAGTTAGTATGAGCTCAATTTTTTGCAGATCTCGCTGGGTGTCCAGTCATCTCCCACAAAAGGTTACGTGTATGTGAGAGGGTGAGCTGAGTGGGGCCTCCATCAGAGAAGCAGGAGGGGGCTCAGCCACTTCCTCCATTCCCCTCCCCAAGGGCCCACACCTGTGCGCTCGGCTGGTGACTCCTGCCTGGCGCTGACTGCGCCTGCTCTTCCCTTTGCTGCACCATCGGGTCCTTGGCCCTCGTTTCAGAGCCAGTTGGCCTGTCTCTCGGGCATCGCCTGCCAAGCTCATCGGCAGTTTCCACAGTGGTCTTGGGAACGAACTGGACTCTCCCCGAATATTTTGTTTCCACTTCACCTTTGGTTTTTCATTGTGAATACCCCGAGCATGTCTATCCTTGGACTTAATGAGTTTTTAAAACTTAGAGATATTTAACTATTTTAAGAACCTCTCAGAAATGAACGCAATTCTTATGCTCTTACCCGCCTGTGATCCGCCAGTGGCAGACGTCCTGGTGACCCCAGGAAGCTCCGTGTTCACTTTCTCAGTGGGCCTACTGCCCGTGGCCTTGGGGCAACCTCGGGGAACATTTGACTGCATCTGGATTTGAATCCTGATGTCTCCTATAGGGGAGCATGAGGGTTCAGTGTTTCCTGAAAGGACAGGGGTTAGGAGGGGCTCGGGGTCATGCGGGCAGGGGGGAGAGCATGGAGCTAGCACAGTCAGGTGAGTTATGGAAAGATTCTCTAGGAAGAGCTTATGTTTATTTGTTTCTGTTCACATTTTTTTATCATTTCTTCTAAGCTAACAGAGTATGTTAGTAGCAAATACAAGCGCCTTACAGGGCAGTCTTCATGGGTCCTGACAAATCCATCAGACTCAGCTGCAGGCACTTTCATGGACGCGTTTTTGGTGAATGTTTTACTTTCATTTACCAAAAACTTAGTAAATCGTCTCCAAACAAAATGTAGTAAAACTTAATAGAGTTAGTCCTCATTCAGTGACGTCCCAGTTTAGCGGAAACGCTGCAGGTGGCTTTCCAGAGGAAGGAGCGAGGCCCACAGTAACCGCCCCTTTTCTCTCCCGGTAGAACGTCCGTCCTGGGGATTTCCTTCGGCGCTGCGTTTCTCTCGCTGGCCTTCATCCTTTTCGTCTGCTTTGCGGGACAGCTTCTGGTAGGTGCTTCAGATATGGAACTTCTTTGAAAAGTGTGTTCACTGAGTGAAAACTGCTACCTTGCTTAAAACAGGGAGCGCGCCGGCTTGCCATTTGAAGAGGCTCAACTCACAGTGAAGAGTAGGTTCCTTCATGCCGACAGCCCAGAATATCAACTGGGCAGCTCGCACGCGCTCAGACACGAATTTGAAGATTGTGTGAAGTGTTGGCCATCACAGCCTCAAATTGCATTTATGATTATTTGTTTCTGTTCACATCTGTTATCATCTCTTCTAAGCTCTCAGGGTATTTTAGTAGCAAATGCAAGTGTAATCGGATGCTTTTAGGGTACAGCACAATTCACGTGTAAACCAAATGTATCTTCTAAATCCACTTTCAAGATACAAACTTTGGGAACATACGAAAATAGCAAATATAAAAATGTCTTTTATTAACATTTAATTTAAACCATCACTCTAAGCTCTTGTACTGTAGCTGCTAAGAGTGGCTGTAAGAATCACACCCGAGTGTGTGCTTGAGTCTAAAGCCGGTGTTGCTGGCCTCCCTCCATGAGAGCCCCAGAAAACCAGCAATTAGAAGGAATTCCCAGGAGACTCAGCGTTTCCTTTCGTTTGCTGGCGAGTGGTGGGAGCAGAAGAGGCCTTTCGTGCACAGCTCTGGCCGCAGGGCCTGGGCGTGCGCGGGAGATGCTTTGGAGATTATTTCATGAAAATTGTAACTTTACAATAATTCGTTATACAAAATCGACAGACACCGTCCTTAGCACATTTGTCGGTGAATACGCGCTCTGTGATGTCTGGGCTGAGAATGCGGGACTTTCCTCTCCCGGCTAGACTTGGACAAGACTGTGTAGGGGCAGAAGCACGGGCAGGCCTGGAGCCTGCAGCCCTGCCTCCCCTCCTGGGCTGTGCGTGCCCGAGCAACGCTCCACGGTGCCCCAAGAGCTCTCGTCCCACCCCGCGTGGCGGGCCGATCGTCCTCCGCTGCTTCCGGGAGGGCCATTTTGCTTTTTAGAAGGCACGCTGCTACCGCCTGCAGCTCCCCTCTGAGTCTCTGGGTGCCATGTCCCTGCTGCCCCAGGCCCCCCAGTACATCCCAGTCAGATGGGCTGGACTCCTTTGCACAAAGAGCTCATCTCTGCCTCTGGACAGCAAAGGCTGCTGTCCTTGGCTTTGATCCTCTGCAAACGGGGGTGGGTTTAGCACCATCTGAGATTGTGGAGATGCTTCCAAGTGGTTGGGAAATTCTCCCAAAGTGGGCCTGTGGTTTCTGATTTCCTCCAGTGGCGTCAGGAGTCTCCCCAAGATCTCAGAAGTCTCTGTAGGTTGTCCAGAGGGGACTGGGTAAACACTGACCATGGGGAACCTTGTCAGAGTGTTCCAGAATGCTGACGGCACAAAGAAGCCTGATCTACACATCCAGGTGGACTCGGGTCCCGTCCTCTGTCTTCCTGCAGCCATTTCTCTGGTTTTTGGGACAGATCTGTCCTCCCAGGCTCCGGGGGCAGCCAAGCCTCCTTCTAATTAGAGCAGCCATATTCCTCATTTTCTGTTTCAAGAGATCCATCTTGGAGGTGGGGGAGCATGATGTGTATTTAGGGTGTCAAGCAGACTTCTTCCTTTCCACATGGACATTTCTATAGAAAAGAAACACAGAGCGGTGGCCTGGAAAGTATTCTCCAGAGGACGTTGCTACCCCCTGGCAGGCCCCCCTCTAATGTAGTGGGTCCCCTCTCAGCCACCACCCCAGCTCACCTCACTGGTGAACCATCCCAGCTCCCCCAGCCCGAGATCCCAGAGCTTCCCAAGACCTCACACCCACATGCCAGATGCTCGGAAGTTCTTTTTAACTCAGCGGTGGCTCAAAGGGAAAATTGCAAGGCTGCAAGAAAACCAGTCTTTGCCAAAGTCAGGAAGACTAAACGTGGAGATTCCCAGCTGGAATCTCCAGGATCCAGGAGTAATCCCTGCCCCCCTCCGCCCCTGGGGACCAGCCAAATCCTTGGTCCTCATGTAATCCTGGCGAAACTCAGCAATTCTTCTCCTTTCAGTAGTAGGTTCTTTTTACTGCTTAAACCTTTCTGTAGGGAATTTTTTTTTTAAACTGTCAACATGAAACACACTCATGTATAGTCACTCTAAGACGGTTTTAAATGTGCTCTAGTCTACCCTTCAAATACAGTCAAGAACCATAAATGTCACGAATTTTCCATGGCAGTCAGGAAAAAGTGTCGTGCACCCTAAGTGCTATTCCTTGGGCCCTGGAAAATCTCCCAGTCGTGGGAAGTTCTACCCTGAGTTGTATTGACTTAGGGGCTAAAAACCAAATTTATGAAAATGCACCTAATATCCCAGATTTACCTCCTATTAACATGCTAAACCTTTGAAAACCTTGGTGCTGCAGGCAGTACTGAAGCTGATAACCCTGTTTTAAAATTCTCTTGAATTTTGAAGTGAAGAGCTGTTATACAGGCAGTTGAGAAGATGTAAGCCTGGCAGCTGTCTTTCCTCCAGCATCTTACACCAAATATGCAACACAAGTAAACACACTTGATGGGTCATTTTATAGCTGGGTCTAAAAAAAGGTAGAGAAACATCAAAATGGACAAAAAGTAAGAGTGATCACGAAATGCAATTTTATTTTCTTGTTGAGAGAAAAGCCATGTAGATATTTGTTCAGTGACACATTCCAGATAAAAATGCAGGAATGCAGCTGTTTTTGTCATGATTTATTTCTCTGAGATGTCAGCTCCTCTTTCTGTCCCTCACCCGCTCCCACACCTCCCCCTGAAGTGCTCCCCACCTCCATGTTTCTCTTCTCAGTTCTTGCCCATGTGGTGGCTCCAGAACTGCTCACCTTCCCAGAATCTCCCTTAATATCACACTGGCCCTATGATGGCACCTTCTCCTAACAGAATAAATGTTACATTAAAAATGGGATTGAGGGCCTCCCTGGTGGCGCAGGGGTTAAGTCTCAGTACTAAGAAGCTATCGAGCCACTGCAGCATGAGTTTGATCCCCAGCCAGGGAGTGACCCACATGGCACACAGACCTCTCCTGTCTCCCCGCTGCTCCCCTCAGCAGTGGATTTCAGTGGATCCACCTGTTCTGCTCCCCACTCTGTCTCTGGGGAGTCCTCTCACCCCCACATCTCTGGCCTGTACCCTAGCTCTTGTATGTATAAATAAATAAAAATAATTTTACAGTTAATTTATTGGTGAATTTAGAATCTATAATACGCTAGTAAATAAATACCCTCAATACTTTCAAAATGTTCTCACAAAAATAGAATCTTATAAAGGATTTTTGTAATTCTTTTAGTTGATCAATGAAGCAATTCATTTGATTTAGGTAGAAATTAAAACAGAATAAGAGAGTCAAGTTCACATTTTCATTATAATCAGCAACAAAAACCAGCACCAGCTGTCACCAGAGTGGTAGTATTGCTAATAATAAGTGCACATCTCCTGCCAGATTTAACTTTCTGAACTATCTGAAGTGACTTAAATTTCTATAACAAATGTGACAATGACTCTAGCCAAAAATAACACCCCAAACAACCCAAAATACATCTTTTAGAAAAAAGACACAGTTTTAGCAAATGAAAATGTCAGGAGAAATTTTTCTCTCAACATGGCTGCCCTTGGCTTTGTATGGCACAGATAATGTGGTGCCTGCCCACCAGCGTTATTCCCAGCAGAGATAAAAGCACAAATAGAGAAGGTCCTGGGGAGGGAAAAGTAGGTGACACACAGGCTAAGAGGAAAGCTTCTACCCCGCAGGGCAGTGTTTTTCCTGGAAACCTATTTTCTCTAATGTCAAAATGAGTCCACCAGCTTTTTCTTGATGAGTATTTTCCCACTGTCCCTTTTCCAAGTCCTTATCTAGGTGTGTGTGTCTCTTGCAAACAACATCCTCTGGGATGTCTCTGCTCTAATGATCTCTCTCTTTTCCCTGATGGGTGTGCTGCATTTACGTGTATTGTAATTGCTGCTGCAGCCTTATTTAACTTTCATCATCTGTCAGACAGCTTCTTTGCTTCAACTTACTTCTCCTCTTCCTCTGCCTCCTCTTAGAGCTGTGGGATTTATTTATTCTCTTTTATTTCCTCTAATGACCTGGAAATGATACACTGTAATCTGTTCTTCCAGTGATGGGCTTCAATATGTAACATGTTCAATTATCATTACTCCCTCCATCTTGCTGAGGAATAAGAGACCCTGGTGGAAACCTCTCCATCAACTCACCTTTTCCATCACCCATTTTAATGTTGTTTAAATTTTTTTACTTTTATCATTATTTTACTTATTATTCAGTGTCACCCTTGTTCTTATGGTTGAACAATTTCTTTGTTGTCCATCCCTCCTGAGCACCAGTTCCTCCCCCAGAACTCAGTGACTGTATCACCAGAAGCTGATGCCTTGTGGAATCCTTACGGATGTATAACATAGCCACCCAGCTTGTATACTTAAAAAAGAGTCTATCTCCTAATTGAGTGATAATTGATGATAATTTTTCTAATATTGTTAAAACCTGAATTGGTATTTTGCTGCATTTAATGCACCAAAGAGCAAGTCTACTGCCCTGCTATCTGTTCTTCCTTAACAGCTAATCTGTCTTCTCTCTGGGGGTTGCAGGATTTGCTCTTGGGCTGTCATAGTAATAGATTCCTTCCATTAAGATGTACATTTGCTTTCGGTTTTCCCGTTGGGGGCCTGCTGTGTGACCTCAGCCACAGAGCTCACATTCTGTTCCTGGCCCGTAGAGTTGCTACCCCTCCCCCTTATTTCCAGTCTTTCTGCTTCATTTTTCTCAAACTTTCATTATAAGTATGTTGAATTTTTTTCGCTGTGTCTTCTGCACCTCAGTATCTCTTAATTATGTTTTTATTTCTTTATCATTCTGTACTGTTTTAGGGATTCTTCCCACAGCTCAATCTTATTGTTAATAACTACCTGTCCGTATTATACGGAAATGGAAGTCAGCTACCCTTTGTACTCTAAGATAGGGAGGTGTCCAAAGTTTGTGACTGAAATTCATCTTGTAATTTCAGTTAAATTGCTAGGAGGCTTGGAGGTTTTAGTTTACCTCCTAGTGCACTATTTAACATAGCACCAAATAAATATTGCAAGTTGTCAATGCATGACTAGTGAGTTTTAATTTCAGCACCTACATTCTATGTGGCTCATTGTTTAAATACACCTACTTTTTTTTTAAAGATTTATTTATTTATTTATACAAGCACTGGGTACAGTCAGAAGCGCGGGAGGGTGAGAGGATTCACCAGAGCCAGAGCAGGCAGCAGATCAGGCAGAAGGACCGAAGTACACTGCTGAGGGGAGCAGCGGGTGGCAGGAGAGGTCTGCGCGCCATGTGGGACCCTTGCCCGGCAGCCGGGGATCAAACCGGCGCTGCAGAGGCTGTGGGCAGCTTCGCAGCCCAGCACTCAACCACCGCGCCACTGGGGAGGCCCCTATTTTTTTTATCCTAACAACCTGCTCATTCATTATGGTCTATAATCCATGTTTCAGTACTTTAATCTTATTGTATGGCTATTTCAAACCTTTGTGAGATCTGTAGATCTCGTGATGCTATTTTACTACCTGTTATGACTATTGGCTCTTCCTTGTGAGGCCCCGTGTCTTACATGTATCTTAATTCTTATACTATGAGGTCAGTTCAGTGGGGGCTGCTCCTCCCCAGCTGGACTGTTCCCTTCACTCTCTTGCTTCTGCCAGAACCCCAAGGGCTTCATCTACTTTTTAACCTGATGAATAGCCCCTCAATTTGAGATTCTCGTTCTGAAGCTGGTAACATGATTTTAAACTCAACACCCATATTTAGAGTGACTTTGTCGCTGAATGCTTGTTGATACTTCCCTAGCCTTGAACTTGCTGCCCAGAGTTCTTCTGGACTTCTTTACATGGGAGAGACCGCCCTTGCAGACTTCTGATTTTATTCAGGGGGCTTGGGTCTGTCTTCTGTAGGCCCAGGGCACATCTCTCCCCGTGGTCATTAGAGGCCCACCCCCATGTTGGTAGCCAAGGTCCAGCACACGCCTGGCCAGCCGCACAGCCTGGGTTCCAGCAGCACTGACCCGTGTCCTTGCGTGTGCCCATGGGGATTTCTCTCTTGCCACAGCATCTGGATGGCAAATGTGCTGAGCAAGCACATGTGAGCTGCTGCTATCCCCGAACTCTGTGCCGACCCCAGGAGACAGGCTGGAGGGGGCCCTCTCGGGGTCCTCACCCAGCTCTCTCTGTGGCCAGAGACAAGCATGGCAGCACAGACGATGCCGGGGGGCAGGCTGTGAGTGCCCTGAAGTGGCACGTGTCCCCCACTAGAGGAATGTGCACCCCGGAGCATGGAGAAGCAGGCGGATGCTATAAAATATGATGGAAGTAAAGAAGCAATTTGTAGGAAATTGAAGAACAGTGAGTGATCAAGGCGCCATGACAACCTTGGTGACAGTAAATGTCACAAAAAATTGCTGCTGTGGCTGCTGCTGCTGTTCAGAAAGACGGTCCTCGGCCGCTTAAAATGCTGAAGTATCGGAGACGCTCCTTTGGGTGGATAAACACACAGAAGTGCGTGTGTGTCTGATAAAGTTCACTCTCTTTTTTCAGATGAGGCTTGTTTTTCTAATCACAAGTTTGTTGCTTTGTCACATAGGACATATATGGACCATTTCTGCTTTCCTTTTTATTAAATTTCACTTAAAATAATAGACTTGGAGTTCCTCACTTTTATTTTTTACATGGACTGAAGCAAAACTATGCCTGCGGTCTGCTCTTACAATATCACAGTAATTCATGAGGCATTCTAGAGTGGGTGACTGCCAGTTGTTCCCGTGCAAAAGGGCCAAAAAGATAAAAAAAAAAAAAAAAGAGTCGGGGAGGAAGGAGCATGGACTCTGTGTGTGGCGAATCTTCTGCCTGCGCTGAATGCAGAACACGGACATCCGGGCCACCCTTAGCTAACCACGCTGTTCGTGCTCCATGATAGGATTTTCATTTAAGTTTATATTCTTGCTCCTTTCACATTCCCCACCACACTTAGACTGAGTCCAGGTTTGTCGGTAGGTGAGTGGGCACCAGCAGCCAGGAGCATTTCTGGAAGGTCCACAGTGAATTCACTGGACGGGCTAATCAGAGGCCCCGGCGAGGGGCCCGTTTGGCCGAAGAAGCCTCTGATTAAAGCAAAGAGCAGACCGAGGGCAGCCCCGGGCCCTGGCAGGCGTCTCTCATTTCAGTCTGAATAAAGCGCCGTGCTGTTCTGTGAGCTGCTCTTCTTTATAGGATGGTGTCGACTTTGAGAAGCTTGATTTTCCATCAGGGACTCCTTTTGATCACTTTATCCAACAGAGAATAGACCGGAGAAAATTGCCATGTCACGATCCAAGTTGTAATCTTCATTCGGAGCCGCACATTCAATGGATGTTCTCACTTTTTCTTAATCCGATTCTAAGAGCTTCGTCTTTTTCCTCTCCTCTTCCTGCCCCTTTGGGTTCTTCTGTTTCCCTAATATCTTCATCTTCTGCCTCTTCTTGTATTTGTGAAGTTTATCACCCTGTTGTGTTGCAAAAACTCAAACAAGTATTTTTTTATTTGATCATGTCAATGGTGTGTCTACAATAACTAGATAATATTTTATCTGATTGACAGTATATGGAAACTGACTAGATTGGCATTTTCTCAGTAGTAAGTCTCCTGGCATTGTCCCTCTATCTGTGGATGATTCCTATGTACAGACACAAAAATACCAGTTATAAGAATTTTCTCTTAAATAAAAACACTAATCCTAGTTGTCGAAGGCACAAATACGTATTATCTTCGTTTGCCAGAAAGCCCCTTGTGCAGGATGGAAAGTTCTAGAGAGCTGGCACACAGCAGTGAGAACTGTGCCCTGACGTGGTTAAGGGGGCACATTTTCTAGTCTGTGCTATTTTACGCCATTGAAAATTTTTTTAAAAGGAGAGCTTCCGCGTGCGGGGGGCAGCGCCCCCTACAGGACAGGTGGGGGTACAACCCGAGGCCTTGGGTTGCAGCCCCTGAGACGCAGCCAGCAAGTGTCTGTGGCTGGGGGTATCAGGGTTCCCTGAGTCTGTGTTGATTTCTTTTCTGCATAAATCAGCTGAGGTTGTGGTAACTGCTTCATCGTAGCTGGTGTGAGTCCCAGCCCACCCCGCAGAGGGGTTAAATGAACCGGCACCTGCTTCCTTTACCAGAAGATTAAGATGTGACTGTGGGTCTGTCTTGGAGGACGTACAGCAACCCTCCGCCCTCCCAGCAGCGTCCCCACCTGTACCCCCGGGCACCCCTCCGCCTTCCCAGCAGTGTCCCCACCTGTACCCCCGGGTACCCCTCTGCCCTCCCAGCAGCGTCCCCAGCTATACCCCCGAGTACCTCCTCTTCCCTTCTAGCAGCTTCTCCACCTGTACCCCCGGGCACCCCTCTGCCCTCCCAGCAGCGTCCCCACCTGTACCCCCTGGGCACCCCTCCGCCCTCCCAGCAGCGTCCCCACCTGTACCCCGGGGCACCCCTCCGCCCTCCCAGCAGCGTCCCCAGCTGTACCCCCTTGGAGATCCGACATGGCAGTAGCGAGGCCTGCGCCTGGGGCTCCCCTGGAGGGAAGAGCCGCCGTCCAGTCTGCACGGCGCTGGATGTCGTCCACTACCCGCCCGGCGGAGCGCCCGAACAGCACCACGAGGCCTGTCCTGTCCTCTCTCCCCCAGCAGTGCAGCAAGGAGGCCTCGGCCGCCCTCCTGTGGCTTCTGAAGTCGTCGGGCATCATCGCAAACCGGCCCTGGCCGCGCGTCTCCCTCACGGTGGTCACCACGGCCATCATCCTGACCATGGCCGTGTTCAACATGGTGAGTGGCGCGGCTGCGGGCAGCTGGGCTCCCTGGTGGTGGGGTGGGGGTCGGCCTGGCCAGCCCCTCTGGGGACGCCCATTTCTTCTTGCTAAGGTGGCGTGGAGACACGCTGGTGAAGGACTGAACCCAGAGCCCCCAAAACAAATACACTGCTGTAGCCCCGGGGAACCCCGTCAACATAACCGGGGGACACTAGGTGAAGCAGTGACGGGAGCAGGACGCAGGTGTCCTGGGGCTGATCCAAGGGTGGGGGTGCACCATCCCCTAGGGAGCGCCCAGCTGGGCATCGGAGCGCAGGGCTCAAGGGGGCTCTGGATGGTCACACGGAGGCCCCACTCCTGAGGTCCTGGACCGTCGGCCTCGCTTACTGCGAAGCCTCGAAGTTCTCTCCCTGGCCCCAGAGCCCCGTGAGCGCCGGGGCGCCTGGGACAGGGGTGTGAGATGAGGGGTGAAGGGTGGAGTCTGGAGGGGCTTTCGGGGCACTCCTTCTGCATATCACCAGGGGGGCTGTGCCTGCCCTCCCTGCACAGGTCTCGTTACGGCTGCCCCTGCCGCAGGCTTGGACAGAGGCACAGGCCGGCTGGAGCCCGCGGGCACCAGCGTGTCCTCTGGGGTCACACGCCTCTGCCTGCTGCCCAGGAGAGCCCAGCAGCCAGCATGCAGGGGAATTCGGTGCATCACAGCTGTGGGCCACAGCCCGAGGTGGAGGGAGGGGGCAGAGCACGCTGAGCAACAGCAGTTTGCCCCGGGGGGATTCTGGAATGTTCTAACAGACCCAGAGACATTCAGTGCCCCTTGGATCACATCCGCTCACTGGTGCCCACGCAGAACCATTACAGGACACTCCCCAGCGGTGACCTCCTGCTGCGGCTGCCCAGGGGGGCGAGACCTGCGGCCTGGGGGTCACTCAAGAGGGAGGGCCATAAAGTGGCATCCACGGGAGGAGCCGTGCAGCTTCGTGTGACACAGAACAGCGCTTACGGTGCCTTTGAAACAGCAACTTTAAGTGAAACGACACATCGCAAAAGCAGGTCTTCAAATACCGTCACGTGCGTCAGCGCGGAGGGGGCGGGTTTGCAACCTGCACGGTTAGACGAGCGCTGCCTGGGGAGGGCGCAGGCCGGCCCGTCGATCTGACGCTTGGACAGTAGAACCAGGATTGATCACCTGACTTTTAAAAGACAGAATCTTAGGAAACGAATCGGATCTCGAAGCGGAGTTTTCTCAGCAGGATAATTGGTATTTAGCACTGGCTGCGTATTTAGGAGTAGTTTTCTGTGTTTTGTTTTTGTTTTTGTTTTTACTGTAACTGTGATGCCTTTGGGAAGAGGAAATGCATCCTTGGTCCGGAGATACATCTTCCAGGCTCAGTCCTTCTCATAAAGCAAGGAGTTCATCCCCACGTGGGAGAAGCCTGGGAGAGGCTCAGGCTCATGCACGGTCCGGGAGACACGTGACTCGGGGCTGCTCCTTGAGCCGCCGTCTGCGGGGCCAGGGCCCGCTGGGGCTCCGTGGGTGCAGCGGGGGAGGCATCGGACCTCTCAGAAGATGGTTTCTCCTCCAGAGCAGACGCGGTGCTGCTGTGGATGCCTGGCGTGCGGGTTAGCGCGTCTTTCCCGTGCGGATGACCCTCTTGCATTCATTCCAAAGACACATCATACGCCAGCGCGAACCCACTATTCAGTACGGAGGGAAGTGATTTGCCCGCGCTGGGGACCGGCCAGAGCTGTCCTGTGATTCCTCACCCGTCACGGAAGGCAGGACGCGTCATCAGGGAGGCCGGTGTCGATGGTACTTGAGGATGTGCAGAGAAGTGCCTGCCAGCTACTCAGTTTCAGGGCTCACAGCACTGTCACCCCCTAACCACACCCCTCCTCTCGCACATTGGGATATGCAGGCGGGTCAGGGCTGAGCCCTGTGACACCGGCTGGAGCCAGGCGGGCTGGCAGGTGCCCTTTTGCATCGGGGAGGAGGATCCCCGCTCCCCCAGGTGATTCCAGCACTTACCTGTGCACCCTCACATGCCCTGGTGTTCTCCCTGTGCACCCCCCAGCCCCCTTCAGACCCCCCCCACCCCGCGAGAGGTTTCCATTTAACGCAACATCGCTGCTGCAGGTTTTCTGGGTGCTCCCCTCCAGAACCAAATTTCTGGATTGACAGGACCCCAGCCCCTCAAGTTGTCAATTTGCTATTTTGAGAATTAGCCGCTCTTTGGGGATGTGTCTGGGGTCAGGCGCCTTCGTGGCATGCTTGAGTCTGGGGAAGGAGAGTCCGTTTTGTGTCAGGAAACTTCAGCTTTTTAAAGTGCCGGTGTCTGACGGGCGCCCACGGACGGCCCTGAGATCCGTCACCCCACAAATCCTTCTCCTGTGTCCACCTCGGCTACGGAGTCGGCCCCGCGGGGACTTTCAGTAACTTTTGCAGGAATTAACTCTTTTGCTAAATGAAGTGAAGCCGTGGCCTCGCGCGGCTCTCACACGTAGCTCATATGTTTCAAGTGTTCTTTTAGAGACAAAGCAAAACCGCCTTCTTCCTTGTCCTTTTTTTTTCCTTTTCCTGTTTGTAATGCTTGTTATTTTTCCTTCGGGAAACAACCTAAAATTAAACTGTCCTTCAGTGTCCCTTCCCCGTGCGGGCAATGATGCAGCCCAGCACCTCCATTCATGTCCAGAACTTTCCGGCACCCCAAACAGAAGCTTTGTCCCCAGCGAGCGGGCCCCTCTGCCCACCGCCCGGCCCCTGCCGCCCTCCCTCTGCTTCCGCGGCTGTGAAGTTGCCAGCCCGGGCCCCTCCTGTGGGTGGAGCCAGACAATGTTCATCTTTCTGTGCCTATTTTGCCCCACATGTGCTTTCAAGGTTCGTTTCTCCTTCGTGCCGATCCCTCTGCAGCGAGATCCTCTCACTTTGCCCTTCATTTTCCAGCCCTGGGCATGCACCTGGCTGCCTGCCACCCTGTCCCCCCGGGAGGCCGCTGGCCTCTGTCCCCCAGCGGGGAGACGGTGGGGCGGGACTGGGGCGTTGTCCGCCTTCCTGCTGCTGCTGGCTCTCTGGCAGGCAGTTCACTAGCGCCCCCGCCAGGTCTGGGATCGGATCGCTGGGGTTGGCTCTGGGCCTGCATTGTAACGGCCCGGCCAGGCGGACAGGTGGTGCGTTCAGATGACAGATGGAGAAAAATTCCTCGGACGCTTCGTCAATGGAGAGATGTCCAGGTCGGTTTTACAAATGAATGATGAGAGCTCGGTAGGACGTTTCCAGCGCCTGATGTTCAGCCAGGTGAAGCCAAATACACCAAAAAAAGGCGAGGAAAACAGTCGGTTGTCCAGACTTTCATCATGTGCGGAGCAGGCACCAAATCACGAAGGCCCTTTGTGTTGGTCCCATTTTAGTGTCCCGCTGACGGTTCAGCCCACATGTGAGAAGCTCAAAAATGCCCTTGGCAAGGGACTGTCCTGGAACGTCCCACTCTGCTCTGCTAGCTCTGCTGAGAAACGTCCCGGAGAAGACCCTGAATATTGCGGCTCTGTGGCCGTGTAGAAGGCGTGAGCAGAGCTGATGCCCAGTCCCGTCAGGGCCCTGACCCCGCCACACGCCAGGCACGACGCCTCCTGGCACCAAGCACCAAATTCAGTGTGTTCATGATTGAATTTCATGTGAAAAACAATTCTGAGATGTTTCCTGTGGCCTGGCAAATGCAAGATTTGGAAGTAAAACTAGAAACACTCAGTGTCGTTGGCACTTTATTGGGATTTCTTGCTCAGCATGACAACAATTAAAATGGGTCCAGAAAGGAGTCCCCCCAAATGTTTCTAGTGCTGGAAGTCCACTCGGTGCAGACAGCGGTGGCGGTTTAACCTGGAAGTGAGAGGAATGTGCGATTAGAACTCCCCAGAATCTGCCTGGCTGTAATTAGGGGATGGCACAAGTGGGTGACTTTGAAGTCACTAGAAGAGAGAAGAGGGTAGACTGATCCCACAGCAGGGCGACGCCGCAGAGGCAGACCAGAGGGGTCCTGAGTTTACAGGTGATGGCTGGATAGAAGGGTTGCGGGAGGCAGCTGTGTGGCTATTGTGGTGGCAGGTTCAAGTGCAGGTGCAAAGTTCAAGTCCGAGCCGTCATCTTTACTGTACGTCCTCCTAGCAAGACAAAGCCCTTGCAGGTTCAATTTCTATTCAATGGACTGCAAATATCTGTTTCCATCTCTGATGGGATAGAATCAAGAATTCTTTCTTTCTTTTTTTAGGGAAAAATATCTAATTTATTATTGATTAAGATAAAACTAACTTATCTCACTTAAAACAGTGTTAATAAGCACAAATTTGAAACGCAGCCTGTGAATTTGACACTATCTTAACAGATTAATCGTATTTTAGGTCTACTAAATAAAAATTTATAAAATTTTGGAGGCGGATGTTTGCCAAGCCATTCATCCATTTGCTGTTTTTTTCCCTGATGTATTTTCCCCAAAGAATCAGCACATTTTTAGTTCACCCAAGGATTGTGACATTTTTGATAAATTCTTTAGCAGTAACTAAATCCAAAACAAATCAACACTCTGCTTTTATCCAGCGAGAGAACGGGTAGAGACGCTGTTCCTAGTGTCCTTCCTGGAAGCTGAGGGGGAGGCCCTGAAGAAATGCCTTCTCGGCTCCCTAAGGAAGTTGGTTTGGACATTGACAAAAACTCTGCCAGTAAAGGAAATAATCAGGAGAAGCCAACAGAAGTGACGTGGAGTCGGTGCTGGAGAGTCCCAGCACCCAGCTCGAATGTGCCGGGCCCGCCCTACCCAGACAACACACGTGGGCGGTGGGCGACATGGGCAACGTGGCCTCCTCGTGGTGAACACCTGCCCCCTGACTCTGAGTCCTGGTACCTGGTCCCCTGAGCGGCACGCTCTGTGGCTTCTCTGGAAAACAGACAGAGAGATAGACACAGAGAAACGACAGAAAAAGAAATGGGGAAAGACAGAGAGAGAGAGAGAGAGGATGAATGAAGGATGTGAATTCCCCCAACCTCGCCAGGGATTTCTCTGGGTGCTGATGAGGGTGGCCGTTACATCAGAGTGAATCATCGTGATTTTTCCAGGATTGCCTTTGTCCCCACGAGAGCACCTTCTCAACCGTCTTAAGAGCATCCACCCTCGCAAATTTTAATGCCTCCTAATCCTGGGCTGCCAAACCTTCAAAATAATAGATTACAAAGGCTGACGCCAGTTACTGCCTTTTAGCCACACAATTAGTTCCTTAAAATCAAAAGCTTCTAGGGCCTCCCTGGTGACACAAGGGGTTAAGATGCAACCTATGAAGCTGTCCACAGCCTCTGCAGCGCGAGTTCAATCCCCGGCCAGGGAGCTGACTCACATGGCACAGCAGACCTTTCCTGTCTCCCCCGCTGCTCCCCTCAGCAGTGTGTTTCAGTAGATCCGCCTGCTCTGTTCCCCACTCTGTCTCTGGTGAATCCTCTCACCCCCTGCATCTCTGGCCTGTACCCAGTTCTTGTATGCATAAATAAATAAATCTTTAAAAAAAAATCAAAAGCTTCTGAAAATGCATCGATTCATTTCACGCTTGAACCAAGTTGGTGATGAGTCTGTGCCGTCCGCCTCCAGCCTCCCAGCCCAGCCCCTGCCCGCTCTCGGTACTTGGGTGGCACTTGACGAGGAGTTCTGTGTCCCCTAGTGTCAAGCCTGCCCTTCTGGAATCACTGCCAGTGCGGGACACAGCCCTGCACAAATGTCCCCTTGGCAGCAGACATTCTGACATCCCCCACCAGGAGACGCGCGGCCCCTGCTCACCTCCGAATCTCATTTCCACTATTTCACTGGGAAAAATTTGTCCTTACAGTTTTTCCTGAGTGACTCGGAGAAAAGCCCCCTCCCCGTGGGCAACGCGTCCAACGCCAGCTCCCCCGAAGGCCAGGCAGCGAAACAGCGCGCGCAGAATTTGTTTTTCCTCCCGGTAAGGACGTGCCCTCCTGCTGTGGCTTCTGTGGATTATTTCCTGCATGCGGCCAACCCGGCTCGCGGCGGGCCTTCACGGTCCCGTGAGCTCTTCACTTTTCACCTCCGTGCAGCTTACGGCGTGGTCCAGCCGCTGGCACCATTCATTGTGCCCCTGAGGCTCGGGCTCATGGCTGCTGGGGGCGCCAGTGAACTACCGATAGTCTCAGATCCCTGGCTCTGGGGTCCTGGGGACCAGTGTGGCACCGGCTGCAAGTCCTGTCTCCCGATTGTCACCTCCAGTCACCCTTGCTAGCTGCCCCAGGCTAACCAACGCCAAGAGGGGCCCGTGTCCCTCTTGTAAGTGAGTGCGGCTCGGGTCCCGGATGCCCTGGAGCCTGGGTAGCCCCTTCACACAGCCCTCGTGATGTGACAAGTAAAGGCCCGTCAGACAGGACACTGCGCAGGGGGGCCCTGTGCACAGAGCTCTCTGATCTCTGCCCCCTCCGGGCCTTGCCAGGACCACATTCTGATCTCATTTTCCAGATGAAAAGCCTTTGACATGGCAGGTTAGGGGAGCTGAGTGATCCAGCTGGTGAGTGAGTGAGGCTGCCTGAAGCCAGGGCGATGTCGCAGGTGGGAAGCAGAGGAAGCTGCCAACGGGTGGCCCCAAGGACCTGAGGCTGCCCCCTGGGGACCACAAAGCTTAGAACGGGCCAGCTTCTGGCTCACGCCTGCAGGGTATCTGTGCCTCATCCTGTCACCGATGTTAGCTTCCCAAATCCTCAGTCCCTCGGCCCCACGATTTCGCTAACAAAAAGCTGAGGCTCTCACGCTGCCTGCAGAACTACCTGTAGTCATGTCTGTCCTCTGAATGAAGGAAAGAATTGAAAGAACAAAAGGAGATTCTACCCACTATCTTTGTTTTAGCACCTGTAAGTGTTTAGGGAGAGGTCTTGTTTTTATTTTCAAGAAGCAAATGGCATTTACTTAAAAAGGTGCAACTGCAATATAGACTCTTGAAAAATGATTTCTGAAAAGCGTTCAGCAGTAAGCGTGCCGTGCGGGGCCTCCCCGGACGCCCTTGTCATTATTCTCTGGATCACGTGTGTCTGGGCTCTGGGGCAGAGAACAGAGGGATGACCTGCTTGCGTGGCTGCTGGTCACCCGGCGAGGCTGGGCGGCCCCTTTGCGGCTCTGGCCTCAGCCTCTCTCAGCGCGGGGCCTAAGGCGCCGACGTCTTGTCCAGTACTTCATCTACAGCTGCATCCTGGGGCTGATCTCCTGCTCCGTGTTCCTGCGGGTGAACTACGAGCTGAAGATGCTGATCATGATGGTGGCCTTGGTGGCCTACAACACCATCCTCCTGCACACCCACGCCGGCCTCCTGGACGGCTACAGCCAGGTCCTGTTTACGAGGTAATGTGCTGCTGCTCGCTTCTCTCCATGTGGTTCCACCTGGGATGGCAAAGGCGTGAGTGTGTGTGGGGTCAGGTGTGAGGCTGCTCTGAAGCGGGGCCCAGGAGGCTAGGAAGGGTGACGTGTGTGGGTGCCGGTGTCTGAGAATCGTCACCCCGTGGAGTCAGGAGACAGGAAGTTAGACCTGTACTGGGTCATGCGCCACAGGATACCAGGAAGGGCCATCACACAGCCGGGTGTGACTGGCCGGGGTGGGTGTGTCTGGCCGGGCCTGGTGTGGGTGGCTGGGCCAGGAGTGGCCAGCAGGCGTGAGGGTGCGCCCTGTGATGGCCACACAGGTGAAGTCACCTGAGGACGTGCCATTAGTGTGTGTCTCCACCATTAAGCAATGACAGCTGTGCGGATGAGAATGATCTATCTGGGTTTCTCAGCCTCAGCATTACTGATATTTTGGACTAAGTGGTTTTCTGTCTGAGGGAGCCCGGCCTTGTAGGTGTAGTGCCTTGTAGGACATTTAGCAGCGTCGCTAACCAGGAGATGCCAGGTGCCATGCCCCACCCCCTTCATGGCCAGCGGGTAGCTCTGGGCACTCCCTCACACACGCGCAGGCACAGAGGCCCCCGGTCCAGACCAGCCGAGACTGGAACAACCAGTGGTTATAGTCTCAGGCTACAGAGCTGAATTTCTTACTGGAAATGTCCTAAAATACCCCTGTGTGGAAGAGGTGCTTTCAACCGTGGCAGTTCTCTGTTCTGTGAAGAGACTGATTTCCAAGACAAGATGGGGTTGTTTTTGCTCTCCCAGCCTTCGGCCTGGCGAGGATGAGCCTCTTTCACCCGGTGCGTGAATGACTCCCCTTATCAGATGCTGCCCATCCGTTTATAATAAATGTATACTCCCTGCTTTAAAAAAAAGCTTTAAATCATTCTGGTATTTTCCATTTCACATCTTAATAGCAAAACTGCTTTATAGCAAGTGTGAAATTTCTTTCTAGACCCACCAGGCTCCAGCCTTTTCTGTCTCTGCACAGCCCTCCGTAACAGCCCTGTAGCTCTGCTAACATGAAGCAGGTGCCTCGCGTGTGTGCACAGATGTGTTGTTCCAGGAAGATGGTCCGTGTGGGCAGCATGTGACCCCTCGCTGCTCCCAGGGGAGCTGGTGTCTAGAACGACGGTCATCTGGCCGTGTGAGCATTTTTCTCCATCAAGAAGGCCTGGAGGGCCTCCCCAGTGGCCCAGCGGTTGAGCGCTGGGTTGCGAGGCTGCCTGCAGCCTCTGCAACGCTGGTTCGATCCCCGGCTGCCGGCGAAGGTCCCACGTGGCACGGCAGACCTCTCCTGCCGCGCCCGCTGCTCCCCTCAGCAGTGTATTTCGTCAGTCTGCCTGTTCTGCTCCCCACTCTGTCTCTGGTGAATCCTCTCACCCTCCTGCACATCTGGCTTGTACCCCAGCTCTTGTATAAAAAAATAAATCTTAAAAAACAAAAAGAAGAAGAAGTCCTGGACACACGGCCACGAAGCCCGTTCTCTCCACCGAGCGTGATTTTCACCATCCTTCTGCCATGAAGGCCCGCCGCTGCGGTCACGCTGAGGACCAGGGAGCGCAAGAATGTGTGACTGTGTCAGAGAGCCTTTATGACATCTTACCAGACAAGAAGGGGCTGAGAAGTTAATTTTCCAATAAATTCACGAAATCACCAACCAGACGTGCTTTGATATTTCCCGGCTGTGTCCAGGAGCCCATGTCGAATCTCTCGATACCTGGATCATCACCAATTTGCACTCCAGCTGACCGGGCTGCTCAATTTCCCTTTATTAATTTAAAGCTCCTGGAGACACTGCACGTTCACAAAAGAAGAAATGAGGTAGCAAGTTCCTGGTGGGGAGAGCATGACTTCTGGGGGCCCGAGGCAGACCCAGAATCTGTGATCGGGACCCAGGGGCAATACGCTGTCACTAGGCTGAAGGAAAGGGGTTTTCCTGTCGAGACCCCCGTTCCCATCAGGGCGCTCTAGGTTTTGTCTCTTCATGCCCTGAGGCTGGGAGGGCTGTGGGAGCAGCTGGGGACCTGCCTTCACTGCCCACCCGCCTTACTCCTGTAGGGGCAGGAGGACACGGAGCAGGCGCTCTGTGACCCGAGCAGACGGGGAAGGAGGAGAGAGGCCTGGAGCCCGCGGTGGCGTTTCAGGCTTTTATTGGGATTGACCAGGCACACGGCAGGCAGGGGTGCTGGGGGCCAGAGGCTGGCAGGCTCCCAGCCCCCAGCAAGTCTTCACTCTGTCTGGGCTCCCCGGCCTTCTCTCGTGTTCTCTCCGCTTCTCTCGGGTTCTCTCGGCTTCTCTCATGGTTCTCCTGGCGTCCCCGTGACGCCGCCCTTATAAGCCCCGTCTCTCAGCCCAGGTGCACCCACTATGCACGCCCACACCCCCCTCCAGGGGCCGCCATCAGGCATGATTCAGGACCGCAGGGTCCATCATCCATCCTCATGGCGGGAGGGCAGAACAGCCTGATACTTCTCACTTATCCTACAACTCCCCAGGAGCACCCGACTCCCTGAACTCCACCCCTGATCGCGACCTTAAGCTTCTGGCTCTTTCTGATCCGATTCCTGCTCGACCCCTCCCCCCAGCGCCCCCAGGAGCCTCCCCCCCCCACAGAAAGTGGCTACTATGGGTTCACCCGCCTAATAGGTCAGGTCGACAATGCTTCCCGAAGGGGAGCTTACATCCGGCCCCAGACTGTGTCCTCCCGATTCCTGCAGCTCAGCTGTGTCCCTGCAGTCCTGGCGCCCGGGCCGGCGCCCAGACCTCCAGCGTGGCGCTCTCGCTCTCGCCTCTGAGACTCGAGGTTCTGAGCTTCCAGAGTCGCCATCAAAGGACAGAAAGAGGCTCCTCGCCCGTCGCCTGGTGATGCATGTTGACACGACACTCCAGGATAAAAACCCGGAATCCTGGAGAAAGAAGGACAGAAAACCCGCTGCCCTTGGGCGGGGGCTGGAGAGGGAGCGCCGAGCCCCACGCGGAGGGGCCCTTCCCGGAGCGCCAGGCCGGCCGCTGGCCCGGGGGGGCGGCGTTGCTGGCGGGCCGTGCGCGGTCCCTGCCCCCCTCACTGCTGCTTCCCTGGGCCTTGTTCTGGCCTCTCCGGGACGCGCTCGCCTCTGGCCACCTTTGTTCTGCTGCCCCCTTGGCCTCGGGCCCGGCCTGCTCCGTATCCGCCCCTTCCTGGGGCTTCTGCCGGGCACCCCCGGGTGCGCCCGGGGACTGCGTCGCCCCAGCCTCGCAAGTTCACAGAAATTACAAGGAAATTGTCCCTCACCGGAAGGTCAAAAGGAGACTCGTCAAGTGAGCTGGGGGAGGCCACGCAGCATGCGGGGTGAGGGGGGTGTGGCTGCGGCGGGCTCGGTGGCCGGGACGCGTCTCTGACCTTGGGAAGACCTTGAAGATGTGTCGAGAGTCACAAGCAGGGGAGAGGAGTGCCAGCATCGTGACAGAACCACACACTCGTCACACACACGCTCACTCAGCAGCTGTCCAAGCACAAAGTGCCTTTGTGGGGACTCTGGGCCCAGCAGCAAGGCCAAGAGGCCAGGAGGAGTCTCCCCAACCCCACGTCGGGGAAGAGCTGTGCAGACCTGAGCCCCGGCTGTGGCCCTGCAGTGCCTGGGACCAGCCCCAGCCCCTCTGGGCTCTGCCTCGGCGGCAGTCGCACCCCACTCGTCCCAGCCCCGGCACCTTCAGGGGGAGCTTCCCGAGCAGGCAGGCGGCTGCCTTTATTTTGCCTCATGCATTTAACCCCAGCATTGGCTTCCTGGGCATCTCTTGGTTGTTTTACTCTTACGGTGTCGTCTCGACACATCCGTGAGGTCCCCGTGGACCTGAGGGTCAGGTGCAGGGAGCAGGGTATGCAGGTGGTACCCTCGAGTTGGCCAAAACTTCAGCTGCTCACACCACCTAACGTGGAAGACGCTGAGGGTTCACAGGGCTCTTGGGGCAAAGCCAGGCATTTCCCGACAATGAGACCCCAAGTGGCCTGAGTGAGGAATGAGTTAGTGGACCTCAAGGGGGGCGGCCAGTAGCCCCGTGTCTCTGCTGACCTCCCCCTGGACTGTGGGTCCGGAGGAGGCAAGCCCAGGGTCAGACTGGCATTGTTCTGATCGGTGACCTGAGAAGACCAAACTGACCTCGGCCTGCGCCCCGAGAGCTGAGCTAGGTTTCTCGAGGTACCTTTCCTTGAGATTCCCAGCCCTACCCCCGTCCATTGTCACCCTGGAGTTGACACTGACCATCGTAAGTGCCATTTATGAAGTTTCCGGTGTGCCAGATCTGTGCCAAGTTTACAGTACTTGACTCAGTGGCCAAAACAATCAGTGAGATGGCGTTGGCACCTGCTGGCCTAGCGGAAGGTGAGCCCCAAGCCCAGGAGAAAGGAGGCAGCTGCTTTCATAGCCCCTGAGCTCCTTAGTGCAATGCCGATGCATCTTACTGGCTCAGCAGCCCTCGGGGATACAGGAATAGAGCACAGGTGATTCCCTGCTGTCTCTGCTTGACTGGACGTAATCTGTGCCCCTGGTGCGTGGCGGCCATCCTTAATCCATTTTCGTTTTCAGGTCTTATTTACCATCATAGGTGGGAAATAATCATGTCAGTTAATGCAGAACTACAGTGTTCTGGGGAAGGCAGTACAGTTCTTGCCATCCATGGCTCTCCAGAGAACAAAACCAGAATCAACAGGTTAGACACACGCACTCACACACACACACACACACACACACGACTTATATGGAATCACATACGTGTGCATATATATGTATATGCAGGTGTGTGTATATGCATGTGTATGTATGCATGCGTGCATATGTATACATGGTTTGTCACAGGAATTGGCTCATGTGATTATGGAAGCTGGCAAGTCCAGAATCTGCTCAGCCAATATCCCACGTTGAGTCTGAGGGTCAGAAGCTGCTTTGGAACCAGGTCGAGCCAATGTCCAGCTCACAGACTCTTGGGCAGCAGAGAGTCCACTCTTCCTCAGGAAGGGCCTTTTCTTCTGGTCAGGTCTTCAACTGATTGGATGTGGCCCCCCCACTGCATGGAGGGCAACCTGCTTCACTCAGCCTGCCACCGTGAATCTTTCTCCCACACAAACGTTATCCCACAGAAACGCCCAGAGTAATGTCTGACTTCTGGGCACCCAGGGCCCCGGCAAGTTGACAGTTCACGCTGGCCCCCACACATGCCGGCTCGGAGATGTGGGTGACCGGGGCTGGGACGTCACGGTGGTGAAGAGCCCCGGTGGGCACGGTGAATAAATCACTGACACCTGCCCGCACCTGCGGGGGTGTGGACCTGCGGGCCAGGGGTTTCCCTCTGTGTTCAGCCCTTTGATAGAAAATCCTGTGAAGGAGCAGGTAAGAAAAGGCGCGTTCCAGGAAGTTTCATGGCCTGTCCTTCATGGGTAGAGTGGAATGTGGCGTTCTCTACTTCGCTGTGATACCTGATGGTTATTAATTTCTAGCATACTCTCTCCTTTGGAGAATAACCAAAAAATGTAGGAAATCATGTATCAGATCGTCCTGGCTGGATCCAGCAGTATAAAGAAATATTAATAGTTTGCTGATCTTTCCTTTTATACTTGCTAGAGCCGGGTAAACAGCCAAACATCTGTATTGAGGTGGAAGAATTTTTCTTTCCCCAAGCTCTCACGGGAAGGAGTGTTTGTGTTGCTGCAGTGTGGGCTGGTAGGCGTGCTGGAACTCGTGCATGTGTTGGGCTGGAGCAGGAGGGGAAGGTTGGGTGGTGCGCAGACCCTCAGTCTTGTGTGTTGTTCCGTTGTGCTGTTTTTGTCTGTTTACTATCAGGCCAGGCATCTGGAAAGACCTGAAGACCATGGGCTCCGTCTCTCTCTTTATTTTCTTCGTCACTCTGCTGGTTCTGGGCAGGCAGGTAAGCATCTGTTTCTTACACCGAAGTCTCCAAGGGCTGTGCTCATCACGCCTGGCTGATGTGCACTCTTGCTACTTTCATGAAAACACATGTTGATGCATGAGAATCCTCTTATCACCTGTCACAGAATCATTTCTATCGCTGCAGAGGACAGTGAGTAGCACAAGTGCGCCCACTAAAAATAGACAGAAGGCGAAGGGGCTCTCATTTTCCCAGGAGAGGCAGGCGGGGTGAGGGATCCAGGCATGTGAATCCATTAATTCCCTGTTCAGTCTCAAAATAAATTCTGTAGGCTTCGTAAGCCTGGACAGCTGACTCTAAGCAGGAAAGTACCCTCTAGACCAGGGTTTTCACTTGCACCCCAGAATGTAGGACCTTTGCATCCCAGAATGCTTCTCTTGAAGTGGCTTCATGTCTCTATTGCTGGAATCAGACACCAGATCTCACACACCAAAAGGCCATCGTTTGCAGGCGTAGCAGCATGCAGCCCGGCTTCCTACCCTCTGATTTCACATTTTGCGGTATATTTGGTCACAAAAAAAATACAAACAAAATAATAGCACCATGAGCACAAAAGGACAGCAGCAGCTTCATACAGGCTGCCAACGAAAACCAGCTCTCTGCACACCATTGCTGTCAATCCTCTAAACCTGCTCACGTAGTTTGTGTTTTTCATGATAGATTTGTGTTCAAAAAGGTGTGTTGTCGCTTAATTTTATTATTAATGTTTCACGTTACATGATGTCCTTCCAAATGTCTCTCTATGGCAAAATTTCCTTACAGTCACTTAGTTACGTGGCAACATTTAGAGTAAAACACCAGACACAGTCTTGTAGGAAGGTGTTCATTTTATGTCATTACTCCCTGCAAGAGTGATGGCTTCGTGATGATACTTTAACAACTGGCACCAAGGATGTGCCGAGGTGACCAGGAGGCGACCTTCAGTCTGAAATCACTGAGCGATTTTCTAAGGTGCCAAGTCTCCTGCGCGCAGGGCCACCCCCGGCTCTCCTTCCTCTTACAAGGACACCAGTCATTGGATTTACAGCTGCTCTAAATCCAGGGTGATCTAATTAATTCCATCCATAAAGTCTCTATTTCCAGAGATCACTTGCACAGATATGGGGGTTGGGAAGTATCTTTTGGGGACACTGTTCAATCCCTTATAACTGGTTTGGGATGGAACAGTGTGTCTCCTTTTGGGGTCCTCCATGTGCATTTCCAGTGAGTTTTGATCACGTCTGTACAGCAAGGAGAGGGCTCAGCCGCAGGTGACATGGCTTGAGGAGGTGATAGGAAAAGACCAGGGAAGCTGCCCCTCTCAATTCCTAGTGGCCCGAGAAGTAGGGCGGGACAGAAAGCTTGCCTGTGATGCAGCGGCTCCCCACTCAGAAGCCTGTGGGGCTGTGGACCCTCCCCATCTCAGGGGACCCGCCCGCGCACCTGCCCCCGGCCTTCTGTGGCTGCGTCTCCTGTTACGTCGTGTGTCATCCTGAGCGCGTGTCTGGGTCGTCTTAGTGCCGCCCACGATGGTCTCTACCAGTTACCAAAACCAGTCACACCCCTGGTGTGGCCCTACAGCCCAAATAAGTCCTCTATTCTCCCAGGGAGAGGCCTTTGCTGATAGGGCCTCGAGTGATTTCTGTTTGTACAGAACATGAAAATTAGTATCTGTCAGAAAATTTGTATAAGCAAACTTTTAAAATCCCTCTTTGACAACCTTTTGGAAAAATGTCTCGCTATGCAAGATAAAAATAAACACCACGCCATGGCTTGTGAGCATATTGTGCGTAGCTGGAATCAGGCTAATCAATGAATGATCAGGTCCTGAAATGTGGATTTTTTTTTTAATTGCCATTTATGTGTAAGAACTGTGTGTGTGTGTGTGTGTGTGTTGGGATTTTGTTTGTTTTTTGCACAGTCATTGCTATAATTAATCAAACCCTAACCCACACAGCCCCCCTTCATTGGTCCTTTCCATTTACTTGTCAACAAGCCACTGTCTGTGCTGAAATTCACCCTCTCTGTGCGGAAGGTTGATCCAAGGCGACTTCATTGTTTTAAACTACTCACATCCCAGCAGCCACCAGCGATACGGAAACCCAAGACCCTTTGTCAGCAATGGGCCTCGATTTCTACAGTGTCAATAGTAACTGGTTTAAAAAAAATGCTAAATTCCAGAGCATTCCGGGGCCTGGATGCCTGTGTTTTACTAAGAGGCACCTTCTTAATTAAATGACACAAAAATGAACGTTTGTCTAAATAGAACGCCATTCTCTCAGTATGGTGCGATCCCAAATGGGGAAAAAAATCTGCATCTTTCTCGGTGAACATTTAATTGCACAATTAGTAGCAAGAGAAGACTGATTTTCAAATTTTAAAGCAAACTGCCACACGTGAGCAGCTGTCCTGTCAATGCAGCTCTCGGAGCCGCGCACTCCCTGCGAACGTACTTGCAGTGAGGGGTTATTTTCCGTGCCCTGTGCCTCGCTCCAGACACACCCCCCACCCCGCATGGCGTCCCAGCATCACCTGCCGGGAGCTTTCACTGCCGCCTTCCTGTCCCTCAGGCCCATTCGCTCCCAAGCTCATTTTTTGGGTTTATTTATTTATTTGTTTATTTCGGCAAGTCCCCCTCAGAGGGTGAGTGAAAGGTGGGAGGCGAGGACCCGTCTGTTTGGGGGTTCTCCCCTTTCGGTTTTGTTTCGTTCTTTTTATTTTCTCTTGAAGCCTCCACTCTCTGGCAGGACACGATGCCTATTGTCTCTTTACCTCTGTGTCCTCTTGTAACAGAATGAATATTACTGTAGGTTGGACTTCTTGTGGAAGAACAAGTTCAAAAAAGAGCGGGAGGAGATCGAGACCATGGAGAACCTGAACCGCGTGCTGCTGGAGAACGTGCTCCCCGCGCACGTGGCCGAGCACTTCCTGGCCCGGAGCCTCAAGAACGAGGTCAGCGGGGCGCCCCTGGGGTGCGGCTGGGGTACGGCCAGACAGCCGGCCCGGCTCGGACCTCTCCCTGGGGGCCTGGGGAGTCAAGGGCCCTCCTGTTCTTTCCGGTGGGCCTGACTTATGCGGAGCAAGTGTCTGAGCCCTGCGCCCCAGGGAAGGGGGGTGAAAGCTGAAGCAGGGCCTGGGGTGCGGTGCCCCTCGGCTTCAGTTTGCTTTTCAGTAAATATCCCAGGGTTAAGCAAAACTTGAGACTCTCTGCCCCCCGTACCCTGAATTTATGAACCGCTTGGAGGACTCGTTCCTCACCTTTCAGGGGGACACAGCCCAAGGGCACCTGTGCCCTGTCCAGCAGCATCCACCTTCCTGGCTCTGCAGAGGGTGGGCTGAGCCTCGGTGCCACTGGGTGCAGTCACCCCAGGGTGACCCCTAAAACGAGGTGGCCCGCGGCTAGCCTCAGTCCACAATGAGGTTCCCACTCCAGGGTGTTCTGGAACCGGCCTTGGAGACTGGCACCCACTTAGGCCACAGTCCAGATCAACAGCGGCCTCCCCGTGCCGTGTCTATCCCCCCCAAGCCCCACGGAGCAGCTGCCCCTCAGAAACAGGGAAAAGCAGTGATTTTGTCATAAGACCAGCTCCAGAGGCTTTCGTTTCTGTGAACCCCCAGGTGTTGTTTTATACTGAAACCTCCTAGAGGGAATCTGCTCAGTGCAACAAGCCAGACTGAGAAAGACAACCCGGGGTGCACTCACACGTGGTGCATAGAAAAAACAACAAAACAGCAGAACTAAATACAAAAAAAACAAACATTTGGACTCTATGCCAATCACAGCAGAGCTGGCGGTGATAAATTGGGGGGCAGAGGACGATGGCGTGATGATCTGGACACTCAGGTGACTTTTATGTGCTGTCGATAGAGACACATGCTGACTCAGCAACACGCACCTGAAGCTTCTGCGGTGTTGCGATGTGGGGCCGCTTGAGCGGAAAAATTAATAATGAAATGAATTCCCTCCAGCTCCGCCATCAGTAGGTGACCGCCCCCCCCCCAAGTTCAGGCCCGGGGGCCATGCAGGCTCAGGAAGGGGAGCCCCTGGCCCCAGAAACGTTTTGAAAGGCCCCTTCAGCAGACGTCAGAGCTTGCTTCCCTGTCTGCTCAAAGAGCCCTTCGGTGTCCACGCCCACCATGGGGGCGGGAAGCCGTGTGGCCGGGGCCCGGCAGCTCCTTCCACAGAGCCAGGCTGGTAAAGCAGGCACGGATGACAGTGCAGCTATGGGGGAATCCACTTTGCAAGCAAACAGTGCACCCCCTTTTCAGCAGAGGGAGCCCTGCCAGTGACCTCCTGCAGAGCCCTCTACCCTGTTCCTCAGAGGGGCTGGGGCAGTTATGCTCAGGAGAGGATTTGGTGCTTGTGACCACTTGATCCCTGAGTAAACGAGGCAGTGGCCGACATCTCTTGGAGACGCTAAGCAGTTAGCGTGTGGATCAACAGGGAGATGGGAAAGCGGGGAGACCCCCTAGTTCCAGCCTGCTTCAGGGGGCGCTGGTGTAGGTACCAGGAGACCAAAATGAGGCAGTCCTGAGTCACTTCTAACACACCTCTGCACACCCACACGTGTGCACACCCGCACAGCTCTGCACCCCTCTGCACACCCACACGTGTGCACACCTCTGCACCCCTGCTCACCTCTGCACACTTTCACGTGCACACCTGCACACCTCTGCACCCCTGCACACCTCGCACACCTGCACGTGCACACCCATCACCTCGGCTCACCTGCACAGGCAGCGCTCATTGCATCTGGTCTTGGTGCTCTCTGCACGGGTGCCTTGGGCAGGGCTGCTTTGTCTGTCTGTGCCCGGCCCTGGCATGAAGTCTGGCCCAGAGCCGGCCCTCAGGAGGGGCGCGTGTGTCTGTGTGAAGATGCTAAAGTGCATTTCAGTCTGTGACACAAGATGCAGCGGCTCTCACGTTCCAGATGAGCTGCTGAACACTGTGCTGGACGCCCAGACGCCCGCATGGGGACCCCTCTTCACTGCGGAGGCCCCAGAGGGGAGGGGTTCGGTTGCCACTCCCTGAGATGCTGCCGGGCCGGGTGGTTTCTCCACTCACCTGCTCGCGGCCAGGCTTCCTGCCTCAGCTCTTCCTTCCACCCCCACCAGGACTTGTACCACCAGTCCTACGACTGCGTCTGCGTCATGTTCGCCTCCATTCCGGATTTCAAGGAGTTCTACACGGAGTCGGACGTGAACAAGGAGGGCCTGGAGTGCCTGCGGCTCCTGAACGAGATCATTGCTGACTTTGACGACGTGGGTACTTCTTCCCAGGCCCGGGCAGCCACCCCCTCCCCCACGCCGGCAGTCCCGAGGGGCCAGCGTCGGGCATGAGGACTCGCCCTTTGCGTGATTCCCAGTGGCGGGGGTTACAGCCTTGTTTTCCCTCTAAGCCCCAGCTAATTTGGGGGATACCGATATAGTTTTTGGGAACAGCTAGCAAAATCTGTCCAGTGAAATATCCAGTGTGCTTCCGAATTTGCTAGGAAGGCTGAGCTCCAGGGAAATTCCTGCCCATCCCTTTATAGACACAGACGATGATGAACCATCTATTGTGGGAGACCCTTGCCAGGCCCGGGCATGCCCGCGGTCTCTGTCCGCTGTCCGCTGAACTCTGCGGGCTGGCGCGCTCTGTTGTTGGAGGGGCCGTATGTGTAGGATAGTGCACCGTAGAGGGGACAAAGCGTGTGTTTTGGAATTTAAAATAGATGTCATTTTTCAATTTTCAATATTCCGCCTATGTAGAGAATAATGTGTTTGCTCTCCTGCAAGAACAAACACACCTCTGGTGGCGAGGATATTGCTGCTTCGTCGTGCTTACCAATGTCGCGCAAACAGAGGAGACCTGACAGCTTGGGCGCCGCTGGTCATGCCCCATGACCCGTAGAGCCGCAGCGATGGGTCAAATAACGTGGTGGTCTCAGACCAAGCCTCTGGAGGTCGGGGGCACCTGTGCGTTTGCACACTTTTGTCACCAAGGTCCACTCAGGATTCGTGGGCAATCGTGGAACTAGAGATTTCTACTGTTGTGCTGGGGCCAGAGTGGAAAATGGTGGAAGTTAAAGAAATGAGCCCCAGACCAGTGGGGACTGTGCTCTTCCCGTTGGGCTGGCCCTGGTGCGGGGATCGGCTCACCGGGCCTCAATGCTCTGATGTGTAATCTTGGAAGAGCGCCTCTGAAAGCAGGGGCACCAGAGAAAGGTGGGAAGATGCTCCCCATCTTTGCCTGGTGCCTCTGAGTGAGCCCTTGTCTGCCTGTGCAGATGCAGAGCCCTCCAGTGTCCCCCCACGGTCTAATGCAGAGGGGACCGGGCAGAAGCAGTAACTGGAACTAGAAACAGGGACAAAAAATATCAGGGTCAGGGCCAAGGGGAGGAACAGTTCTAGATCTTTCTTCCCTCTTCCTTGAGCACTCAGAGGTGAAAGCCAGTCCTCACACTACACTTGGTCAAACGGCACCTTCCCCCTGAAGAGATGCCCGCCCTCGCTCGCCATCGCTTTGTATTCGGGCCTGGCAAAGAGAGTCAGTAAATTTATTTGAGGACTAAATCCCGTGCGTCATAGTTTATCCTGGTTCCTTCACTCATTAGTGTTAATTGGAAGTAAATCATTATACTGTGTTTCCTTCCAAAGACATGGTCTTGTGAAATGCATCAAGAGTTCTTTCCCCACAGAGTCCGTGGTTTAAGGGGAATAAGCAGCGGTTGGAATGAGCCAGGTTCTTGTAATCGTGAACTAGAACTTGAAAGGTCTCTAGAAAGTGCTCGCCCTTGGGATTCTGTGCCCACGAAGTGACCAAGTGATTGTCATTGCTTTTTAGCTGCTGTCCAAGCCGAAATTCAGTGGAGTTGAAAAGATCAAGACCATTGGCAGCACATACATGGCAGCAACGGGTCTGAGCGCCGTGCCCAGCCAGGAGTATGCCCAGGTACAGACATGGGGGCCCCGTAGGGCAGGGGAGCCTCAGTGCCAGCCACTGGCCATCCCCAGCCACGGGGTCCTTGCACCGACCTGTGTGGACAGCCACACCTCAGCGACGCAGGTCTTCAGGGAAAAGATGAGAATTCTGGAGGCCTCGGTTCCCAGAACTCCTTGCGCTGGTGCAGAGGGAGAGAGAAGCCAACCACCTGGCCGTGGCCGGATACCAGATCGATATGCAAAAATGTAGACAAGAACTGTTTGTTGTAAGGTGACTCATCAAGGGTGGCTCCTGGTCTTTGGGTAACAGTGTGCTCAGAAAGCAAACTGACCACACAGAAATTTGGTTGAAAAGATTATTTTGGCAGAACTGATTATCTTCATGCAGACGTGTTGAGGGAGTTTTCTGGCATGTGTGTGTGTGTGTGCGTGTGTGTGTGAGTGTGTGTGTGTGTGTAAATAACCTGTGAGTCAACAAACAAAATCCCTTCCCCCCAGAACAGTGAGCTCTCCAGAGATGGTGGGTGCAACACAAGGAGAGAGAACTTTCTGGAGCACGGCTTGCTATAGGCAGACAGATTCCTCAGAAGAGAGGCAGGCTGAGCCCCTCGTGGTCAGTTCCCACTGCCACACTCCCCCCCCCCACCATGGAAAGTGTGAGAGAGGGACAGAGGCAAAGCAGAGATTCCTCCTCTGGGCACGGCAGGGGAGGGTCCTCTTTGCCTCTAATTCACATCCAGAGATTGGAACCCCAAGTGTCTGACTGAGCAGCAGTGTTCTTCCAAGTGAGCGGGTGGCAGTGTTCTGCTCAGCCTGCTCCGTAGTTTTACTCTCAATGGGTATTCGGTGTCTTCGTGATATGAGTAAAAGAAACAAACAGTGGGGGCCTCCCTGGTGGCACGAGAGGTTAAGCACAGCGCTGTGAAGCTGTCTGCAGCCTTTGCAGCATGAGTTCAATCCCCGGCCAGGGAGCTACCCACATGGTGCAGCAGACCTCTCCTGTCTCCCCGCTGCTCCCCCCCTCAGCAGTGTATTTCAGTAGATCCGCCTTTTCTGTTCCCCGCTCTGTCTCTGGTGAATCCTCTCACCCCCCAGAACTCTGGCCTACTCTTCCTGTATGCATAAATAAATAAGTCTTAAAAAAAAAAAAAAAAGAAAGAAATGAACAATGAAGGGAGCTTTAAAGACTCTTCGTCTTGTGTCTGATCCGGGCCGAGCAGAAGGAAAAACGTGCACCCCCGGGTCCCTGGCGTTGCGTGTCCTGCGTGGCTGGGTTTCTATGGCAAGAACATTAAAATGTTGGAAAACTTGAAAATTGTAAAGTAGAGATATGAAAATACACAACATGGTTTTAATTTTAACTATTTCCTTTATACCAAAACCAAATCTAATTGTCATTTTACTTTCCTTGTTTCAATGAAAACAAATACACACTTTTTCAACACTTTTAATGTTCCAGGAGAAAAAAATACCCATTACAAAGAAAAGGCTAGCTGCATAGGGTTGTACCTATTTCCTTTTGCCTCAGGCCCTAACCAGCTCTGCGGAGCTGTCGACCTCTGTCCTAGTCGCCTCCGGCTGCCCTAATACCCAGTATCACGGCGTGGGGAGCTGAAGATGGACTCTTATTTTCCCACAACTCTGAGGCCAGAAGTCCCAGGTCAAAGCCCCACAGGAGGGCTCCTGGCGAGGGCTCCCCTCCAGGGGGGAAGACAGAGCTCTTAGGAGGGGGAGGACATGAGGGCTGGGAGGGGCATGAGTCAGCCCATAGCCCTATCTTTATCGTGATATTTTAATTTATTCTGGATGATTCTGCACTCATTTTGAGGTTTTTTTTAAAGATTTGTTTATTTATGCAAACGAGAGCTGGAGTACAGGCCAGAGATGCAGGGAGTGAGAGGATTCACCGGAGACAGAGCGGGGAGCAGAACAGGCAGAAGGACCGAAGCACACTGCTGAGGGGAGCAGCGGGGAGTCAGGAGAGGTCTGCCGCGCCATGTGGGTGGGCAGCTACCTGGCCGGCTGGGGATCAAATTCATGCTGCAGAGGCTGCGGATACTGCGTCTCACCCCTGCGCCACCACGCTCCACTAGGACATTCTCCTAACAGCTGAGCTTGTTGGCTCCTCTGAAGCTTGGCGCATGAGGCCAGACCCTTTCTCTCTTCACCCTACTCTAGCCCTGAGTCCCCCCGGCTGGTCTCCGAGTGTGGGGGGGGGCGCTCTTGACTCTGGAGCTCAGCCCCAACATCAGGACGTCATCAGTCCAGCCTGATGTGACGCAGGGGCCGGGCGTGGAGATTACCCCAGTCTGTTCAGTGACTGAGCACATGCCCACCCCAGCACCCCGCTTTACAGACCTGCTCCCCATGCGAGCCCCCTCTGTTGGTCCCCTCTGATGCTTGTGAGCACGTGCACAGAATAAACTGAGGTTACCTCAATAAAAAGTGATAGAATTCAGGCTGGTGAGGCAGCTCTGAGTGCCCCCAGGCGGTGTTGGCTCCGTGCTCTCTGCTCCCTGTGTGCTGCTGTGAGCTGGTCTGTGGGAGGCGACCAGCAGCTGGGGGGGGGTGCAGGTGCAGGGATTGGGGGGGCCAGGGGTTGGGAGGAACAGGCGCTGCATCTGCAGCTGCTCTCTCTGGTGGTTCACCCTTCACCCCAGAAGGAGCGGGCGCTCAGAGCCTGCCACGGGAGGTCAGTGGACGGCGATGCCAGTACCAGTACTACAGTTGAAAATAAGAACAGGGCAGGCCCCACCTGGGACGCCACTGCATAGTCGGCCGTGGGTCAGGTCTGCAAGCACCCCCTGGCTGAGCGGGGCTCACGGCCGCCCTGTCCCCGCAGGAGCCCGAGAGGCAGTACATGCACATCGGCACCATGGTGGAGTTCGCATTTGCGCTGGTGGCCAAGCTGGACGCCATCAACAAGCACTCCTTCAACGACTTCAAGCTGCGAGTGGGTGCGTGGTGGGTGTGGGGGCACTGGGTATGATGGGCAGGGGGGTGAGAGGCGGTCTCAGGGACTGGGCACCCTCGCAAGGTTGTGCAGGCACAGTTACAAATGTGTCATTGAGCCGCAGGACTGGGTGGCAGGTGGGAGGCAATGTCGTGAGCCCCGGAGGCTCTTTTGCCAAATCACGCAAAGATCCTCGGGTTGGTTGGACCCAAGATGTCCCCATGTGGCCTGGCCAGGGACATGGCCATGCTCCAGTCCCACTGCCCCACCCACCCCTGGCCAGGGTCACCTCTGCAAGCCCTGCTGGCGAGTGCCATGGCCAGGAGATGCATCCAGTGGTCAGAGGTGGAGCAACGTTCCCATCAAAAGCAGTGCATCCTGGGATGGTTGTCACGGTCCACACTCCTGGGGTCCCGGCCTACAAGGACAGGAAAGATGGGCCCCTAGTTCTGAGCAGCCAGAGCTTTAAAGGTGGAATGGTCAATCCAGGAGAAAAAAATCCCACTTCCTTTCAAAATAATCTTTCTAGTATGTTCTTCCCTTAAATGCAGTTGATTCTTCAGCACGTTTTATGACTGCTTGCCTTTTACAAATGTTTATCCAGAAATAAAAACCAGGTGTGTTCTGAGCCCTGGGGTCGCAGGCGGCTGCCCGGCCCCTGGGGACACATGTGGCTTCTGAAAGGCAGTCACCGAGGAGTTCTGGTGACCAGCCCCGTCTGGGCAGCCTCTTGCTTCTCCTGCAAGCCAGTTCCCGTTTTTAAAAACCCCAACATCTAGCACCGTTTCCCTCCTGTGCTCTACGCGTTCCAAATTCAACCCCGGGAACACCGCGGGCCGCTCAAGCCCGGGGGCCTCTTCCCCCTGTGTCTCCTGTGACCTGTTGGCTCTGGACACGCTTTTCTTCACACTCCCCCGCCCCCCTGCACAGTGGCCACATGACAGAACAGCCACGAGGACAGCACCTGCCCTCACAGCCCCGCTGAAAACATGTGCATATTCCAAAGTTCACGCTAATTACAGAACTCTTGGAACATGATCATCACTTGCTAAGATGATCGCGCGACATAGAACAAGAGCGGCGCCCCGGGGTTTAGTTTTTAAAAGCGTGCCAAGTTTACGTCGTTTTGGAATAACGCTAAATGGACGTGGAAACAGCAGTCAGGTCTAGAGGGAGAAAGACAAGCGTGCACATTTAACTTTCTGGAGATGCCAGAGGAGAGGAGGTGCCTCTCTTTGCCTTGGCGTTCCAGGAGTTGGGCGGATGTCTGTGCCGTGATGAGGCTCGAGAATGACCTCACTCAACTTTTCTGGCCGAGACGGCTCTGCCCTTGACCTTGCTAACCCGATCCCGGTGTGTGCAGGCATCAACCACGGCCCCGTGATCGCGGGCGTCATCGGCGCGCAGAAGCCTCAGTATGACATCTGGGGGAACACGGTGAATGTGGCGAGTCGCATGGACAGCACCGGAGTCCTGGACAAAATACAGGTGATCAGGCCGCCCTGCTGTCGTGGCGTGTTGGCCCGTGTCGGGCCGCGCGAGAGTCGAGGAGAATGTATTACGCGAAGGAAAGACAGTGACCCTCGACGCTTACGTAGACCTTTCAGTGGGGGAATGTTCTTTCATGTCTGCGGTTTTGGAAGAACGTGATCTCGATGCGCGCCAGTATGGCGGATGGGGGCCTGAGCGGGAGGCTGAGGAGCGGGACTCTCACCTCGACGCCCTCTCCCCACCCCACACCTGGGGAAGGGGGCTGCAAGGGAGAGGGACCGAGAGGCAAAGCAGTCACAACCCCGCCTCCCTCCCCGGAGAGCCCCAGGTGGAGCCCTCAACAGATTCGGCTCTGTCTGCAGACTGGGGCGGGCTCCTGCCTGTGTCTCCCCTCATCTGCAAAGCCAGGGTCTTCTCAGCTGAGCCTGTGCACATCACCTGTGCAGGTTACCTGTGCATGTCACCTGTGCATGTCACCTGTCTCCCCTTGAGACAGCGCCTTTGGCAGGAGGGGCTTCTCCCACCCTCAAGCAGCGGGACTCCTGGCCTGGGTCCGAGTGGAGGACAGTGCAGGCTCAGGCTGAGACAGCAAGTTCAGGGCAGGATAACACCCCCACCCATGCTGGAGAGAGACGTGTCTCTCCCTCCACGTGCAAGAGCCACTCACCTGGATGCAGCGGCTGGGGCTGGGGCTGGGGCCAGGCTTGTCTGTGAGCCCCTGCGCCAATCTAGTGATGTGAGATTTCCAGCCGCCCGATGCTGGTGCAAACCCCTGGGTCTCAGCTTTACATCCTGTCACTCTTGCACGTGAAAACTGCAGTGCAGGCCACTCACAGGAGCCGCTACCCCTTCCCAGCGGGTCTTCTCCGTCTGTGTTAAAACCTGTTTTTATCTTCTTATTACTTTGCACTGTGTTTGATCGAGGTGCGTTGGCTGACCACGCCGTACGTGGTGTACACGAAGGGACTCAGACCTCCTCAGGCCACTGTCCCCCTGTGGAGCCCCAGTTCTGCAGTCAGATTTCTAGGATTTCAGTTTGGCTTTGTCTGAGCCTTTGCTTTGTTTTCCTGTTTTCCACACCGGGACTCGCCCGGCGCTTGTCTTGGGCCTTCTGACCTCGTTCACTCAGCATCATCCCTCCAGCCCCATCCATGTTGCTGCAAATGGCAAGATTTTGTCTTTTTTAAAATCTATTTTTAATACACCTGATGTGATGATATGACACTTAGGACAATTCGTGACCATCCCGCGGCCACCCCCACCGGCTCCCAGGCGCCGTCTCGTCCCCCGGCCTCTCCCCAAGCGTGTCACTGCACATGGTTGAACTGTAGGGGGAATCCAGGCCCCGTTCAGCTTCCAGGGGTGAAGCAGGGGGACATGATTCAGTTGTATGACCGGTGACCTTGGCCTTAACCGCAGGGAGGCTGCGAGACGAACCGTGGGCCAAGGGTCCCCGTCTGGCTCTCCCAGCCCCGATTAAACAGTGTCCTTGGAAATCCTCTCTCTCCTGGATCACTCCCTCCCCGCCCGCATCTCAGGAGTGGGGCCACTGGGCCAGAGAGCGTGGGCGATTCCGTCCCTTTACCCCTGAGTCCAAACGCCCCTCCGGGGCGGTGTCCAGCACACGCTGACGCCTGTCCTCTGTCCCATGCCGCAGGTCACGGAGGAGACGAGCCTCGTCCTGCAGACCCTGGGCTATGCCTGCACGTGCCGGGGGGTCATCAACGTCAAGGGCAAGGGGGAGCTGAAGACGTACTTCGTGAACACGGAGATGTCGAGGTCGCTCTCGCAGAGCAACCTGGCGTCCTGAGGCTGCCCGCTCTGGCCGCGCGGTCCGCAGGAAGGTACGAGCGTCTGTCCCCCTGTCTGGACGCGCCTGCTCCGTCCTGTCCCGGGAGCCTGGGCACACGCCTGGTGGCCTGGGCACACGGCTGGTGGCCCAGGCTGGCGCTGGCCCTGTGCGGGCGCCGGGACGGCCACTGCTCTGTGCTTACTTCGAAGCAAACGGGAGAAGGCGCGTGTGCGCCAGGAGAGGTGCAGCAGCGGTTCTTAAGGCAATAAAACTAGGGGGTGTATGGGATCTTCTGGTGCATGTTCTTCTCTGGAAAATACGGTAGCTCGCCAGCCGCCTCTGCTAGTCTCATACTAAAACACGCAGTACTTGTGATGAGACCCCGTCCCCCCATGTGACCGTGTCCCCCGTGTCTTGTCGCCCGTGGCCGCCCCTCGCCCCCGTGGGGGCCCGTGACTGTCCCCCGCTCTGTGTCTCCCGCCAGCAGCTCGTCGCCGTCCATCACCAGGATTAGTTCTCACACTAAGACCAGTTTTGTACCCAACGCGTCTGATGTTTTGATGCCATTGTCTTTTGTATGGTTAATTCATTAAAGTTTTATGTACTTTGGTTTCTAGTCTGCGTGTCTTTCTTCCCCTCCCTGCCTCGTCTCCCCCGTGGTCTGCCCCGGCGTCGAGGTTTTCCTTTGTCCGTCCGCTCTCCTTGGCGTGTTAGTTCAGAAACGGCCGTCGGGAGGCGAGGAGTGAGGCTTGCGTCTCTGCCCGTGACTCAGGCCGTGATGAGAACCTGGGGCGTGACCCCCGGGAGGAAAGCGAGCGTCCTCGGGGTGTCCGGTGGGCTGGTCTCCCTTTGGGCGCGGCAGGGCAGATGTCTTCCAGCTAGCGCCCCGCCGTCCCGGGCTCTGGCCTGGGAAGCCGACGAGGGCGCATCGGGCAGGCTGCCGGAGAGGGGCCGGCTGGGAATCAGCAGTCACGTCGTCAGGATTCCGGGCCCCCCGGGCCGTCTGCGAGGTCTGAGGCCTGAGAAGGCAGAGCCGAGGTGTGTGCATTTGTGCAGAGAACACACCTGGGGATGTTTGTTCTTGTAAATGCAACCCTGATGTTTGGGGCTTTGCCAAAGCGTGAAAACTGGAGTGGTCATGCCTCGTCCGGGGTTTCAAAGCCAAGCAAAGCTGGGCACCTGCTTGCTTTTCTCAGCTCAGGGCACCTGGGCAGGTAGAGGACCCAGATGCTCTGGGAGGAAGTCGCTTGTTTGGGGTAGCTGAGACTCGAAGCTTGAACCCTGGGTGTGATTCCTGGTTTCTACTCACTGTGTATCTTTGAACACTTCGCTCAGCGCCTCAGAGGGTGCTCTCCCGGGCGCTCCGGGTCAGGTAGATGGAGTGAGCTGTGAGGGGGCTAAGCCTGCCAAGGAGGGGCGCCCCCCAGGACCCCCAGCTCCCAGCCACTGTCCCTTGGGTCTGACTCACTCCATCAAAAGCACACTGGACACTCGTACCTGGCCTTCCCTGCCACGTGGGCACACGGGCTGGTTCTCTAGTTGTGTGCTACAGTCAGGGAGTTTGATCCTATAATCACAACTCAGCTGTAAATCCCCCAAAAGGCGACTGAAAAAAGAAAGAGTCCGGGCGCTTTTCTCTTCACTCTCACCGAAATCCAGGTGCGGAGGCCCCAGGGTGCAGCCGCTTCTGGGACGGATGAGTCCTCCCGGGAGGCAGCAGCGTCCACCCTGGGGCGCTCGGGTCCCTGTCCTCTCTAGACCCCCAAGTGGGTGTTTCTCCACCGTCACCCCTCCCTCCCCCACCACGAGCTGAGCTGCTGAAGGCGCTCTAAGGGAGAGCCGCTCTGCCCCGAGGCTGAGAGCCAGTCTTACCAAACGAGACTTTCTATAACAAAGTCACGGCCACAGTCCAGCTCGCAAAGGCCTGTGGGTACACGGCTCCGCAAAGTGTGTGCCCTCCACAAACGTGCTAGAAATGCAGACTCTCAGGCCCAAACTGGACCTAAGGGGACCTGGGATTCCTGGAGGGCCCCCCGCAGGCTTGCCGAGCTCAGAGGCCTTGCTCTCCAGGTGACTCTGATCCCAGGCAAACCCGGCACCTGCCTTCTAGAAGTGCGGGAGCCGGCGAGAGGTGGGCTCCGGCCTCGGGCAGGCAGCGTGAGAGTGAGAGGAGAGGAGAGAGGCCAAACTGCCTGCTCCCACCGGGGAGGCGGGTCCTGGACAAGCCGGCAGACTCCCGCCAGCTCTCCTAGGAGCCCACAGGGAGCGGAGGACCTGGGCCTCGGCCCTCCCCGCGACGTCAGCAGCAGGTGCAAAGCCCCTCAGCTTCGGGGGCGGGGAGCCCTCTCCTGCGAGCAGCCCTGGCAGTGGAGCGTTTCCAGCATCTGTTCAGAGCTGTCTGCGTCGTGCCCCAAATGCCCCGTGCCAGTCCTCCCGGCTCAGTGTCCTCCCCAAACACAGCAGCCGCCCAGCCTGGACGGTGGGGCCCGGATGACCCGAAACCAAGTCTTTCCTTCTGTCTCTCCTTGATGGCATCAACGGGCCTCACTTGACTGTAAAAGTGTCGAGGCCACGAGCAGCAGGGCCCCGGCCCCTCACACCTGGCTCCCCAGGCCTGCGGAGGGCCCCGTGGGCTGCTGGGCCACGGAGGGGGCGTGACCACCCCCCGGTCCTCTAAGAGGGTGGACAAACCAATGAAGGACGGGTTAGCAGGACGATGGCAGGTTACGTCTGGCAGTGGACGAGGTTGTGAACCTAAAGAATAAAGGAGCAGACCAGAGGTATCTATCCTGGACTTGGGGGCCTGGGGCATCGCGGGTGGGGGACTTCACATGACAGAGGGTGACCTCACCCTCACCCTGAGAATAAAGGTGAGGGACTCTTAGCTGGAAAGAAGCCGGACACTGCTCAGCCCATGAATGGGTGGGACCCCCAAACTACGTTCTTCAGAAAGGGGGGTCAATGGTGGTTTCTCCATCTAGGAAAAGGGCGGCACCCGAGGCCTGACCATCTCTTCTTTGATTAGGGAAGGAAAGACACGGGCGAGGACGGGCGGCTCCTCTCCTGCAGGGACTTCCCGGCTCTCGGCTCCATCCTCTGCACACCAAGGGGGCGTCTTGAGGAGGCCAGTTCCGAGAACCCTCATTCTGACGCTGGCGCACAGACAAAACCACCTAAGGATGCGTTTTCCAGAATGTATCTGTGCTAACGCGTGAGACTGTGCGTTGACTTTTTCCTCGCTGTCCAACAAACGTGAGCTCCTGTGCAACTTGCCCAGCTCAAGCCCTGTTTGCTGTTGAAGGCAGAAGGTTAAGCGAGTGGGATCTGACTTACAGTAAGTGATTGAGGTTGACTTTGTCATTACGGTTACTGCCGGATGAAGGTCTTTCTTAGCGATGCCTTGTCTTTCTTGGTGATCAAGACTGAAGAAAGAAGAATTTATAAAAATCCCCAAACTTTACATATTTTCTATTGTTACTATAAATAGGTGTCATGCACCCAAAGGAATTCCAAATACACTACTGCTATTTATTTGTAAAATAAAATACAATAAAAGGTACCCGGAGTGAGGAAAGTGTGTTCAAAAGAATAAAGAAAGTCACTGGGCTGGGGATTGCCGGCAGCTGGGTGTCCTCGCAGACTCAAAACAATAAAGCCGGTGGCGAGGAATCAGCGCTGAGATGAATTAGTTCACCTGCCTGGTAACTGATCAGCTGTGGGAAATTTAATTGATGAGGAATGATTTCTTCCGAGGGATTCAGTCATTAAAAGTACAGCAGATGCCTTGATTCCTGAATAAATTTCAAATTATCTCCAGAGTAAACATTCCCAGCTTCAGGTTAGAAGCAGCTGCTCCCAACGGGGAAACCGGAGACTCTGTCTGGGGTCCAGTGGCTTCTGTGTTGACACCGACCCCCGTGTTCCTGGTCCCCAGGAGCTCTCAAAACTCCGACACCCACTTCACAGAAGAGGAAACGTGGGCGGGCGCAAACGGGGGTGGCTCGCCCTACACCTAGGTGATGTGTGATTTGTAATAAGAAATCGTGTCTCTGCTGTCTCCCCTTTCTGGCGCCTGCCCATAAAACCCTGGGAAACTGGAGCCAGGAACCAGCAAGGCCTTTTGTTACCTTAACGAGGTGCTTTGGGGCTGGACCTTAGGGTGTGGGCTGGTTGCTGGGAGGACCACCCAGCGGTGATGTCACGGGGACTCCCAGGTGGGGGCGCAGGTGCCCCCCTCTCTCCACAGAGGACTGCCTCTTCCAGGTCCATCCTGACCCCGGGAGGGGGCTGGTCGTGAGGCCCGTGACTTCATCATCGTGCCCAAGTAATTGCCTCCACCCCACCCCAGGAGGACGGGGTTCAGAGCTCCCGGCTGGTGGGCGCGGGAGACGTGGGGCGGGCGCGCCTGGGAGGCTTGGACCCTCTCCCCAGGCCTGGCCCATCTGGCCGACCAAGATCTGTTCTTCCATCACAGTCCAGGAACTGCGGAGTTAACTGGTCCCCATTTTGTGATTCTATGAGCCGCTGTTGCAGGGGGGTCCAGCAGGGGGTGCAAGAGCCCCTGCCTTGCGGGGGGCGGGGCGGGGGGGGGGGGGGCGGCCCTTGGACGATGTCTCCTCGCAATGGCTTGATTTCTTGGATATGTACACGAATGGGGGAACCCCCTAAATTGGAAATTGGTCTCAGAACCCCAAATTTAACCAAATTTAAGTTTGCAGGTGCCAGAATCTGACCGCCCGCGTCCAGGTCCTCCGTGACCTTCTCCCCTGAGCTGGCCGGGGGCCACCCTCCTTCCTGGAGCTTCTGTTCTCAATTGTGCAAGATTCTGTCGCGGCGAAGGCAATTTCCGCTCTCGCTGCCCTTGAAGCAGGAAAGCCCTCGGGCAGCTGGTGTGTGGAGCCCCAGTGTGCACGGCCCCACCCTACCTTACACCTCCTCCCCGACGCCCCTGAGAGCGGAGGAAGCCCACCAGGCCTGAGGGGAACAAAATCTGACTTTATTCAGGTGCTCCCTGTGGCTCCATCTCTAGCATCACTTTACCCAAAGCGATTGCGCCAGAAATCGGCCACCGGAGTCACCTTTCCTGCCTACTAGCGCAGCCTGGCCAGGCTCACGGGCGGGCGAGGAGGCGCTAAGGTGCGGGCCGAGCCCAAGAGGCATCGGACGGCGCCCAGTGTCCCCGGGGTGGGGAGACAGCCAGGAGGGCGTCAGGCCGGGGAGATGTAGCCGAAGCCCGGCTCCTGGATGCAGTGAATGTCGTTCTTCCTGTAGAAGTCGGCCGACAGGTGGTTGGTGCGCCGGTGGTCCCGGGACGGGGGCTCCAGGGGCTGGTGGATGCGCTTCCCGTAGACGGAGGACGACAGCACCCCCACGGGCCGCTCCTGCTCCTGCGGGACCGCGAGGCTCGGTCAGCGGGGCGATGGCAGCTCCTTCCTGGCCCCCGGCCCGTGGTCCTGAAGCCACTTCTGCCCGGCCATGCACACGCTGTGCCCTGCCCCCCGCCCCCCAGCCTCAAGGGCCGGCCCCGCACCCGCACCCGAGGGAAACCTCTCAAACCAGGGGCCCCGGCCCTGGGCTCACAGCCTTCGTCCTGGGTCCACAGAGGAGTGGCAGGGCCTGGCGCTGGGCCGGGTGCTCCCATGCAGGCTCTGGGTCCTCCTTCCTGCCCCTCCTGCCCCTGTCGTGCTGCAGCCTGGTCCCCTGGCCGCCTCTGCCCATACACACCGCCCAGCTTCCCCCTCAGCTCTTCCCGACTCCTGCCCCTGCCTGCCCTCAGGCCCCGGGTTCTGCTCAAGGTCACAGGCTCCCCGATGCTTGCCCTCCCCCCTTTCACTTTCCCTGTCCCCGTGGTGGTGCCCGCCTGCCACCCGTCGCTGCCTGGCATCCTCTCCTTATTTGTCTTTTCTTCGCCCCCGTGGAGCCGCAGCTCGGGAGGACAGGGTCTCAGCCCTTCCCGCTCAGCAGCGCCTGGGAGAGGAAAGCGCTCACGTCACTGCCCCTCGGGACAGACCATCAGGCTCTGAAGCAGCGGAGAGAGAGGCCGGTGTCCGGGCGGAAGAGGGAGCAGCCCGGAGCAGCTGCACCCCTTGGCTGCACCCCATCGCTCCATGGAAATGCCTGGAGGCTCTTGAGCGAGGCCGGCCACGGTGCAGACCCGGCGTCCCCTCGGGAGCCACCAGAGCGAGCTCTGGCCCCGCGCCTTGTGTCAGAGACGCCAGTACTCGCCAGCGCCTGCCGGTCCCGGACATGCCCCGTCAGGCCGGCTCCGCAGACTCGGGTGACGTGCAGGCATGGGGGGTGCAGGAGGGTGGGCCAAGGGCAGAGGGGCCTGAGCACCCTAAGGAGACCCCAGGGTCCCTCGCACCCACCCACCGTCCTGACCTCCTCACCCTAGGTCCTGTCCACTCCACTGGCCCCGCACCTGGGCGCTGGCACAGGGGAACCCCCCGCCCCAAGCCCCGGGAAATGACGCGATGCTGTGCCCTGTGCGGTGGGCTCAGGGGCCGGAGGAAGCTCTGGACACCCTGGAGGCCGGTGTCCCCACAGCAGCCGGCCCCGAGGCTAAGCCAGGACGACTGTGCCCATTGCCAGCCCCGCGCTCACTGAGTCACTGGACCCCGCAGGATAGTCCACAGACTCTGCAGCGGCGCCTCGCGAGTGCCGGCAGCCCCACGGGGGCTTGTCTCCCTGCTGGCAGCCCAGTGGAGGCGCCGAGGGCGACCCCCACGCCCCAGCCCGTCTGCTGCTCTGGTTAGTGTCCACCGAGCATTACCTCCTTGTTCACGTGAAGCCCCAGGCTTTTGGCGTGTTCTCTGTCATCACGGTGCAATTTCGGGTTATACCCTGGATTCTTGTGGAAAACGCAGTCGTAGAGAGAAATGATTCCTGTCTGGGCGTGGAGAGAGAGAGAGGGGCCTGAGCCACAGGGATTCCGCCACAGAATTTGCACGCTCACACTCCCCGGAGGAAATGCGGACAGGGGAGGGAGGGTCACCCCCAGCTGGACGGCGATGACCGGGCATGGCGGCCGGGCCCCCACAGGGCAGGTGTGACCCCGGGGTGTGGGCTGGTCTCCTGGCCGTTTCCCTTTGCTCCTCACAGGGGACAGAGGTGACCCCTCTCCTTTCCCTGACTCCGTCACTGGAGTCCAAACCTTGAAGTAGTGAGCATCCACTGGCCCTTAGACTGAGGATCTGTGCGAGTGTATATTCACCTTCATTTTTACCTTTTTCATTTCTTAAAGTTTCTATAATGTGCTTGTGCAATTTAGAAAAATGAACATCTGAACATTAGGAGAATATAACAAAACAGAAGTGATGCTGGCAGTGACTGGCTAGCAGGCGGCTGTCACTGGCAAATTCCTTTCTAGAGAGATGAAACCATTTTCCTTAATCATGTGGTGTAGCTAGAATAACTGTAATTCATACATACATACACATATATGTAATATAAGCATATATCAAGCATCCATAAAGCACACAGCCCTGGTATATTAGAAAATCATCCAGTGAACAGCTATCACTGTAATATACCCATTTTTTCATAAAAGATAAGATACATATGACTGGTGGAATACTACTCGGCCATGAAAAAGATGAACACTTGCCATTTCCAACAACATGGATGGGGAAGGGGTGATGCTAAATGAAAATAAGCCCGAGGAGAAAGACAAACAACACATGATTTCACTCGAATGTGGAATATAAAGAAACAACACAAGGGAACTGGCAAAACTAAATGAAAACAAAGCCTAGAAATGACTGCAGAATTGAGACCAAGTTTTTCTTAATAGTAACATAAATTGGCCCTATTTGGTTTCTAGCAAAAGGAGAAGAAACCCATTTGCTAGCTGCATTGAACCCCCTGTAACCCCAGAGGTGCTGGGGTTTGGGAGCACTGGTCTCTAACCTATGCTTTGCTTTTTTGTTCTCTGGGGATAGGCGATAGTAATGCTGGATGATTTCCTCCACCTGTGGGCCTGAGGTAGAAGGTAAACAGCAGAGAGATGGTGCCAGGTGCTGTTGCAAGTTTCAGGACCACACAGGCCGTGACTGCGAGCCTCAGCCGTGGGCAGCAATGGGATGACTGACTCCAGCAGAGGTGGCTCCTAGCAGCCTTGGCCAATCACTCACAGGTCACCACCTTGCAGGGCTGCTGGTCTCAGCTCGGACCTGGCACTGTCCTGGTGCATGAGTCATCCAACAAGAAAATATTTAGAGGCATTACTTGAAGGTTCCTAGGAATTCCAAGGGCAACACGCCAAGGTACTTATTGGGCGCTGGCTAGAATCCTGGTTTGCCCAAGTTCAAAGTCACTCCAGCAACTTGGAGGCAGCAGCCCCGGTGTCTGCACTGGCGGCTGGCTGGTCAGTTCATGGGGTCACTGCACATACGCCCAAGCTTCTCATCACTGTCTGCTCTCCTGCCCCCCAACTCCGGACTCTGAGCAGGTGATGGCTTGGAGGCCATGCATTCATAGGGTTAAACAACAAAAGCCCAAACTAAGGGACAGGTAATGCTTACTCAGCATTTGGCGCCATGACAATGGGTTAGCTCTTTGGGGGAGAAATTAACTTAGGTCTTCGTGGCACTTTATGGATGAAAGTGAATTCTGGATGGATTAGAAAAATAAATGGAAAGTAATACCTCCCACTCATGAAAGCAATGGGGAAAATGTCGCAGAGAAAATATCAGAGACTTCTACCATGCAGAGCTAGACATTTGCTTATCAGATAACATTAACACTCCAAAGGATGCTGGAGGAGAGGCTGCAGAAATCCAGCCTTTGACTGCTGCGTGCAGGGCTTCCGCAGACACTGACTGGGTGGGCTGGGGGCTCGCGCCCAGGCTGCAGAGATTAAGCAAAGCCTTAACCTCGCCTTCAGTGAGGGAGACTAATAACCAAGACAGAAGCAAGTGATGAAAAGAACAGCTTAATTGCAATGGCTGCTCTGGGCCACTTTGCACCTGTTAATTAAATTAAGTCTCGGAAGAGCTCGCTGCAGTTGGCTGTGTGACCCCTGCTTCCCAGGTGGACCCCGAGGGTTCGTGCTGGGGCGCAGCTGGGAACCAGCCGTTTCGCCCAGACCTGCTTCTCTGCTGGGTCAGCGCTGTCCAGGATGGCGTCATCTTCAGCGGCCGCCACTCGCCGCCCACTAAGCGGATCAGGTGGTCTTTGCTGTAGGAGCTGCTTCCGCAGTTTCTGCTCAGCGTGCAGAAGGGACGGGGGACTCACATGCCCCCGCAAACCTGTGATACAGAGCGCCCAAGTGCTCTCCAGCGCCAAGAATCAGCTCCCGGGTCCTGCGGGAGGCGGAAGGCCAGTTCCGAGCCCAGGGTGGAGGTGACTATGGGGGCGAGACTTCAGTGGACTCAGAGATGCCGTTTGCTGCTTTTGCTATTTTTAAGGCTCTATTTTTAGGTGTTAACATTTCCGTGCATTTTCTGTTACTGATACTAAAGGCCTGGCCATTTGAAGGTGCCTGCCTTGCCAGTGATCAAAAGTGGGCGCTGAATTACTTTTTCTTAAAATACACTTTACATTAGTTTGGTCTCAGCCCTACAAACCTTCCAAGGCAGGAGGCCTTGGGGCGCGGCGCAGCCAGCATTTTCTGCAGAGGCGGAGAGTGGCGTCTTTTCGGCTCACAAGCCACATGGTCTCTGCCGCAACTGCCCCACTCTGCGGGTGCAGCCTGGGCTGCTGAGGGGATGCACGTGTGCAGTGTCGTAGTGGCTCTTTATTAAAGCAGGTGGGGAGCGAGATTTGGCCCAGGGCCCCCGGCCGCGGCCCCCACCTTAGAGGGGCACAGTTCTTATCCACTCCCTGTTTCCTTCCAAGTACAGAGCTCCTGTCTCCGCGACTCCTCTGAGACCTCAGAAGATGGAGCGGCTTATCAGATTGGTGACTTTTGGACTTTTGGAAGAATAAACTGGGTCTGCCAGTTTCCCGTGGAATTGCGGGTCCCAGGGGGTGGGGGTGGGCCGTGCCGAGTTTTGTCGCCTCCCAGCCCCCACCCCACTTGCCTAGCACTTCTCTGTCTCCTAAAACCTGGCTTTTATCTCTGCTACATACACTTCCATCTCGTCTTTCCTCAACAGCCTCAAGGTGACGATGAACAGGGCCCTCCAGTGAGACACGTACAGTGTAATATTTCGATATATGAAATTACTGTTACGGCTTTCAAGACGTAACACTCACGGGAGGAGAAACACGAGGCTGATGGTGGCAGGTGCTGGGCGCCCTCACTTAGCTCCCCAGAGGCCGGTCGTGCCGGGGGGTCAGCAACGGGCTGTGAAGACAAGGCCCGCGTGCCGTGTCCCTGCTTCCTCCAGTCTCTCTGTCCTTCCACATTGTTCGATGCCAGCGAGCCAGGAGCTACCAGGTCCGAGAGAGCCTGGCCTAGGCTTGTGCTTAGAACACAGGTTTGTTTGCCAGGGTTACCGTGGTACCCAGGTGGGGGATCTCAGTCCTGGAGGCCAGAAGCCTGAGGTCAGGGCATCACTGGGGTCGAGTCCTTGGGAGAGAGGGCGGGGAGGGACCCTCACAGGCCTGCGGGGCTTTTCCCAGGATTCCCCAGTGCCTGGTGCTGTCCGGCCAGGAGGTGAGGCCGCTCGCTGCGGTGCTCTCGCTACCTGCGATTGTTCAGATCCAGGCCTTGGTCTCTGCTCGCAGGCAGGCTTCTGGGAGCTGCACCTTCCCTCTGGCAAGGACATGGGCAGCCTGGGCTCCTGAGACCCACTTCAGATCCTGGCAGGCGGTCACCTTGCCATCCTGTGGTGGTAGCTTTAGGCTTCAGAACACCCCTCTGTCCCCCGCCATCGCCCCCCAACCCTCAACCCAGCAGAGCTAACCCCGGGAACTGCCCCTGTCATTCTGGTGCAAAGAGGGAGTCCACCCGCTCTGGTGGTCGTGATGGCTGTACTCTGGGGTCGAGAGGCCCGGGAAGGAGGCCAACCCCAAACTCGCCCTCTTCCTGCAAACATGATGCCCCTGACTTGCTTGCTTGCGCCCCTCAGCCTGCAGGCTCTCCTCCAAGCTCCAGCCTCGGGGAGAAACCCAGCCCAGCCCGAGGGCCCCTGCGGGTGCAGCCCGCCCCCGCAACAGCCCCGCCCCCGCAACAGCCCCGCCCCCGCAACAGCCCCGCCCCCGCAACAGCCCCGCCCCCGCAACAGCCCCGCCCCCGCAACAGCCCCGCCCCCGGAACGCCCTCGCAGGTACAGCCCCGCCCCTAGAAACCCTCCCAGGCACAGCCCCGCCCCTAGCAACCCCCAGCTAGGGTAGCCCCGCCCCTAGAAACCTCCCAGGCGGTGCAGCCCCGCCCCTAGAAAAAACCTCCCAGGTAGTGTAGCCCCGCCCCTAGAAACCGCCCAGGTACAGCCCCGCCCCTAGAAGCCTCCCAGGTACAACCCCGCCCAGCCCCGCCCCTAGAAACCTCCAGGTCGTGCAGCCCCGCCCCTAGAAACCTCCCAGGTGGTCCAGGTCCGCCCCTAGAAACCTCCCAGGTATAACCCCGCCCCTAGAAACCCCCCGATAGGGTAGCCCCGCCCCTAGAAACTCCCCAGGGGGCCCGCCCCGCCCCTAGAAACCTCCAGGTGGAGGCCGGCGCAGGGGCGACTCCAGCGGCAGCCCCGCCCCGACCCCGCCCCGGCCCCCCCGCCCCGCCCCGGCCCCCCGGCGCTCACCCGGCCCCGCCCCGCCCCCGGCGCTCACCCGGCCCCGCCCCGCCCCCGCGCTCACCCGGCCCCGCCCCGCCCCCGGCGCTCACCCGGCCCCGCCCCGCCCCCGGCGCTCACCCGCCCCGCCCCGCCCCCGGCGCTCACCCGGCCCCGCCCCGCCCCCGGCGCTCACCCGGCCCCGCCCCGCCCCCGGCGCTCACCCGGCCCCGCCCCGCCCCGGCGCTCACCCGGCCCCGCCCCGCCCCCGGCGCTCACCCGGCCCCGCCCCGCCCCGCGCTCACCCGGCCCCGCCCCGCCCCCGGCGCTCACCCGGCCCCGCCCCGCCCCCGGCGCTCACCCGGCCCCGCCCCGCCCCCGGCGCTCACACGGCCCCGCCCCGCCCCCCGCGCTCACCCGGCCCCGCCCCGCCCCCCGCGCTCACCCGGCCCCGCCCCGCCCCCGGCGCTCACCCGGCCCCGCCCCGCCCCCGGCGCTCACCCGGCGCGCGCGCGCGAAGTAGCTGAGCTCGGGGGGCGGCGCGCGCGGCGGCGGGGCGAGGCTGACCGCGGGCTGCGCCGAGAGGGGCAGCGGCCGGGGCTGGGCGCGCAGCGCGGCGGCCGTGAGGTCCGCCCCGTCCTCGCCGCCCGCGGCCCCGCGCCCCGCGCCGTCCCCGCGCCCCGCGCCGTCCGCGTCCATCGCGCCGCAGAGCCGGGGCGCGCGTTCCGCGTCGCCTGGACACCGGCCCGCGGCCGGGGGGGCGGGGGCGGGGCGCGGGGGGCCCCTCTCGGGCCCACCCACCCCGCGGCCCGCCCGCCGCGCCCCGCCCCGCCCCGAGCCGGGCCCCTGCCCGCGCGGTCCTGGTTCGGAGTCGGGGCGCCCGCGGCCAAGCGCCGGGCGGGGCTCCCGATTGGGCGCCCCGAGACCTGCCGTCCCGGCCGGCTTCCTCCCCGCCCCCGCGCCCACCCACCCCAGGCCCCGCGGGCTGGACGCTGGCCGCGCCCTGGGGTCCCGCAGCCTCGGGGGGGGGGCCGCGGGGAGGGCGCGGAGCCCGAGGGGCGCGGGGCTGCGGGGGGACCTCCCGGGGACACACGTGAGGCGCTTTTGTCTCTTGCCCTCGGGGTTCCCCGGGGCTGAGATTTGCCCCGGGGTTCACTCCCGACCCTTGGGGCCCGTGTGGTCAGGCGCCCGCAGCCGCGGAGAGGGGCGGGGTGTCCGCTTGAGCTGCCTGTGTTTCCAGGGGGTGTCTCAGTCCCGGGGGTGCCCCCCAGCCCCCAGAGAGCGGTCAGAGGTGAGAGCCAGGGCCTGCAGGGCAGGACGCAGAGGTAGAGAAAATAGGGGGGTGAACTTGCTGGTTTCAGGCAAGTTCTCTTAGTTCCTTAAGAGCGCGCGTCTCCCCGCGAGGCCCTGCTCTGTATTCGGGGCGACAGGGAGTCCAGGGCCTTCAGGAGCCTCCTCAAGTCCCGGCGCCTGCGGCCTGTGCTGGGAAGGCCTGTGAGGTGGGAGAGAGGATGAAGGACGGAGGGGCTGCTCTCCAGGGAGGGCACGAACCGTGTGGGAACGTGCGCAGCGCACAGGCCGGCTCCAGGGGCTTCACAGGAGGGCGCCCCGCGGGGCAGGGGTGGCCTGCGGGGAGTCAGGTGAGCTGGAGCCGCTGTTGGCTGGGTCCGGCTGCTCTGCTCGCCCAGCTGGCCTGAGCCGGAGACCACAGCCTGCCGGCGCCTCCCCAGGGACGCGGCCTCTGCGGGCCTGCAGGTGTGGGAGCTGGTCCCTCAGGTCCCCCCACCTCGGCTGTGAAGGGCGGTCCCTGTGGTCAGCCACACTGAGCCCCCAACCTCGCACTCGAGGCGGGAACTGCAGGTTTCCTTTGGCTGGGTGCCCCTGTGCGTGTTGAGAGACCTGAGCTGCTTTCACTGGATGCCCCGCAGAAGCTCCGCACGCTGCGCTGGCAGGGAGCGCCGAGCCAGGCCCCACTCGGGAAGTGGAGCACGCCTGGGACATCCCGCCCTGCCAGGAAATTCTCAAAAACTAACGTATTTGTCACCGAGCCAGCGCAGCGTCTGCCTGGAGCCCTTGCTAGGGTCTGGATGGCACCTTTGGCTCATCGGGGAAAACAGAAAGGAGGAATTAGGGACCCCTGATGCCCTGGGGGGGGGGGGCAGAAATCAGACTGCAGGGCCTGAGGGGAGGGAGGGACAGACAGACAAGAGCTGGAAGAAGCAGCTAAAAGTAATGTGGCCCTTCTCATAAGTCAGTAGGTCAGTCACCCAGAGTTAAAAAAAAAAATGTTTTGAAGCAGCGCAGGAGCCTTGGAAGACAGAGCAGGTGCCCCCTGGTTCTGCCGGCTGCGCCGGTGCCGGGCAGCGAGGGAGGAACGTGCTTATTGGCTGTGGCTGACGTGGGAGCGGCTGGGTTGCTCATGAAGGCGCCAGGAAAGGAACAGGGAAAGGACAGCTGGGATATGACCGGGAAGTTGTAGGTTTTCATGCTAACGAAAGGGACGTGTGGCTTTGTTTTGCTGTTTTACTCTTCGGGGTGCTCAGTCTTGCGTCATGAAAGTTAGAAACTAGCATTAAAAGGTGTTTTCTGCAAACATCTGGATCCAGAATGCCAGCCTCCAGCCGCCCGCGGTGAGGCCTGCGAGCGGCCCTGTGTGTGTGTTGGGGGGCGGGGGGGTGAAGGGGGGCAGCTGTCTGGTGCTCCTGACAGGGGATCGCAAATGCTTTAAGTCAAGGTGACTCGCGACAGAGCCCGAAGCCAAGGAACAGCAGCCTAGAATCAGGCTGGCGGGCTGCTGCGCCAAGGGAGGAGGTGCCGGGGCCAGGGCGACTGACCAAACAGCACAGGGAGGGCTAGGGGGCTTGTGGGGGGGCCACTGGGGAAGCTAGAGAGACTTGAAGCGCAGCTCGTCAGAGACACTGTCCCACCCAGACCTGCAGCCCACCCGCGCCGTCCCTGCTGCAGACCCGCACCCACCGCCCCGGACCCAGAACCCCACACTCGCCTCCTGGCCTACTCACCCCACGCTCAGATTCACAGCTGCACCCAGACCTACACGCACCGACTGTATGCGCACACTCACACACACACACACACACACACACACACACACACACACACCCCAAGACACAGGCGCAACACAGATCACTTTCTCCAGGCCCAACAGGTGCAAAGGCTGCAGCCCGGGACCGTCCTGACGTTGCTGCCCCCTGGTGCTGAGTGTGCAGATGCTCCAGGGGTTCCCCCGCAGGTAAACATTTTCATTCTTTGCATCAATTTTGAAAAACTACAACAAAACTACACTTCATTGCAAAGCATCGCTGATAAAGAGCATGAAGAGCCATCGCACTGGGGATGTTACTTCATGAAGTCCGTGGTTTCTGCCGGTGTGGGTCGAGCGCGCGAGGTCCGGTGGGACAGGGCGAGGCCCCCTCCCCGCATCCCCCACGAGCCCGCGTCGCCGGCCACAGGCCCACTTTTGGGACCGCAAAGCGATTTCACAGTGTGGGGAGGCCCGCCGGCCCGTGACTTCCCCTGTGCCGGGGCCGGGCCACAGCGCCTGCTGTGTTCTCCGCGCAGACGCCTCTCCTCTGGAGAGCTCAGGCCTCTTCCGCACCCCAGGCCTGCAGGGGCCCCCGGGCGCCCTGACCCACCGCTCAGGTACTGATCTCCCCCACCTCCTGGCCCTGCAGGCTGGGCTCTCCCTCCCACCCCCCAGCTTGATCACAGCTCTTTAGTTGGGCAAATGAGGGGAGAATGAAGGAGTGAACGAACGGGTGGGGGAGCTACAGGAGACGAAGGCTCAGCGGACCCACTGGGGCTGCTCATGGGGACGCAGGCACCCCCAGGGAAGGCAGCTGAGGGAACATGCGGCCAGAGACTGGAGGGTGCTGCTGCAGACCAAGGAGCCCTGGGGCCTCCAGAAGTAGTAAGTAAAGGTCCCCCTCAGCAGCTTCTGGGGGTGCACGGCCCCGCCATGCCCTGATTCTGGACTTCCACCCCGGAGCTGTGAGGAAATCCACGCCCATGGATTTATGACTGGCCCTGGGGAAACTGAGGCCCACGGCCACGCAGCAAGGGCAAAGCTGGGACTCAGGCCAGGCTGCATGCAGCAACTCTGGGCCAGTGCTCCCAGCTTCTCCAGGCCTCACACCGCCTGCCACACCGTGAGTGCAGCAGCACCTACACCCTCCAGGAGGCCCCTCTGTAAGATGGGAGAAGCCTCAATCAGCGGGTGCAGGAGACTCGAGCAGGGTTGTGCCGGAGCTCAGCCTGGCTTGGCCTGGAGTGAGGGAGAGACGGTGCTGCTCCCTGCCAAGGCCTCGGAACCAGGCGCCGGGGGAAGCCAGTTACTCTGATGGGACTTCCCGCCCCTCCCCGGAAGGGCACGTCACTCCGCTTGGGGACCGGGAAGCATCTGCCATGAACTGAGGACAACTGAATCCATTCTTGACTTAAAATTTAGTAGCTCTGCACTCCAGACACCACCCGCTTCTTCCCACCCCCTAATACGCCATTTCACTTCTGTTGTTGTGAGAAAAAGGTAAAAAGCTCCCACACGAATATAGAATATTTTATTACTCTTTCCTGCATAACCGTAACTGTCTCATCCACAGTACGGAGTCTCGCGACGCCTGTGTCCACGTGAGGTGGGGGCCGAGGCCCGAGGCTCGGCCGAAGGGGACCGAAGTTCTCTAAAGACCATAGTGGTCTCGGGCAGCAGGTAAGCGTTAGAAAAGATTTAGAATAAACTTATTCAAAATTCCTTTATTGTGTTTGATCACATCTATCTGATGTACCAAGTATCTGTGATACTACACTGAATAGAAATAATTAATTTCAAATTGTCCAGGGACACCACAGATCCTTCCAGATGGCGGGATGCGGGTCCCCCCGCCAGCCCCTTTCAGAAGCCACATTCCTCCCGTCACCAGCGCACGCCAGCGCTCTGAGAAAAGAGTTTTCTCTGCAAATACTCCACTAATTCAAGTCTCGTTTTCAGCACTTCGATCTCAAAATAGGGGATCTGCAAAGGGAGGAAAATACATGTTGTCAGAGTGTTGCAGAACCCGAAGCGGCCTGGGCTTCTGGTGACCCTGCTTGTGTCTCACAGCAGCTCCTGGAGGGCAAAGCCACAAGGGGGAGACCCGCCCCACCCCAGGCCCCCTGCTGTGCCAGGTAAGGTGCTGCCCTCAGGCTGCCCCTGAGCTCAGGTGCTTGGAGAGGGGCGGGGACAAGGGAGAAAGGCAGGAGGATGTGGGGGGCTGGGGCAGGGGACAGTGGGGGCAGGGGACGGGGCTCAGAGCAGGCCTGGCCGACCAGAGGGTCTTGAATAAGGAGCGCAGAGGGGCCTCCCTCTCAGGCCGGCAGGAGGGGGCCACAGTGGCATCTGAGCACACCAGACACCAGGGCTGCGAGTTTTAGGAAGATGAGTCTAGGGCTGTACGAGATGGAGAGGGAGCAAGTGACCCCGGGGACGCAGGGAGCAGGCCATGGGTAGTGCCCTGTGGCCACCCCACCCGGGCCAGTGACTAGCCCAGGATGGGAGCGACCAGGGTGTGCAGGTGCTGCTGGAGGGCTTAGCGGGCACCTTCTCCATCCTTTTCCTTTCACCCAGAGGAAGGAAAATTAGCAGGTGCGCTGGCACCTTAGTGATTTTAAAAGCAGAGCTAAAAGGGAGGCGTGAGGAGAAGGTGAGCAGAGCAAACAGAAGCGGAGTGCGGCACAGCCCAGCGAGAGAATACGGAGGGTCTCGCTTTCAGAAAACTGCAGGTTTGAAAATTTTGGATTTCAAAATACAATGAGGAGGTTTACGCCTGATTCACAAAGCTGGCATTTGGACTGGACGCAAGGGCCTTTCTTGGTCCTCTGGGCTGGCAGAGCACACGGGAGTCTGGAGAGGGACACCTGAACCAGCCATCGCTTTTACAGAGAAAACTGGTGCCATCGTACCTGAACCACCTGGTACCCCAGCAAGCTCAGCTGTCTCTGCTTGATGGTTTCCCTCCCCAGCAGGTGCCTGCTAGTCATGCAGAACCTTTTCGGCCCATCGATGCAGAGCGCTAGCCTGGAAGATGGGGAGAGACAACAGCTCAGGCCTAAAGCAGCACCTGGGGTCGCTGCTCCTGCCCCACGTGTTCTCAAGTAATCCACGACGTGCGGTTCCTCTTCTGTTGGGAAAGGGCTCGATTTCATTACACTCATGTACGTAAAATGTCACGAGGAATTTCCAAAAACAGTATAACGCAAAGCAGGGCTCTCATTTCCAGAATCGTGACTGTTTTTCTCACCTTCACCATCACTGCTAATAACCCTGAGAAATCTCTTAACGTAAGACCCGCCAACCCCAACGGTTTTCTTTACCTTTTATGCACATCTTCATCAACTGTGAATGGCAATACAAATCCTTCTTCATCTAACTTAATTTCAACATCTGGTGAGAGAAGAAAGGAAAAATTCTTCGTGATACCCTCATCAACACTATCTTCCTCTCGTCCTGGTTCTGACTCCGTCCGCACCGCCTTTACCAACGGGGCTGAAGGCTGCAAAGTAATGACCACACCAGACAGGTGAGACTCTCCACAGGCCCCAGCACCCTCGCCAGCCTCACGCTAAGCAGCTCCCGCTCCCCCAGGAGGGCTGGCCCGGGCTCACGGAGCGCTGGCGTCACGCCCGCTTTCTCTCTGTCCACTTCCCTCCAGACCGGGAAGAAAACCTTTCAGGTTCAGCAAAGTCAGACACCTCTGACCCCGCCACCCCCACCCCACCCTGCTAGGGCCCCCCAGAGCAGGGGTGGCGCCCACACTCATACCCAAGGCTGGTCCCTGGGCCCGGGCCAGCTCCTTCCCTCCCTGGATGTCCTGCGGCCCTCAGGGAGGAGAGGCGGAGGGGAATGAGCTGGGGCCCCCGGAACCTGTGAATCGCATCTCCCAGAACCCCCCCCGCCACGCCGCACCCCGCCTTCGAGGGCCAAGTGCATGCCCTGTTTGCGGAGAGCTCTGCTGGCTGCTGCGGCCCATGCCCCTGGGAGGCCAGGACAAGGCTGGGCACAGACCACAGGACTCCCCGCCTCACCTATGGTGTAGCCGAAGGGTGTCAACACCTTGGAAGCAAAATAGCATCTTCCTCCTAGAAGGTCAATGAGCCCAACCATCACGGATTTATACAGCCGGAAGTCCATGGGGGTCTCCAGGGAGCAGCATGGAGTGAGAAATGACTTCACCTGATATCTGGGGAGGAGCCGGGGACCCTGAAGACAGTGGGCGAACACGAGCAAGGAGAATTAGATGCAAACCTGGAGAATAAACGTCTGAGCCGAGGTTACAGGCGAGACACTGCCCCAGTACCAGGACAACACCCCCCTGCGCTGGGCGACTGCCCCTCACAGGCCGCAGCCCCTTCCAGGTGAATTAAAGATCGAAATACAATAAGGCAAATACTTCTTAACGTCAGTGAGATATTTTTATTGCCTTGCGCATGTCTTAGGCTAAGAAATACAGGAGCCATGAAAGACATATCTGATGACAGGAACTTCTTGGACAGCCAAGGCATCTTAACAATGTTAAATTAAAAGGAGAGGAATTAATAGCTAGAAACAGGAGGACCTGTGTGCTATGGACAGAAGAGTCAGGTCCATCTTCCTACAGCATGTGCTGGGACAAAAGAAAGAAGACCCAGGAGAGAGGCGGGGCGTGTGCGGGCAGCGGTGGTGAGTGGACGGCCGCCAGGCCCTGCAGTCCACTTCGCGGGCCCGGGAGCGGGAGGGGAGTTGCGGCCACCAGGACGCCAGTCCACAGACTGACACGTCAATGAGTAAAAGCTCCGGGAAGACAGACCTGGGGCGTTGTTCTGCCCAGCCGACAGACAGGGGTACCCGGAAGCCCATGGAACGGCGTGGCGCGGGGCCCACACGGCAGAAAGCACGTCTTCTTGAGATGTGCTGGCACAAAAGCCAAGGGGACTGTGAAAGCTGTCCCGGGGACAGAGAAACCGCAGCATCTAAATCTTTGCGCACAACCAGGCAGAGAAGCTGCTTTGACACTGGCCCGCAGGCAGGGGGTGGGAGGGTGGGGTGCGGGTGTGCAACTATCCCCATGTTATCTGCTTGGCCCCAGGGCAGCTGCTGGAAAGCTAACGCTGCTTGTTTTACGTTCTCAGGCCTCATCCTGGAAGCAGCCACTCTCCCAGGGAGCAGGGTGGGCAGCCTGCTGTGGGGCTCGTTCTGACTGCACGCCAGGCGCGGTCAAGTTAGGACACTGAGTCCTACAGGAAGCACTCAGCGTGCATGCAAAGGTGATGCGGGCCTGTTCAGGCCAGAGACACAGTTGCGCAGCTGCGGGGAGCCCCGCCCCCTTTACCCCCATGTGCGTCTCGGAGCTCGAAGACTCACAGGCCGGCCCCTGCCACAGCCTCACACCATGCAGCACAGCAGGACATGGGTCCTTCGAGGACAGTGACTCAGGAGAGGGGTCGCTTATCAGAGAAGGACTTGGAAGATGTTGGGGTCCGGCAGGGACAACAGCGACCACCCAGCTCTCACCTTGTAGAAAGGGCACTCCAGGACCGAGGTCACGAAAAGCTGGGTCAGTTGTGCGAGACTCAGTCTGTCCAAATATGGTTCCTCGTCTGAAATGAGAAGCTTCCTGGTCACCCCTGGGCTGAGTCGGCCCGTGTCACAGAGAAATGAGCATCGAGCGCGACGCCCTCCGGCGCTGGCTCCGGCGGGGCGCTCTTACACCGCCCCGGGAGGGCGTGTTCTTGCTTGACGGGACAAAAACTCATTTGGACTTCCAAGAACTCAAGTTCCTAACCGGAAAACATAACTAAACGCAATATAATATGGATGTTGAATTATGTCAATTTGCTTTGCCTGTGGAGATCCCGGTTTTTGACATATTTGATTGACTCTGAATTAAGATGAACACCTCTGTCTTCCCCCAAAAAGCTACACAGCTGTTCTCATCAAAGCGCTACACGCTGAGACTATTGTCACTGCTGCCACGCACATTGCTGCAAGAACACCCTCCCTCAGCCGGGGCGGCTGAGGGCGCACCCAAGCTGTTGCCTGCCTCTCTGTGGTGCTCGGTGCTCTGGCACCCTTGAACCCTGTGCTTGTACCAGCACCTGCACCCTCGGGCGTCCCTCTGGAGACACAGGGGACGTGACCACGTCTCAAAGGCTGATTTCCCACTCTCAGTCGTGACAGCCAACTCACCTTGCAGCTGTTGAAGAAAACAAGGACTGAATATTTTTGGCATAAAGTTGACTGGATGGCGTTCAATAAGCGAACACGAATGCAGAAGTTTCAATAGTGCTTTGGGTGGGAAACAATTATATTGCGTGAAGAGTATATCTTCGAGCTTCCTAAATAAAGCAGGGGCATTTGGTGGCAAGTAATTGAGTTTCCCAAATGGTTCAATTAGCGCTGAAATCTGGAGAGGTGAAAATTTTTCTGAATGCTGAACGAAAGTCTCTGCGACGGCATTCATGATGGGCTTAGAAAGAATGCGCTTCTGCCCGCAGTACTCCATGACCCTGCTCACCAGCTGGGGGTCCAGCGCCAGGCAGAGGGATGCCACGTGCTGCTCGAGGCCTTTCGTAAGGAACCGGTCGCTGTGCCCGAAGTAGATGAAAGCGTCCAAGACTTTTTCCAGCTCTTCGTTGGTGAATCGGGGGATATGCCTCACCACGTATTTCCCCAGCTTTATAACCAGAGGGAGCGCCTGCGTCTGATCAAGAGCCACGAGGGCGCTGAGCATCTGGCTGATGGATTTAGGACTTAGGTTGGCAACGATGGAGAGAGAGAAGTCGTTGATCTTATTTAGAAACTCCTGGTGCTGGTCTACTTTTTCGGAACACAGCTGCAGTGTTCTATAAAGGGCCACGACATCCTCAGGGGTGAAGTTTCCCCAGTTCTCACCCTGCAGCTCATCCTTAATCAGTCCAAGCATCGAACAACCTGGACCTTGCAGTTTAACCAGACTTTCTGCAAGAACGCAGAGACTGTGCACGTCCAGGGCACCCCTTTGGAGGCGATGCTGGCATTCAGCCACCAGGTTCGGTAACAAGCTACTCTGGGGACCCACATTCAGCAGCGTGAGGGCTTGCAAGGTGGCCACCAAGCCGGTGTTTGACAGGTTGGAGGGCTCCCGCTGCACCTGAATGCACAAAGCTTGAAAGATGCTGTTCTCCAGGATTTCCTTCGGAGGCCCTGGGCCGCCGCCTTGGTTCTCCATTTCACAGATGCGCTGGAAGGCTCCGGCCGCCATGCTGTCCGGCAGCGCCTGCAGGGTGCTTATAAAACCTAACACTTCTTGTGATGAAGTGAACCTGTGTAGTCTCCTGTAGAACACCTGCTCGTCGGCGTCTTTCAGATCGCGTGCAAGCCCGCCGCAGTCAGGCACAGGGGCGAAGCCCGGCGCCTCCAGGGGGTGCAGGTCGTTTCCATTTTCCGAATGGAATTTTTGACAGCAGGCGTGATGGAAGCGGACCCGGGCAGGCCCAGGCTGTCGTGAACAGACCCAGGGGCACAGCGGCTCCCTGAGGCGCCTGTGAACGTGCGCGACGGGCTGACTTTTCAGAACAGCGCGCGCCCCGCGCCTCCGAAACTCAGTGAGGTGACAGAGGTTCCTCCGCAAGGTCATCAGAGCCATGCCCTGGCCTCTCGGCTGCTCCTGGATCGTGACCAGATGAGAAAGACACACGGTCAGACACACGGAGAACCTCAGCATCAACCCGTGATTACCTCAGGGGGGCCTCAGAATGTGGGGGCCCCGCCTGGGGCAGGCCCGCCTCGGGGCGCAGGAGCACGCTGCGCCCCGGGCGACGATCGCGTGGGGAGCGCCCCGAGCCCGCGCACTACTTGGTCTTATTGCATCTCACAGAGGAGGACGCTGAGGCAGGGCGCGGACACGCTGCGCGGGGGCGGCCCAAGCCCGGACAGGTCAGCGCCAGGGCGCGCGGCCAGGACTCGGCGAAAAGGCCCCGCGGAGCCGGCTCCCCGGGCGCTGGGCTCTGCCCGGGGCGGGGGCCGAGAAAGGAGCAGCTGGCGAGCGGGCGGAGACGCGCCCCGCCGCCCGCGGGCAGGAGTGGGGGCGCCGGGCGCGCGGGCAGGAGTGGGGGCGCCGGGCGCGCGGGCAGGAGTGGGGGGCGCCGGGCGCGCGGACAGGTGGCGGGGGGCGCCGGGCGTGCGGGCCGGCGCGGGCGGCGCAGGGCGGGCCCCAACGCGGCACCCCGAGCCCGCGCTCCGGCCCCGGCAGGACTGGGGGGCAGGACTTGGGGGCAGGACTGGGGTGTCGGGGCGCCGACACCTACCGACTCGGCCCCCGGAAGTCCGCGCAGCCGTGGACACTCGGGCCTCCCGGGCTTCCGTACGCGCTCGCCGCGCCGCGTCCGGGCAGCTCCGTGCCTGCGCACCACGCCGGCCCGCGCCCGCGCCCTGTGATTGGCCCGCGCCCGCGCCCTGTGATTGGCCCGCGCCCTGTGATTGGCCCGCCTCCTCGCGAGCTTCCCAAGGGTCGCGCTCCGAGCATGCGCGCTGGCCCTGCGCGGGCACCGGGTCGCGGGCGCCGGGGTCCCCGCGCGGCAGGTGAGCACCCCGAGTCCCGGCCGCCCGGCTGCCGTGGCTCGAGGGGGCGGCGGCGGGGCCCCGGGGCGGGCGGCGGGGCCGGGGCGCTGTCCTAGGCGGGGCCCGGGCCGGCGGGGCGCGCGACTCGGGGGACCCGGGCCGGGGGACCCGCCTCTGAGAAGCGGGGTGCGGGGGCGGGGAAGGCGCCGACCCCGCGCCCCCGGAGTGAGGGAGGCCGCCGGGGCGCTCAGGTCACCCCGGGCGGGGCCGACGACGGCCAGCGGCGCCGGGGCCCTGCGGCGGCCGGGCTCCCCCTCCGGGCCTGGCTCGGCCCCGGGCTCGGGCGCCCCTCGCCGCTCTGGGGGCGCTGCTGCTGCTGCGGCGCGGACGCCGGGGCGGGGCCGCGTGACCCGAGCCCGGCAGGGAGGGCGCGGGCCCGCGGGCTCCTCGGGCCGGGGCGGGGAAGCGCCTGGGCGCGCGGGCCGGGCCGGGCTGCAGCCCCTCTGGGCGCCGGCCTGCGCCCGCCCCCGCCCCGGCCCGGGCCCCGCCGCCCGCGGGCAGCCCTCGCTCCTGCCGGCGCCGCCTCTCGCCGGTCTCAGCCGGGTGAACCCGCCCGGCGCCCGCACCCCACTGGGGCGCCGCCGTCCCCAGCCTCGTGGCGGGAGCGCGGAGAGCCGGGTGCTTTCTCTCCTCGCCTGCAGGCGCTCTCGGCTCCGCGGCGGTCCTGAAGGTCCCCCCTTGTGAGTGGGGTCCCCCCCTTGTGAGTGGGGGCTCCCCCTTGTGAGAGGGGGCCCAGCATTCAGCGCACGGTCCGGCCCCTCCGTCTGACCTCCGCGCCGTGGAGTCGGAGCCCCATCCCGTGCTCGCCGCTGCGGGGACCTAGCGCAGGCCGGTCACCCGCCCCTGGAGAAGCTGCTGACCGGCAGGTGTGTGTGGGGTGTTCATCCCGGCGGGGATGGCGCCTGCCCTGGTGTGTGTGGGGTGTTCATCACGGTGGGGGTGGCACCTGCCCAGGTGTGTGTGGGCACCTGCCCAGGTGTGTGTGGGGTGTTCATCACGGTGGGGGTGGCACCTGCCCAGGTGTGTGTGGGCACCTGCCCAGGTGTGTGTGGGGTGTTCATCGTGGCGGGGGTGGCACTTGCCCAGGTGTGTGTAGGGTGTTCATCGTGGCGGGGGTGGCACGTGCCTAGGTGTGTGGGGGGTGTTCATTGCCTCGGGGATGGGCACCTGCCCAGGTATGTGTGGGGTGCTCATCATGGCCATGGTGGCGCCTGCCCAGGTGTCCTGCTTGCTGAGAAGGCGCTTTCCCTCCCGCCCCCAGTGCAGCCTCCGGCCTGGCCACACCAGGGGATGCGGCGGTTTCTGCTGCTGTTCGCCTCGCAGCGTGGCCAGGCGCAGGCCATCGCCGAGGACATCCGTGAGCAGGCGGCAGCGCGCGGGTTCTCCGCGGATCTGCACTGCGTCAGTGACTCGGCCCAGGCAAGCCTCTCCCCAGAGTGTTCTGTGCTGGGGACATCGGGGTCGGTGTTAACACAGCAGGACGCTACATGCCGTCCGGGCTTCGTGTTTTTATTTTACACTCAGGAATTTCTTTTACCGCTTCTAAGAGTCCAGCGTTTTATTTTTTTCTTAGAAAAAGGTATACATTTGCATTAGAGTAAATAATTTCAAAACCCAAAACAAAGACCTACTGAGCCACAGTGGCGGTCGTCCCAGCTCCCCGTTTGCTGGGCGGCGGGAGGTGTGTGTTGCTGGGCGGCTGTGAGGCTGTGTCCACAGCCCCCGGCACCTGTCTTGCCAGTGGGTCCCAGGGCCCTGCCCCATTTGAATTTAACAGAACAAACCCCTCTCCACTCGTGTATGAATTCCTCTGAGCGCAGGGCCTCCGGATGCTTTTGTGAAGTAGAATTTAAAGTAGAAGTGTCGGAGCTTGGAGAAGACTCGCTTTTAAAGGTCAGGGACGGCCTTTACCTTCGGCCTCCCTGGAGGTTCCTTTCTTGGGACGTGAGATCTCGGGTGATCTGTGCCCATTTGGTCTGATCGAGGCCTGGGGAGGATGCTGTTGTCCGTAGCTCAGGCCATCGCAGCTAGCCGAGGCTCTGGTGCACACAAGGTGCCGGCCACTTGGCGCTCAGCTTCCCCTCGGCCCTGCCCTCCCGTGCCTTCCCCACCTTCACAGCTCGCCCGCATCTCCAGTGAGAGCTCTGCCGTCAGCAGGAGCAGGGATTGTGATTAGCCACCAGCTCGTTGCTCCATGCAGCGTGGCCGGGGAGGCTCCTGACCTCGGAGCTCTCCCGACTTGACCCGCGCTGTGCCCTTCTCTGCCCTGTGCGGCGGGCAGTGCCGGGGCTGGGTCACCGGGACCCGAGCCGCTGGCCTTGCTGCCATGGGAGGGCGAGCAGGCCGGAGCCGGCGCTGCCCGACCCGACACCCTTGTCTTGTAGTATGACCTGAGATCCGAGACCGCACCCCTCGTGCTGGTTGTCTCCACCACGGGCACCGGAGACCCTCCCGACACTGCCCGCACGTTCGTGAAGAACATACAGGACAAGACGCTGCCAGCCGATTACTTTGCCCACCTGTGGTACGGACTGCTAGGTGTGCACCTGCCTTGAGCTCCTGCCGCCACATCCTGCCGGCTCCGCCCCGGTGTCTCTCTACCCCGTGGCGTGTAGTTGAATGGGCTTCGTCCTTCTGGCTTTTGATATAGTTTAAGTTTACAACACACACATAGAGAATGGGCTGTGTTTCCTGGAAGCCCCCGGGCTGCACCCCCTGCCCCTGCACAGCCTCGGGAGGGGCGTGCTTGGCCCCAGGTGCGCGTCAGGCTTAGCGCGGAAATGCTCAGCGACGGCTGGGCCTCGTCCCCAGTATACTGAAACCCCAGCCTCTGAAGAGTTGTCGCTGCCGCGTGATTCCTGTTTAGACCAAGCAGCGACCGGCCCCTCGATGGTGGCCTTCGGTCCTGGCACGCGGGGGTAGGCTGGGGCCACCTCCATTGAGTCTGACTCCCCGTTTCCGGGTCGGGTCCAGGTGTGAGTATTTGCGAGGGCTCCCGGGTGACTGTGGCCAGTGCTCGGGCAGCGCTGGCCGAGGCTCTGGGCAGGGTGGTGAGGACGTGCAGGTCCAGGACCCAAGGAGTGAGAAAGACACGGAGGGGCACCCGGAGGGGATTCAGGCCCAGCTCCCCGGCGGGTCTGCGCCTGTCTGAGCGCCTGTCTGAGCGCCCGCCGGCGGGGCTGGGGCTGCCCGGCACGAAGGCTGTGGCTGCCTCAGTCGCTGCTTAGAATCTGGCCCGAGGGCCCCGGCCTAGCGCCGTCCTGTGTTACGTCACCGTCGAGAGTATTTTAGGGCACTTCCGATTTCTATTAGGGCTTTTCAGATTCCTTTATGTTTTGAATATATGTTTACAAGTTGTCAGAAAAAGTTACTGAACAGCCGGGCCTGCAGCCCCCCACGGCCCTGGTCCGCCCCGGGCCACGCGCCTGCCCGTCCTGCTCCTCCTTGCTGGGAACTGCGTGGACGTGATGAAGCAACAGAAACTCATGCTTTGGATTTCAAATTTTTAGCCAGATACGAAAATGTTAGTCTTTTTTCTCTTACCAGAAAACAATAGCGATTCCTCATTTACCCTACACGGGGCTGTGCAGGATCAGCAAACGCTTTGTGTCTCGGTGACCCTCTGCCCCTTGGGTCTGGGTCAGTGACTGTCGGGGGCAGGGAGAGAAGTCGGGGCTGTGGGACCCGCTCGGCTTGGCTGTCGCCTGGAAGCAGCCTGTGGGCCTGGCTGCGCCCACTGGGCATCGGCTTCTGGGGAGACGGGTGGGGGAGGCAGCGTGGCCCACAGGCTCCATCTCTCGCCCCCTGCACCCGCTCAGTCCTGCAAATGCGGGCGCTGTTCCTGTTCTGAGATTTCCCCATTTTTACAGATTCACAGGGGCAGGACCGTGGCAGCTCTTTCTGCCAGTGCTTGGAGAGCACGCGTTTTGCTCCCGTGTGCCCCGTGCTCCTACTTTGTCCAGTGGGAGAAGGTGGCAGCACACCCGGGTCCTGACCCAGGGCTGTGGGCTCGCGGCGGCGGGCGTCGCGCTGCTCTGCGGGCCGTGCCCTGTGCTGGCTGAAGCCCCGGGTCCGCCCCGCAGGTCTGGGTGACTCCGAATACACCTACTTCTGCAACGGGGGCAAGCTGATCGACCGGCGACTCCAGGAGCTCGGCGCCCGGCGCTTCTACGGCACAGGACACGCGGACGACGGTGTGGGGTGAGAGCGTGTCCTTGGTCGCTCCGTCGCGCGTGCACGGGCAGTCAGCTCCCGGGGCTCCCGCCAGAGCAGCATCCTTGACAGCCAAGTTGCCTTGGGGTTTTGGCCTAGGACCCGAGCCGCGTGCCGGGCCTTGAGTCCCTGCTCCGCTGACTCCAGCGCCGCTCCTCGCCAGCGTCTGCCGGCGGCTGCCTTCTCGCAGTGGCTTTTTTATTTGTGACGTTGGGTCAGCTTGGGTCCCGGCGGTCTTCCTCAGCAGAACCTAGCGTCCGTTTAGAGTCACGGCCCCCGAGATCACCGTCCTCCCGTTACCTGCTGCTGAAGTGTCCTCATCTCCGTCTTCTGGCTTCTGTCTGCTCGTGCCGTGGCGGCCGTGGTGCCGACGAGCACGTCGCGTTCTCCTTAGTGTCGTCCTGAGCGTTTCGTGTCCCCTGAGTAGTCATCGTTGTCACGCTCTGGGCAGCTGCTTAGCTTTCTGCCAGGTGGTGGACGCCAGTGGGCGCTCAGGCACCTGTCTTCCTTTCCATCCACCCGTGCAGTCTGGAGCTCGTGGTTGAGCCGTGGGTGGACGGGCTCTGGGCCGCCCTCTCGAAGCACTTCGCGTCCAGCCGAGGAAGCGCGATGAGCGGGGCCCTCGCCGCCACGGCTGCCTCCGCAGAGTCCGCCCCGGGGCGGCCGGGAGCGCCACCACTTGAGGCCCAGGTGCAGCTCCTCAGGCTGGACGAAGAGGAGGGAGGGGGCGCTGCCGTCTCGGAACCAAGTGCAGCCAGCAGAGGTGGGGCGAGCCCTGCGACTGGAGCCCCCGAGGCCTCCCTGACCTGCTCGGTGCCCCCGCTCGCCGGCGCCTCCCTGAGCATCCCCGTGGCGCCTCCGGAGTACCTGCAGGTGCACCTGCAGGAGTGCCCTGGCCAGGTGAGCAGTTCACTTCGTGCTTCCTGTCGCAGGGTCGCCGGGCATCGGCTGTTCCTTCCTGATGACGTGGTGGTGGAAGGCAGGGGTCTGCTGGCGGCGGGCCCCGCCTGCATGTGGACAGGGCATGCCTGGGGCCCGGCCGCGCCCCCCACATTGGCCTGGCTGCTTCCGCACGTGAGGCCCAGCCGAGGCGCTGCCACCAGGAAGGGCACTGGCCGTGCCCCAGGAAGGGCTTCTGTCCTCAGTTATGTCTGTCCTGAAGACGTAGATGCTCAGGCTCAGCTGCTCTGCTGTGTTGGGGGCTGGCTTGTTGGTCTCTCATCTTGAAGGCCAGACAGTCGGGCAGGCTATGGGCAGCCAGGACATGGCCTTAGCGACCAGGCTCAAGGGCCTGTTCACAGTCCCGTCTTCCCTGCGGTGTGCTCTCCCGGGGCCCTGGGGCCCTTCATCTTGGCAATGTCACACGTTGTTCTTGTCTGCATGGAGACTTCTCCCCCTCTCAATAAATATGTGACTTTGGGCCTCCCCGGTGGCGCAGCGGTTGAGCGCTGGGTTGCGAAGCTGCCTGCAGCCTCAGCAGCGCCGGTTCAATTCCCGGCTCCCCGGCCACCGGAGGAGGGTCCCACATGGCCTCAGACCTCTCCTGCCACCCGCTGCTCCCCTCAGCAGTGGACCTCGGTCCTTCTGCCTGCTCTGCTCCCCCCTTGGCTCTGGTGAATTCTCTCACCCTCCCGCGCTTCTGCATGTACCCAGTGCTTGTATAAATAAATAAATCTTTAAAAAAAAAAAACACAAATTCTTGTAAAAAAAAAAAATAAATATGTGACTCTAAGGTGGGGAGGTTTTCAGCATTAAGTATTTTACGGGAAAATGCTAATATCTGAGGTTTCAGCATGTTTCAGAAGCGCTGCTGTCTGACAGACACACCCAGAATCCTCCTGGGAGACTTGGGGGTCTGTAGTCCCTGGCCTTAGGGAAGAGCAGCATCCAGGGGGCTCACAGACCCCACCAGCCCAGCCGGCAAAGCAGCGTAATTGAAAGTTGCATCTGGTGATGCCGTCACCTCCGTGTCTCCAGGAGGAAAGCCCAGCACCTGTGACTTCTGCGGAGCCGGTTTTTCAAGTCCCGATTTCCAAGGCGGTTCAGCTGACCACAAACGACGCCATAAAGTCCACTCTGCTGCTGGAACTGGACATCTCGGTGAGCCACAGATGGGCCTCTTGGGGTGTCCTGTGGAGACGTGCAGAGGCTGGGGGTCTCTCCCACACGCAGGACTCCCGTCTGCCTGGGGAGCTGCTGTGTCCTCCTGGAATCTCCTGCTTCACCCTTGTTTCAGAGAAGGCTGGGAGGCTGGAGGCCAGAGGCGCCTGGCCGTGAGAGGACGGCATGGCTGCCTTACGTGGTCGGCTGAGGGCTGGCAGTGTCAGGAGTAGTCCCCTGTTAGAGGGGTCTCAGAAGGGGCCCCACACTCTGCTCGCGGTTAGAAGCAGTGCAGAGGACAGCCCTGGGTGTGCCCTCAGGGGCAGCGCTGCTGGGCTTCTCTTTCCCTTAGGAACCTGCAAAATCATGGCCTCCCCCAGGTCGGTCCCACCTGGACATTTTACCTACAGTCCCCAGGGGTTGTGCGCTGTGACCTCTGCTCTCCAGCCCCTCCTCCCACCCACCCCACCCCGGCCAGGCCACGGAGGTCAGACTGGCCGACGGCCCTGACGCTGCTGGGTCTCGGGCCCCACCTTTGCTGGGGAGGGTCCTGAGCATCCAGCGGGGTGCGTGGAGCAGGGGCGACTGGGACCGCCTCCTCGATTGTCGCTCTGGTTGAAGAGACGAGACGCGAGGGGTCCATGTCTCCTTGCCGAGCCGTCTGTACACCGGGCGTCTAATGCATTTCTGTCAGGAAGTCGCGAGGGGTGACGGTCCCTGGGTCCGCTCCACCTCCCTCACTGCCGGGGAGGGTGCCTGTGCGGCCGGCCAGCCACAAGCGTGCTGGCACCGCCGCAGGCCCGGGGGAGCCCCACAGCCCGGCTGGTCACCATGACCAGGCTGGCGGCCTCGCATTTCAGTGATTCACGCTCAGTAGGGAACACGGCACGTGTCCTTCACCTTTTCCTCCCAAAGAGTAAGACAAGAAACAGCACCAGGGCAGACAGCTCGGTCTCGAGCTTCCTTTGCTCGTGTGTGTGCATGTGCCTGTGTGTTCCTAATCACTGTTCCACATTAGTGAAGCGCTGCTGACTGAGGGCCCTTACTCGGAGAACGAGGAAGGCCTTAACTTGCAGCCTGACTACGGACTCGATGTGGCTGGGAACTATTTTAAGCTGAGCATGTGCTTTAGTTTTTTTACAATTAGTGGTATTTTCTTTGAAATTCATTAAAACTGAATTTGCGATGACTGAAACTCTTTAGTCACTCGGGTTTTCCTCGTGTGTCGGTTCCCTTCCAGAACACAGACTTCTCCTACCAGCCTGGCGACGCCTTCAACATCCTCTGTGCCAACAGCGACGCGGAGGTGCAGGGCCTGCTCCAGCGGCTGCGGCTGGCGGACCATGGGGGACACCGCGTGCACGTGGTCGTCAGGGCTGGCACCAGGAAGAAAGGTCAGCTCTGGCCCCGTCCTCCTTAGGGTGTGGCTGGCCCAGGGACGGAGGAGACCAGTGCCAGGCACCCTGCCCGGCTCCAGCCAGCACCCTTCGGGGGGACGGGCAGGCGATGGCTGTTGAATCCTCCCCTTTGGCGCCAGTTAGGCTGGAGGAGACGGTGCTCCCCAGGCTTCTCCCCCGACTCCCCAGACTCCCCGGGCAGCGGAAGGGCGGGTAGGAGAACCAGGCCAGCGGGGGGCCCATCTGCCGGCTTGCTGTCCGCATGGAGTGTCCTGGTTTCCGTGTCAATGTGTTAAAATGACCCTGGGATAAAAGTTTATAATTTTATGGACTTCAAGAGTTGCCATCGTAGTCCTCATAGCCTGTGTACCACCGCTGATTTAATGGACAATAATTGCTTTTTCCATAATTAAAGGGAGTTTTTGTTACTTGCTTACAGCCTTGACTAGAATTTAGTCCAAAAACTCTTCATGCGAGTGACATGTAATTTTAGGGGGCCACTGCTGGCCTTTGTCTCTTTGTCCCTTGTTGTCAGCATGTTTCCCTGCCCTCGGCACTCCTGTCATGCTGGTCCGGCCGACGTGGCGTGCAGGGCCGGGCGCATGTGCGTCAGCTCTGACTGCTGGGGCCGCGCGGCAGGGTCGAGGCCAGACGGCGCGTTCCTTGGGAAGGTAACCCGTCTGCTTTTTCCTTTCCTGTGCCCGCCTCCGACCCGCCGCGGAAAAGGAGCCGCCTTGCCCCAGCACATCCCCGAGGGCTGTTCCCTCCGGCGCATCCTCACCTGGTGCCTGGACATACGAGCCGCGCCTAAGAAGGTATCCTTGCTGCTTTGGGGAGCTTGGAAAGTCAGCTAACTGCACATGGGATTTATTGAGTGAATCTGATCTCTGCCCTTTGGAAGCCCGGGGTGTCTGCCCCTCACAGCCTGTTTTCAGGGTTTCTTCCCAGAGTGTGGGGTGTGGTTTTAATTGTCGTAGACAGATAGTGAATGTTGCGCTTTTATCGATTTTTATGTTAATGTATTGAAAGGAGACTTACAAGATAGGAACTTTTCTCAGTCTCGTTTTTCAGGATTAACACAATGTAGCACTTTTAAGTTGATGGTGAAAGGACCCCAGGAACCCCTCACCCCTGTCATCCTGTGCGTGTGACGCCCTGTCCTGCCCCGTGGCCATGAAGGCAGGTCCCCTCCCACCCCAGCTTACTGCTGAGACCCCTTCCGCGTCTGCAGGGTATTGCCTGGTGGATTTGGAGCTAGAATCATCCACTAGATGTCAGTATCGTGCCAGGAACTAGAGCTGAAAGCTACTCGCAACTGGTTTCTCCTGGCCTTGGCGGGCGGCGTGGGCAGAACAGAGGGCCTGGTTTCCCCGCGAGCCCGGGGGTGCCATTTTCCAGCCGCCCTGGCGGTGTGGTTTCCGTCCTGCTCCGCAAGTCCCCTCCGTCCTGTGTGTGCCCCTGCTGGGCTAGTTGGCCTGTCGCGCACAGATTACTCCTGGGCTTCTCCACTGGCCTGTGGCCCAAGAGCCGGCTGGGTGTTTCTGGTGCCCACCGCCTCCCTCCCCAGTGCCTGCAAACAGGCACCTAAGAGTGGCCAGAGTGGGTCACCACTGTTACTGGCTGGGCAAGTGTGCGCCTGCGACAGAACGTTGAGTCGGGCCTCTCGGTGGTTCTTACTCCATGTACCTGGCGGGTGATCTGAGATGACATCAGACTCGGAACGGATGAGGTCAGCTTAGAAGGAAAGGTGTCCAGAAAGAATCTAAACCTGGAGTTTTCCTAACAGGCTGACAAAGGCAGGTTCCGTTTCCTGACCTCACAGGTGGCGGTGCCCTCCCTGGTCTTGGGTGTGCACACGTCCCCAGGGAGGGCCTCTGAGCAGGAGAGGGTGGTGGCTTAGACCTGCCTTCTGGCTGTCCGCAGGCCTTTCTGCGTGCCCTGGTGGACCACACCCCCGACCCTGCCCAGCGGCGCCGGCTGCAGGAGCTGTGCAGCCGCGAGGGGGCAGCCGACTACAGCCGCTTCCTGCGGGACGCCCGCACCAGCCTCCTGGACCTCCTCCTGGCCTTCCCCTCCTGCCAGCCCCCGCTAAGCCTCCTGCTCGGTAAGTGGGGCCGGGCCACCAGCACCCAGGTGACCCTCCCGCTTCCTCCCACACCCCAGAGCTCACAGCCTTTCCTTACTCTCGGGTGAGTCACAGAAAGGAAAATAGCCAAGCCTGAGTATTTCCCATCCTTGAAATCTTGGCCTCTGAGTTTTGGGGGTCATGACCTTATTTCTGGTTTGACAACTCTGGACTCTTCTCCCCAGAAAACCGCACACTGCCCTGACCTGGACGCCTACTCGGGCCCTGTTGCCCTTGGGCTTAGATTGCAGGAAGGCAGGATGCCTAGTTTCTGGCGCTAGGAGTGAAAGGAAGGCTGTCGGCAACGCTTTCACTTAAACCCAGGGACTGTACGTGGCCTGTAATGTGGTTTAAAATTGAAACAGAAGCTATTTTGAATATTCTAAAGAAGACAGGCAGGAATCAAATCCAGACCATATGTGTTTTCATACCTTACATATAATGTTTTCAGTAAGGTGAACTAACACTTGCTCGTTTCCATTTTGTAGAACACCTGCCGAAGCTGCAGCCCAGGCCGTACTCGTGTGCGAGGTACTGATGCTGAGCATGGCGGGGTGTCCCCCCCCAGTCTGGGGACTCCCAGCTCCTGGGTTGGCACAGACCGTGCTGCGGAGACTCGGCGGGTGGTGGGTCTGCAGCAGAGGACGAGGAGGCCGTCTGGCTCTGTCCTCCAGGCAGCCCGGGCTGTGGGTGCTGTGTCCCCAGGGGGCAGTGGTCGAGGGGAGGGGGGGCCCCGCTGCCTGGCTGGGAGCAGAGGTGGGGGAGGGGCGGGGCGCGTGCATCTCAGCTCGCAACGTCTGCCTCGTGGTCTCCAAGGGCGGCAGCTCCTGGGAAACCGGCTGGAAGTTTCACAGGCAGTTGGAGGGGGGGGGTGCCCCGGAGGAGGACACCGTGGTGGAGGGCTCCCCCGAGTCGGTACTGGTCCCCACGGGATTGTGTGTCTTTGCAGCTCAAGCCTGCTCCACCCGGGGAAGCTTCGCTTCGCCTTCAGCGTGGTGGAGCTCCCGTCAGGCACCGCGCCGCCGGCTCCGCGGAGGGGCGTGTGCACGGGCTGGCTGGCCCTGCTGGCCCAGGCGCTTCTGCAGCGGGCCGGGGGCAGCCCGGCTCCCGAGGTACGGGGGTGCATGCACGGTGTCGCCAAGCTGGGGTCTCACATGTTTTCTTTCTTCCTCCTTTGCCATTTTAACAGAATTTTTTGACTCCCGGGTGTTCAGGCTCTAGAGATACAGAAGGACGGGATTTAGGTGAAAACTCCAGGTTTCACCGTGTTAGCAACACCACACTTTATTGGGGAGCATAGGGAGTGTTAGCAGTAGCGCCATCACACCCCCCCCCAGTGCAGGTACACAGTGCCCTCGGGTGTGCCCCCATTGCTCACAGATGTTCCCCCATCACTAGTGAGTGCCCCCCATTGCTCACTGGTGTCCCCCACTGCTGGCAGGTGTGTGTCTCTATGAGCAGGTGGCGCCAACGCCTGCCGTGTCTTGCTCCCTCACCCTCTGATGTGAGGAGAGGGTTGTCACAGCTCACGCTCACGGGGGCTTCTAGATCTGGACCCCCAAGCACAGGGCTGCCCCGACCCCTGCCTCTGGGAGAGCCACGGGGAGTGCTGCTGTGGGCCTGCAGCAGGAGCCAGCAGGTGTTCTGCTCTCCTGCTGCTCAGGCTGGGGTGCACTCCCCAGGCCGCCTCCTTGAGGCCTCCCCTGACATGGCCGCTCCCACCATGTCCTCTTTAGCCTCGTTTCGTGGGACTTACCGCGTTTGTGTTCGTTTATTGTCTTGCCTTCCGGGGTGAATGTAACCCGTCCTCATACCTTTGCTGAGGTATTTCTTTCCAAACTTGTGGCCTTTGTTTAATATTCTAGATATCCATCTCTCCTCGAGCGGCAAATTCTTTCCACTTACCGGATGACCCCTCTGTCCCCATCGTGATGGTGGGGCCGGGCACTGGTGTCGCGCCCTTCATTGGCTTCCTCCAGCACAGGTAGGCCTTCCTCAGCACAGGTGGGCCTTCCTCAGGACAGGTAGGGCTTCTTCACAGGTGGGCCTTCCTCAGTGCAGGTGTTTCTGTCCCGACACCTCACTGCAGATCACACTGCCCTTCAGAGCCCGTTGTAGTTACTGAGGACTCACGTTGGTCATAAAGTCTCAGTTTGTGTTTACCGTGGAAGTTGGTCTGGGCTTCGCAGCCTTGAATGAACCCCATTCCACAGGTGCCCGCGGGTTCCCCTGGGGGCTGCTGCTGCTGGAGAGCACGGCGTTCAGTCCAGGGACCGCGAGGGGGGCAGATGGGGCCGCACAGACCGAGCTGGTGTGCGGGGGGCATTTCCTCATGGAGGCGGCTGCGTTGCTTCATCTTTATACTGAGCATCTCGACTGTTTCACTCAGGGAGAAGCTCCAAGAGCAGCACCCGGATGGACACTTCGGAGCCACGTGGCTGTTTTTTGGCTGCAGACACAAGGACAGGGACTACCTGTTCAGGTGCTGTGTGGCCAGGTGTGCCCAGGGGCCTGCTGCAGCCCTCAGCCAGGGACGGGCCTGCAGTGACCGTGCGTGTTGTGTTTCAGGGACGAGCTCCGGCGTTTCCAGAAGCTGGGAGTCCTGACGCACCTGAAGGTCTCCTTCTCGAGAGAGGCCCCTGCGCAGGGGCCGGGGGTGCCGGCCAAGTACGTGCAGGACAGCCTACGGCTCCACGGAGGGCAGGTGGCCCAGGCCCTCCTGCAGGAGCGCGGCCGCCTCTACGTGTGCGGGTGAGCGGGCGTGGCGGGGCACAGGCGGGCCGAGAGTCTCGCGTTTGGGGTGGGTCGCAGTGAACAACCTCACAGACATGCAGCAGCCAAGAGGCGGCTAATGTCAGGGACGAGGTGGTACAGGTGAGGCCTTTCGGGGAGGGCTGTGCCACCTCACGTGTGGCCGGGGGCCCCTGAGGCTCTCCCCTGCACCCCGGTACAGCGGCCGGTACTCTGGGCACATGTGTGAGGCTGGTGGAGACTGGAGGAGCGTCTGGGGAGAGCGTGAGCATCCAGTGCACCCTCATCCAGAGGCGGCTCCTGAGCCCTGGAGGCTGGCCCTCAGGCCTGGGCAGCCCAGCGGGTAGCGTCCCAGCAGTGGTCAGAGGCCAGGCTCAGCCAGAGACCCCACGGCTCAGCCCAGGCTGGGCAGCAGGAGCAGACAAAGCACTGAGGGCACCGCTGCGGGGGGCCCAGGGAGGTCACACCCTGAGATGGGGAGGCTGCAGGCTGTCTGTGGCCCTGACGTGGGATAGGCACGTGGGTGTCTGAGGGGTGCGATGGCCACTGCAGACAGCTCATTCAAGAAATTGTTCACCAGGGGCCCTGGCAAGTTCACTTCCTACCGTGGAAGCCCTGTCCGATGCGCTCCACATCCGGGTGCCCGCTGAGCACTTCGGCTAGATCTGATGGTGAGAGCTGGGGAGAGAAACGAGGTGGTGCCCACCTCGGACGGCTCAGTCCCATCGGTCGGCCCAGGTGCAGAAGCTGGCGGTTCAGGAGAGCCCTGTGGGAGCGCATGGGATGTTAGTAATGGGGCGTGAGAGAGAGAGAGGAAGGAGAGCCGGTCAGGACCCCTTCCCACAGGGTACTTTGAGGACTGGGCGAGGGTGAGCCGACAGGAGAGCAGAGCCTGAGCGTGAAGCCCTCCGCTCTTGCTGAAGGTCAAGGCCGCCTTGGAGGGTGTGTGTGGGAGGCCTTTGCCTAGGGCACCGCCCCCGGTGAGGGCCCGGGTGGGGGTGGAGCTGGGGGCTGTCAGGAAAACTTCCCAGAGACATGGTGGGGGGGGGGTGTTCCTGGGGGTGGTGGGAACTAGAATCATGAGTCGGAGGATGTGTCTTACGTATCGATACTATTTTACCTTTCAGAGATGCCAAGAATATGGCCAAGGACGTCAACGACACCCTCGTGGAGATCATAAGCGCGGAGGCTGGAGTCGACAAGCTGCAGGCGATGAAGACCTTGGCCACCTTGAGGGAAGAGAAGCGCTACCTTCAGGATGTTTGGTCGTAAAATCAGGAAGTAACGGAAGAGAATGAAGCGTCTTTGGCTGCAGGTACCAGAAGATAGTTTCTCTGAAGCTGAGACTTTCACTATTTTCAACATTTAAAAAATACTTTTTAAAAACGTTTTGAGCAGAGGGGGTCGCCCAGGCCCTCCCCGTGGCCTGTAGGCCTGAGCTGAGGCAGCCCCCGCCCCCAGCGCCTCCCGGAGCCCTCGGGTCCTGGGGAACAGAGGCCCCAGCCTGTGAGTCCACACCCCCGCCGCGGCTCCCAGGGCGGGCCGGGCGCCGAGTTGGCTGGGAGGAGGGACCCTGCACCATGCGCCGCAAAGGGAATGTGTCCATTTTATAGGCGATGCCCGGGAAGAAGGTCACGTTACTAGATGTCGGTCACACATGAACAGCATATCTGACTACGTATTTATAGAGTTTTATCAAATTATTATTTATTGCCAAGAGTATTTTTCTGATAAAAATCTTTTAAGATAATGCTTGTAGGGTTTTTTTTTTAATCATGCTAGAAAGGTGAAGTATATTTTGAATTTCTCTTCTGGCAGGTGCTCTGTCCGTTTCTCCTTTTTAACCCCCCAGTTCCAGGCTCTGGAAACATCTGTGTTCAGTGTACAGGCCCCGCATAGACACTTTCTAGCAAAGCTGCAACTCAGCTCCTTTCTCTTCTGTTCCTTCCTGTCACTCAAGCTGGAGCCTTGCCTTAAATTAATGACAATTAATATCCTTATTTTAAGCTCCTGCTGTGGGTTGATTTTTACTATCCCCACACGCTTCTATTGAAGTCCTTCAGCCCAAGGCGCTGATGGTGGGAGTTGGGCCTTTGGGGGCGAGGCTGTGAGACTCAGCCCCCAGAATGGCTCAGTCTGTGCCCCTCAGGCCCAGAGAAGCCCCTCGGCTCCCCCACATGCGGACACAGGAGGAAACTGGCTCTCTGCCCCCGAGGTGGCCTCGCACGTGTCCCACAAGAAGTAAATGTCTGCCCTTCACGAGCCACCACCCTGGCCTTAGGCGATGCCACCTGAGGACTGAGACAGTTGCCAAAGACAGGGTCCCTGGAGAGCAGTCAGGACAGAGCAGCAGTCCGTGATGGCTGTTTCGCTGGGCTTTAGTCCATGTTATTTTTCTTATGGAGACTGGCATTTAAAAAAATCTCTACCTGTCCAGGGCTTCTGGTCATTTTGAAAAATTAAGGATCTGCGGGAAATAAAATCTTTTGATTTGATAAGGCTTTGTGGCCATTATATTAGGCTCTGGTCTCATTTTGAGAGAAAAAATCTGAAAACAAGGGGCAGGGAAAGGTACTACGTGTTGTCACACATGGTGCTCCATGTCACACACGTGATGCTCTGCATCACACATGGTGCTCCGTGTCACACACATGAGGCCCTGTATCACACATGGTGCCCCGTGTCACACGTGGTGCTCTGTGCCGTGTGACCACATGCACACGCTGCACGTGCCGGTCAGAGCAAGCGCAGGCACTGGAAGGGACCGCAGTGTCCTTCCCGATGATGACAAAACCTCCGGGAACTGTCCACAGACCTCTGCAGAGAAGGGCCCCCAACCGGGAAGTGCTGGTCACACGTGGGCCTGACCACAAAGCCCCAGTGCCTGGCATCTCAGCTCCCAGGGGGGCCTCACTATCCCTCAGCACGGCCCGCAGGCAGGGGTGGAAGCAGGTTGTTTGCGGTGGTGTATGGGGCAAGCCTGGGTCCATCACCCAGCTTGCCCTCGCCCCATGCTCGGGCACGGGGCTGCTTTCGGTCAAACCTCAGGCACCTCTCAGGGGCCTTGCTGGATACTCTGACCTCGTTCCTGAGGGCGTGGGGATCCCTCTGCAATATCTACCCAAACTATCCTGAAAACCGCTAGTTTGCAAGGAAGAGACCTTTTCGACCTCAGTTACTCATAAAATCAGGCCACTGTTGGCCCACTGTCTCGGATGTCCACCCCAGCCCCCTCCCTGGGCTCTGCCCTCCCAGTGAGACGCCCCACCGCCTGCTTGCCCACCCCCGACCTTCTCAGCACCTATTAGCACCTGTTGTCAGTAACGAACTGCACGTGAGCGCAGCGGGAGCTGCTGTAAGAGGCTTTCCTGACGAAACGTGAACTGCACGCAGCAGTCTACAGATGCGTGGTGTCCACACTCACGCATTCCAGGCTCACTACGGGCCCCAGGCAGCTGGGACATGGGTCAGACTACCAGGTGAAGGGCCAGGAATCTGGATCTCAGCTTGGGCTAGATGAGATATAAGCTGTGCCCAGTGACCTGGGCACCCTCCCTGGGTTCTAGGACACTTGAAATGTGTTAAAAAATTGACCATGAACTAGCCCATAAAACTCAACAAATTGCATAAAAGAAGTCTTTGATTTCTGACCCTAATACAATTAAAAATCCACCATAAGGGCCTCCCTAGTGGCACAAGGGGTTAAGACGCAGCACTATTATGAAGTTATCCACAGCCTCTGCAGCACGAGTTCGCTCTCTGCTGGCCAGGGAGCTACCCACATGGCTGCTGTCTCCCCGCTGCTCCCCTCAGCAGTGGATTTCAGTGGATCTGCCTGTTCTGCTCCTCATTCTGTGTGGTGAGTGTTCTCTTCCCCTGCTCCTCTGGTCTATACCCCAGCTCTTGTATGCATAAATAAATCTTTAAAAAAAAAATCCACCATAGGGAGTACAAACTGGTCCAACCACTATGGAGAGCTGTGTGGAGATTTCTTGACCTACTAAACATAGAGCTTCCATAGGATCCAGCAATTCCACTCCTAGGTATTTACCCAAAGGACACAGAAACATCCATTCCAAAGAGCACCTGCACCCCTATGTTTATAGCAGCACTGTTTACAATAGCTAAGCTTTGGAAACAGCCCAAATGCCCAAAAATAGATGACTGGATCAAGGAGATGTGGTCCATATATACCATGGAATATTACTCAGCATTCAAAAAAGATAAACACATGCAATTTGCAGCAACATGGATGGCGCTGGAAGGGATCATGCTCAGCGAAATAAGCCAAAAAGAAAAAGAAAAATACCGGATGGTCTCACTCATAGCAGGAATCTAGAAAACTTAAATAAGGGACCAGGAAAATGAATAACTATAAGAAAGTGAAAATCAAAATCAACAAACAACTATGAACCAGAGACACTCTATGGGGGGTGGGGATCGGGAGGGGAGGGATTGGGGTCAAAATAAGGGGGTTGCAATTGTATGGGGAATATAAAAATAAAATTTAAATTAAAAAAAAAATCCACCATAAAAAGCAACCCACAAAGTCACCAATGAAGAATTTTAATCACGCCGGCAATTCATGGCCAAGGAGGTGACGGGGGCGATCGCAGAATATTGAGGAGGGGTTGAGGGACTAAGCGTGACCTGGACACACCACGACAGGACCCAGCGGGGAGTTTCATTCTTTCCTCAGTTATTTGAGCACCAACCCAGCCAGTTTCTGTGCAAAGTGCTGTGCCTGCAGCCGCAGACGAAACCAGCGAACAGCCCTGCTCTGGGGCTCGTGCGTGTGCTCAGAGGTGCGAGCTGGGGAACGGATAAGTGTGCCTGTTACATGGGATCTGAAAAGGCTCTGGAGGCCTTGGGGATAGGCAGGCAGGCTCAGGAGGGCTTGGGGTGCGCTGTCGGAGGGGGAGGCAGCTGGGTGGTCGGGCGTCTCATTGGGAGGGCAGAGACCAAGGAGGGGCCGGCGTGGACGTCCGAGGCAGGGGCGGGGAGCGCAAGCGGTCATTGGGGAAACAGAAAACATTGGGGGAGACCTGACGACACATCACCTTGGGTCACGGGAGAATTTTGGCTTTTCTCTGAATGTCTGGAAAGCCATTTGTGAAACAGTAGTTTGGGGGGTGACCTCACAGGCTGTGGGGTCTCACTTGCATGCTCACAACTGCAAGACACAGTTCAATCTCGTGCAACAACAACAGGTTCATTTGCAAAGGGGGCTGGGGATGAGGAGAGTTTCTGAGGCCATGCGTGGCCAGCTCCTACCTCAGACAGTGGCCGCAGTGTCCAGGCGTCCACACCAAAAGCTCCGCGTGCACGTGGCGCTGTCCTTCCAGTGGGAGCTACAGGGCCTGCAGGCCTGGTGTGCAGGACCCAGCTCACTGGGCAGCCGGGTGGGCACAGGTGGTGGTCGGAACCAGACAGCTCTCAGGTGGACCAGCGGACCTTGGCCCCAGTGATTACAGCTCCTCAGCGACCAGGTGTCGGCCAGCAGCACCCCAGATGGAGGAGGCTGAAGTGAAGGCCTCAAGGTCCATGAGGGTGTGCGTGGAAGGTCTCAGCGGAGTCCAAGCCGCATCTCCTGAGGCCTGTCCCTGAGCTGCGTCAAGCCTCCCTCGCAGACCCCGCAGGGCCCCGCCTTCCAAACCCGGTTGGTCCATTTGCCAAGCCAGCTGTTGCCAAGACTTGATTGGTGCTGGGCTGCTTGGTCCTAATCGGCGCCAGCGGGAACTTGAGCCTGGTCTGTTTTCAAAACAAGGTCTGGACTCAACCCCAAACCTGTGTGTAGCGCGTCAACCTGCCTGCACCGTCCTGTGCGGGCGCTCGGCCAGCCGGGTTCAGACCTGGCCCACGCAGCCTCGAAACTGCCACAGGTTTTTCTTTTTTGGTAAAACCCAAATCCAGCTGCACTGGAGTGGGCATCAGCGTTGCTGGAGCCAACTTGGCGTAGCCCAGGCTGATGCTGCTCAGCTGGGCCCAGCGCCTGCAGGGAGCCAGGAGCCATGAGGGCTCCATACACCGCGGGAGCCACCTGACCTAGCCGACACGCCGAGAGCTCGTGCAGGTCGTCGTGGCTGAGACTGAACTGAATGGGCTGGGGACTAAGCAGTGAGGCCGCATCGAGAGCCGCATGTTTCCAAGGGCAGCGCTCCACGGCCGCTCCCAGGGGCCAGCGATCTGCATCAGGAACCCTAAGCTGTCCCGAGAGCAGCGTCGTCACAGGACCCCGGAGAGCTTGGAGAGGCAGGACTGCCCACAGCTCCCCCAGCTTCTTCCTGTGGCTGAGCGTCAGCACGACGCGGCTTGTACATCACGAATACACAGGATCGCTCAGGCCACGGAACGCCTTCATTTCACGTGCCCCAAATCGCACAACTGGCGTAACGCGCCCCGGAGTGCCGTGCCGCTCCGTCTACGCAGCCAGGGTTTGTAGGTTTACAGCGAGGCCCCCAGACAAGCGCCTCCGTCCCCCAGCAGCACTGGCAGGTACAGTCAACACAAGTGCGCCAGGCGAGTCTATGAAAGACCAGCAAGCAGACCCAGACGCGCCGTCCAGGGAGGCGCACTTGAAAAGTTTGGCAAGGGAGATGCCCAAAGGCGGGCAAACGTAAGAAGGTGTAGTTCAGTTAATATCCAAAGGAGCCCTAGAGCAAGGTCATATTCCTGGGGACATGTTCATAACAGAGACCCCTGATGATGAAAACCTGAGAATCCCAAATATATGCGCACTTGGTAACAGCCTGCACAGCACATAAAGCAAAAACTGAGTGAACTAAAAGAAGGAAAAGCCAGTTCTCAAAGCAGAGTTGGGAAATGTATCACTCTTGGTAGCAGAAAGAGCAAGCAGACCACATCATGAGAATTTAATTTTTTTTTTTTAAAGATTTATTTATTCAGTCGAGCTGGGGTACAGGCCAGAGGTGTGGGTGGGGGTGAGAGTGTTCCCCAGAGACAGAGCGGGGAACAGAACAGGCAGAGTGACTGAAATCCACTGCTGAGGGAGCAGCGGGGAGACAGGAGAGGTCTGCTGCGCCCTGCGGGTCAGCTCCCTGGCCGGGGATCGGACTTGTGCTGCAGCGGCTGTGGGCAGCTTCATAGGTTGCATCTTAACCCCTCGCGCTACCAGGGAGGCCCAAATTTAAAATTCTGACAACATAGCCAGCTGGATCTAATTGACAAATACAGAACACCAACAACTCCTCTTGCATCTGCTCCTAGTTTATGTAGAATGCCAAGACAGGACAAGTTTTAGAGAGACAAAATCCATACCATAGTTTTTCTGACAGTTAAACTGAAAGTCAGTAATTAAATAAAACTAGAGTAACCCCTAAATATTTTGGGAAGGGAGCAGCATATAAAATAACCCACAAGTTAAAGAAAAATCAAAGGGAGATTATCACGTTTCTTTTTTTTTTGGCGGGACCCTCGCCGGCGGCCGGGGAACGAACCGTCGCTGCAGAGGCTGCGGGCAGCCTCGCAGCCCAGTGCTCAACCGCTGCACCACCAATGGAGGCCCAGAAAGTATTTTGATTAAGAAAAAAAGACCTCACAAAATTTGTAGACTGCAGCTAAATCTGTGTCTAGGGGAATTTTGTGGGTCTATATTCTTACAAAATAAAAAAAGCTTAAAAAGTCAGAGTGAAGCTGATTTGGGGGAGTTAGAAAAGGAGGAGAGAATTAAACACCATGATTAGAGAAAGACAGAGCAAAGATGAGGAGGAATTCAGTGAAATAGAAAGCATAATCAAGAAAACCAGCCAAGCAAATCCTCATTGTCTGAGATTTCCACCCCAGCTTTACTGAGGTCTAATTAACAAATAAAATTGTATCTATTCACAATGCCAACACGATGGATTGGCATATAGAAACTATGAAATGATTAAAATCAGGCTAATTAAAATAACCATCACCTCACATAATTAGCACTTGTATGTGGGCTGAGAACACTTAAGATGGTCTCTCTTAGCAAATC